TGAAGGAGCATACCTCATTGTTGGAACACTCCTGATGTTTCTGTGAAATATATTCCAACTGGTTCCCTAATTACATATTAGCAGTAACCAAACAGTGGCGTTGATATGCTATTTTTTTTCTACTTGTGAACTCTTATGAATTTTCCCGTTGAAGCTTCTTCTGCATAGACTAATATGATTCATTACTAATGATGTATACGATATGAAGTTTGGTAACTATCTTACTGTATATATGTTTGATTTTTAGGTCAGGTGAAAGTGATAGTGATGCAGAAGACCTTGAACATGCTGACAAGCTTCGGCAAGTTAAAGCCGTTCTTGAAGAGGTGTGCAGTCCCATGTCGTTCCCTTTTCTCTGATTCTTTCCATTTTACGAGCTTTATCCTTTATGCAGTCCCATATCCTATCGAATATAGTCCTTGTAATGAACGCTTTACTTTAGTTTTTGGAGGGATGTTTGGAACTTTTACAAATTCTGTCTCATGTTATAGATGTGCTAAACGTGCAGGGAGGACATTTCTCAGGTATATACAGGAAGGTTCAACTAAAGCCGTTGAAATGGGTGAAAGTACCAAAAAGTGATGGTGAAGGTGAAGAAGAACGCCCAGTGGAGGCTCTTATGGTTCTGAAATATGGGGGTGTTTTAACTCATGCTGGTCGAAAGCAGGTAAAGATGATATTAAATGCATTGCGAACCTCAGTAGTGGTATTGCTAATGGAGGTGTATTTTATGTTAGGATATCTAACATCAGTACAAGGGGTTGAACTATTCTTTGATGTTTGCTTGATTTTTTTTTCCCCACAGGCAGAAGAACTTGGTAGATATTTTCGAAACAATATGTATCCAGGTGACTGAAACTTGATCTACTTCCTATATGTCTTTTACAGTTTACTGAAACATTTCATTCATTTTGTTGATCAATATAAGTTTTATATCTGAGTGGTTTACAACAAAATGGGCTATGCTTGCAGGTGAAGGTACTGGTTTGCTCCGTCTCCATAGTACATACCGTCATGACCTTAAAATTTACAGTTCTGACGAGGGGCGTGTTCAGGTACAAATTTACACTGGACTTGGTCTTGAATTCAATCTTCTGTATATTCTCCATCGGTTGCACTACCCCAGATCAATATATGAATATAGTTTCACTGATTGCAGATGTCTGCAGCAGCTTTTGCTAAAGGCCTGCTTGACCTAGAAGGACAGCTGACCCCAATCCTGGTTTGCTGTTTTCTTTTACAGAGGTAGTATACTACTTGGCAGTGTCATATCCATTAAACTTCTTACTTTCTTTTTCTAGGTTTCTCTAGTTAGCAAGGACTCTTCTATGTTGGATGGCCTTGATACTGCGAGCAGTGAAATGGAAGAGGCCAAGGTTTCCCCTCCCCCCCCCCCTCTTCTTTATTGACAACTTGATTGTGGCTTCAGCCGATATGAGACGAATCAAAGTCAATTTGGTACATGTCTGAAGCATCAACCAATAATCAGTAGTTAGCGTTCTAGATTGGATTTGTTTCCAAGATACCCGAATTTTTCTTCATGAAGTGGCTAAGTAGAGGCATCTCAAATACACTTGCTCATCTGATGTTTGTACTAGTGGTTTTTTTTTCATGCAAGATGAATTTCATCTTAGAAAAGTAGGGTGGGTCGTATTCTCGAATGTACATTAACAATCATGTGTGATTCTTTACAGCTTCGAATTATTTTCCTAATTTGACTGCAGACTCAATTGAACGAGATCATAACTGCCGGCACAAAGATGTTACATGATTACGTCTCGTCTGAACTACCTTGGATGACTGATGGGGCTGGCCTTCCTCCTCAAGCTGAAGAGCACCTACCTAAACTGGTACTCACATATTTTTTCTGTAAACTTCCATCGATTAGCCCCGGATAAAAGGGAATATCTAGTGTTTTTATTTGAGAGCACAAGAATGTATATACTCAGCGTTACTCGTCTGTTTAATTAGGTAAAACTAGCTAAAAAGGTGACTGAACAAGTGAGGCTACTTGCAAACGATGAAGACGAGAATCTCACTGAACCTAGCGCTTATGATGTAGTCCCTCCCTATGATCAAGCAAAGGCCCTTGGCAAGTCAAACATTGACGTTGGTCGGATTGCTGCTGGATTACCCTGTGGTAGTGAGGGATTTCTTTTGATGTATGCTCGGTGGAGAAAACTCGAAAGGGACCTCTACAACGAAAGAAGAGAGTAAGTGTATGGCCATATTTAATTTACTAATGCTTCTCGATTTCTCATGCTTATTTTCTGCATGAGTTTCTTTTGAGTAGCACTGATCGTTGGAATTAAATGCAGCCGGTTTGACATAACGCAGATTCCTGATGTTTACGATTCGTGCAAGTAAGCATTGTGTTTCAGTCTATTATAATCTATCCTAGCTTTTAATTTCTCTATTCTGAATATCGTGCAATGTGTTGTCAATACCAGGTACGACTTGTTACATAATTCTCATCTCGACCTGAAAGGACTAAACGAACTCTTTAAAGTTGCTCAGGTATGAGCTGAATTTAGAGACTGAAGTTTATGTTCCTTTTTCTGAAACTTCAATGGTATTTCTCAATGTACCATTCTACAGTTGTCTTGGTGAGACAATTTTACTTTACTACCGACTACTGAGCCATGCGTCCTAGATTTCCAGATTCAAACTGTGCCTTTACGAAGTGTACATATCTATTTTGCATTTTGATCATGGATTGTGTTGATTGTGTGTTGTGTGGTTGCAGTTACTTGCAGATGGTGTAATCCCGAATGAGTATGGAATCAATCCACAGCAAAAGCTCAAAATAGGTTCAAAGGTGGGTTCCTCGATCAACGTGGCATTCTAACTCCCACAAAGGCATTTAATGCCTATTTTCCTCTCTTTGGAATCTCCTTAGGATCCATGATTATTTCAGATGATCTCATAGCTTACCGTTTGATTTTTTTTCTTTCTGTTTTTTTTTTAAAAAAAATTAAGATTGCTCGTCGCTTGCTGGGTAAAATCTTGATTGACTTGAGGAATACTCGAGAAGAGGCCATGAGTGTTGCTGAACTGAAGAACAGTCAAGACCAAGTCTCAGTGTCATTATATTCGTCGAGAAAGGAGGATAGATATAGTCAACCAAAACTTTTCATTAAAAGCAATGAGTTGAGGCGGCCCAGCACTGGAGAGAATAAAGATGAAGATGATGATAAAGAAACCAAATACCGACTGGATCCAAAGTAACCGAAAAGTCTTTTTATTCCTACTATTATATTATAAGTGACATTATATTTCCTATATCTTTTAATTTCACTGATTTATCGTGTTACCTTTAGGTATGCAAATGTCATGACGCCCGAACGTCATGTGAGGACACGGCTTTACTTCACATCTGTGAGTTCCTTCTTCCATTTGGTCTCGTTCTTACAAATTCCTGATTTTCTGCTACATGCAAGCATCCGGCTGGCAAAAATAAATAAAAACTATTGACATATATAGAGGCTCTAGGGATTAGAGTTTGATTTATGGCTAGATCACGCGACTAGCTTGTTTTTCAGTGAAACATGTGGATGCATTTATTCATGACTTTTCTGCGATGAAACGATTGACAGGAATCACATATTCATTCTCTGATGAATGTTCTACGGTATTGTAACCTCGACGAGTCTCTTCAAGGAGAAGAAAGTCTCGTCTGCCAAAGCGCATTGGAACGCCTTTGTAAAACCAAAGAACTTGATTACATGAGCTACATTGTCCTAAGACTGTTCGAGAACACCGAGGTTTTACAATGCACCCGCCTTTCCTCTCCAACTCATGCGTTCAAGTCTTTATACTTACTCGTGCCTGAAACCAGACATTGAAACCTATAAAATGTTTTCTGCAGGTATCTCTGGAAGACCCGAAACGATTCAGGATCGAACTTACATTTAGCCGTGGCGCAGATTTGTCTCCCTTAGAGGTAAAGAGCAAAGAGTAACTACACTCTTTCTTCTTGGGTATTTGGTTTTTTTTTTTATAAGTGGGGAAAAACCCAAATCAAAAGCTAGATTAATCCCAAAGCGTATAATTTGGATTGGTGTTTGAGTATGGCTAGATATTTTGAAAAACTACGTACACCGTTGCTTTTTTTATTGATTAAAAAAGCCTTTTTTAAAAATATAAGTTTGTGACGACAGAAGAAGGACGAGGAAGCTGAGTCATTACTCCGGGAACACACACTTCCGATAATGGGACCAGAGAGGCTTCAAGAAGTTGGTTCTTGTTTGACCCTCGAAACAATGGAGAAGATGATACGCCCATTTGCAATGCCGGCCGAAGATTTCCCTCCGCCGTCAACTCCGGCAGGCTTCTCCGGTTACTTTTCTAAAAGTGCCGCCGTGCTCGAGCGTCTTGTCAAACTCTGGCCCTTCCACAAAAACTATAATTCTAATGAAAAAAGCTAATAAAAGCCAACAAAGTGGATGTGTGCTGTCGTCTATTCTTCTTAATCCATCTCCTCTTTGGACAAAAATTTTGGTTTTTTTCATTTTTTTTTTTCCTAATTGAGTAAAGAGCTAAAAAAAGCGTTAATTGTTTTTGTCTCAGAATCGTTAATTGTTTTGTTTTAAACAGTTCTTTTTTTGGTTAACCAATATTGGAAATTTCCAAGCTTTTATTAGTCATTTACCTTTCCATTACGATTCCTAAAACAAAAAATGATATTAATTGGAGGCACGTATGCCGAAAAAGAAGAAAGATTTAAAATGAAATGGAATTTGATTCGTACCTTTTATTTTCCCAGAGAATAATATTAATAAGTGTTGATAATTGGTTCCAACCAGACAAAATAAAACACATCCAACACAAATCCAGGAGATTTGTAACCAAGAATAACTAATGTTAATAATCAATTATGAAGTGATTAATTAATGTACATCGGTGATTAAATTTGTTTATTTTTTTTATACGAAATGTGTATATTTGTTACTGTAGAAGCACATGTGAAAAAAATATCACTTTTGCTGCTTCATAATTTCCTCTTTGCCCGTTCTACCCAGTCTACTCTTCTCCTCTGCACATCTTCTCTCTCTCTCCGCAGACATCAATTCCCCTTTTTGACTAAAATTCCGTGACTTGGGGTTTGATCCATTCCCAGTGAATCTCACTGCTTTTATCAGAAAATCACTACTTTTTCTCTTGTTTTTAAATGAGGGGTTTTCTTCCAAAAAACTATGGTGGTCTGATCAAATAAATCATCTCTGTGTTCTTTTTATTCTTTGTCTGTGTTGGTGAGATGGGTTTGGGCGATGCTGATGCTGTTACAGCTAAAGAGAATTGGCAATCGGAGAAATCTAACGAGAGTGAGAACAAAAGGAAGAAGAAGAAGAAAATCAATGGTGATAACTGTGAAGGCGAAGATTTAGGAGAAGAAGAAAGAGAAGCAAGTGGGTGTTGGGTCAAATTTAGGTTTATGATTGGTTGCATACCTTCAAAATCAGATGTTGATGCTTCTTCTTCTCTCTATGGCACTACCAGCACCGGTATATTAATTCATCTTATTTTTTCCCTTTTGGTTTCTGAAAATTCGAGTTTCGAGAGAGGGTTTCTTTTTTAGCTAAGCAGACTTTCCCTTTGAATTGAGAAAATGAAAATCATATATTTGTTTTCCAACTGTATATGTTTCCATCTAGGGTTTTTCTTTGACAATTTGTGCAAAGTTCACGTGATGTTTATGATGTACCCTTTAAGGTTCTTTGTTTCCAGATTTAGGGACATGGAGTTAGGGTTAATTTGAAACTTGATTGTGTTTGGAGTTTTATCTATTTGATTACATCTTACTTTCTCAATGAAGCTGCGTTTTGTGGGATCTTCTAAAGATTTTGTTTTTTGCTTTTGTTTTAGCTACAACAATGGAAAGTAAATCGGCAAATGAGAAATCAAATGATCAACCAGCTGGTCCAGTTTCCTCCACAACAACAACTAGCAATGCAGAAAGCTCTTCATCCACTCCAATGATCAGCGAAGAACTTAAGCTTTATTCTAACCTGAGGAAGTTTACTTTCAATGATCTTAAGCTAGCTACTAGAAATTTCAGACCGGAGTCTCTTCTTGGAGAAGGAGGTTTTGGTTGTGTCTTCAAAGGATGGATCGAAGAAAACGGGACTGCTCCTGTTAAACCCGGTACTGGGCTTACTGTAGCCGTCAAAACCTTAAATCCTGATGGACTTCAAGGTCACAAAGAATGGCTTGTAAGATACCTTTTCTTCTTCTGTTTCTTATCACTTACCGCATAATCCTTTATATCAGTTTCCCTTTTAATATGTGTTCCTGCTTGTTGCAATTGCAGGCGGAGATTAATTTCCTTGGTAACCTTCTTCATCCAAATCTAGTTAAGCTGGTCGGTTATTGCATCGAAGATGATCAAAGGCTGCTTGTTTACGAGTTTATGCCTCGAGGAAGTTTGGAGAATCACCTTTTCAGAAGTATGTAAACCCATAACCTCGTATATTCATAGACCATTTTTAAGTTTTCAATGTTTAATCTTTACCTTGCAATTCCCGTGCTTATCATGTTTAAAGGGTCGTTACCTCTTCCTTGGGCTATCCGGATGAAGATTGCATTAGGTGCTGCAAAAGGTCTCAGTTTCCTCCATGAAGAGGCTTTGAAACCTGTTATATATCGAGATTTCAAAACATCAAACATTTTACTTGATACAGTATGTATCTTATTCCTTACCATCTGTATCGTATACTTACCTTCTTCTTCTTTAGCCTCTAACAGTTGGAATCAATAATTTCCATTTTCAGGACTACAATGCAAAACTATCAGATTTTGGACTTGCCAAAGATGCTCCTGATGAAGGCAAAACCCATGTCTCTACTCGAGTTATGGGTACATATGGCTATGCTGCTCCCGAGTATGTAATGACCGGTGAGTCTCCTTTGGCTTCATCTATTGCCTTTGCTTTGAAATATTTAATGTTTACACTTTTGTTGATTTGCTTCCCATTTAATTCCTTAAATAAGGTCACTTGACATCAAAGAGCGATGTATATAGTTTCGGGGTGGTTCTGCTTGAAATGCTGACCGGACGAAGGTCTATGGACAAAAACCGACCAAACGGTGAGCACAACTTAGTGGAATGGGCAAGACCACATCTCCTTGACAAAAGAAGGTTTTACCGGTTACTTGATCCAAGGCTCGAGGGCCATTTCTCAATCAAAGGATCCCAAAAGGTGACTCAGCTTGCTGCTCAATGTCTTAGCCGTGACCCCAAGATTAGGCCAAAGATGAGTGATGTTGTGGAAGCACTTAAACCACTTCCGCATCTCAAAGACATGGCGAGCTCTTCTTACTACTTTCAGACAATGCAAGCCGAACGTTTGAAAAATGGGTCCGGTCGATCTCAGGGAGGAAACGGATTTGGATCAAGAAACGGGCATCAGCAACCTGTGTTTCGGACTCTGTCTAGTCCTCATGGTCAACATGGTTCTTCGCCTTATCGACATCAGATTCCTTCTCCAAAGCCGAAAGGAGCAACTACATAGCTCTTGCGTGGACCAAACAAAGAAAGCCTATAAGGTTTCAAAGCTTTTATCCAGGCTCGTCCCTCCTTTAAAGCATGTAAAACATTGGCTTTAGGCCACATTATATGGAAAAAAATGGGCCACAGTTTCAAAAGGTGATCGTAGCATAGATGGTCATGTCTGAAAATTCTAGTTCGAATCCGTTTGATGCTCATTTTCTCCTTTTGTTTAATGATCTCGACATAAGAGTAGACATTTAACATTTTCTCTTTGATGTAAGAAAAAAAAAACCTTTCCTTCGTCGTCGTTAGGCATTAACTAAGCTTTTGTTTTTGCCGACATATTTTTTCTATTGATTCGCTCAGAATTTTATCTGGATTGTATCTACTACGTCATGTAATTTAGATAGTTTGGATTATAATCTTTGCATTTTCATCTTCTACCTCGTATTATAGAACCACTCTTTTCTAAAAAAAAAAAAAAAAAGTTCACTCTTGCCTCCAATCATGCGTACTCTTCTGTTTGAGAACAATGTGTTTTGTGACAATTGTTGCTTCGATCCGATACAGTGTATTCCTGTCTTGGCCAAGATAATCGAAACTGATGCTTTTTACAGGCTTAGTCTATCTTCTTTCCAATTATAGTTTTTTCTTACCACTAAGATCAAAATGGGCCGGGGCTGGTAACTCAAAATACATCGAATTCGTAATTTACTTTTTGTTCGAGATCAAAGAAACTCAGATATTTAATCATTCAAATTTCTTCTTTCATTTAGCTCTAATTTCAGTTTACTTTATTACTAAACTCATAAAAAATTATTATTTAATCAAATAATGAGCTCAACCAAAAATAAAAGATGTATGAAACAAAAAAAAAATATATCTACTGTGGAGATAATTGGTTCAGAATGTTTTAAGATATTCATATACGATTAAAATTCATAGATTATGCTCTTCTTGTCACGTTTTAATTTATTGTATTTTAAATGACTCATTCAACGTCCATTTGAAATGTTCGAATCTAATAAGAAATATTCTTCATATTTCCTTCATCTTTTTAAAAAATTAATACTTCAAAAACATGGAAGCACATCAAACTAAACGAAAAATTATAATATACGAAAGACAAATCTCAAACACATTTGTGATAAAGAAGAGTTGGACCGAAATAAATATGAAGAATATTTCTTAATAGATTCGGACATTTCAAATGAACGTGGACCCACTGTGTACAAGCCAAAGCATACAAAAAAAAAACAAAAGTAATGGACTGAAACAAATCGGACAAAATCAAATCTCCTGCGACAACATATTAAAGAAGCAAAATAAAACTGAACCAGTGAAAAATCTCTCAGAAAATCCACTAAAGAACTCGAAAATCAAATCGAGTGGAACAGAGTTTTTTAGCAGAGCAGAAAATTAAGAGCGACAGATAATAAGGAAAACTGGAAAAGGATCTTAATGGTTCATCTTCAAGACGATCCTTTTAATAGTATTTTTTTTTCTTCTTATTTCTACAAATCCCAACACCGATTTTTAAAAAAGGAACAAATGAAAGATTTGTAAAGCAAACCAGACAGAAATTAGTCCAAAGATTAGAAGACGAAGAAGATGAAATAACTATGCTACCCTTCCAAGGGGGCCCCATTTGGATTCTCTTCAAGGCTTGAGAGCGAGAGCAAACCCAAACTTGGGATTCTTCTCGATCGACTTAGAATCAACCTCTCCAGAAATGGTGACGAAAGACTTTGGACGCCACTCGTGTTGGATCAGTGCGTTGGCTACACCAGCATGGTTCACGCGTGCCTTCACTGTGGTCAAGGGGTCAAGAGCGTGCTGTGTCCCGACGGTTATGGCGTTCTCTTTGGTCGTGAAGTTGTGGCTAACCTCAGCTCCAACCACTGTGTTGCTCAACGGGTTCACAATGTGGTAGTAGGACGCATTCAGTTTCTCGCCCTTGTCGTTCCTTCCAAAACAAAAGCAAAAGACCACAAAAGATCAAAACACTATAAAATTAACAACTGCATATAATGAGGTGGTTTGATCATTGGAGGTACTTACAGAGTAAGAGAAGCAATCAAATCGTCTTTAGTGAAGCTGAAACCAGCATTGAAATGTTTGAAATTGCCAGACTCGGTGTTGAATGACACATCGGCACCAAGAGCCAAGACATTGGTTCCAACCACACCGGAGAAATTGACAATCGGGTTTGCTGTCAATCCAACGCTGGTGGAGATACCGGCGTAGTCGTGCAAGTACTGCAGCTCAACCTGTTTAAAAGAGAAAGCCACAATGGTTACAATACAGATTTTTTATATAACCAACTATTAACTATAACACTCAATGAAGTTATTCATATATTACCTTGCCAGATTTCTGATCAGGCAACTTGGCGCTAAGGATTGCCTTCAATCCAGGGGTAGCCTCATCATAGGTAAAAGTCGTGAGAAGCTGCAAATTATTTACAAACAGATTGTCAAGTGAATACTCTAGCAGAAATCAACATGCTAAAGTAAAAAGACATATTATACAAGTTATTGGGGATGATTAATGGGTAAGTATGCTTACAGAAGAATCAGTAGCAACTTTGATGTCAGCAGTGAATTTCTTGTTCTTCACTTGAGTAGCTACATCAGCCAAAAACAAGTCTCCCTTGTTTGTTCCACTGGTGGTGATCGCCTAAAAATCATAACAAGTAGGTAACACAGCAAAGGAGATAAGTTCATGAATCATGATATTCGGTGAATCAAATGAAAAGCAAATTACACAAACTTTGAAATTTCACACAAACTTTGAAAGCTGTAAGAGCTCAATCTCGAGAGATAAAAGCAAAGTTTAATCCGAACAGATGACTAGTAATAACGTAAATCTCGTCTCAGACACTAACAATGAAACTCAAAATTTCTGCAGGCAGCAAAAGATAAGTATCAAGAACTGATATCTAATAAGAAAACTTACAACACCAGATGCAGAGTATGTGGTGATACTGAGTTTCTGGTCTCCTTGGTAGTCCTTGTAGAGAAGGTCTGCAATCGAATCGAAGGAAAAAAGAGCAACAATCAGACACTTAAGATTCGAAACTCATTCAACAAACAAAAATCTAATAGCTGATTCGAATAGACATGAGACAGGTTCTGTACATAGATGGACATTTTCCAGATCCACGAAGAATTTTCGAATACAGCTATATAACGAGTGACCCAGGCATTATCAATCGAACTAACTCGTTTTATCTATAAGAATTAAACGAAATGGAGCATAAATCGACGGAAACGATTATCAATCAGCTCATAAACACCAAGACTAAGGATGCATCCACAAATTTCGACAACCTAAGCGCGACCAAAAGAAAGTGAAGTAGACCAATATTGAGAAACCTATTAAATTCAACGAATCTCAGCAAATACCACAAACCAGCAGCAAATCCGATTACGAAAACCACGAATGTCAAGACACTGTCACATTCACCTCAGAGAAATAGATGAAAAAAATTCGAGAGAGTACCTCTGGCTTTTTTGCCGATTTCGGTGTAGAGACCTGGACCTTTAGCCATGATTGTTTCTGGAAAAATCGAAGAAGTTGATAAATAAGACGAAAGAGCAGAGAATAGTAATATGGCTTTCTGGTGAATGAGGTGTGAAATGTATATAAGGGGAAGAAGAGAACCCTAAATCCCTTCATTTTTTTTTCCTGCTTATCAAGCAAAAATATTTTAGCCGTTGGATCGATATTATTTTCCCCTTTTTACAACCGTCGATTCATTTATTCCCCATTCACCAAGGAATTTTTTTTTAATTTGTCTGATTTTCCTCCTTTAGTTTATTTTAGTGGCCTTTTCCATTTTCATTGCGTGGTACGCAGGCGGGGGTTCTGTAATATTTTTGCTTCCACCACAAAGTTCTTTTTTTTTGTTTATTTATATGTACATATGTAAATTGTTTTTTTTTTTTTCGTTTTGAGTCTTTCTTTGACTCTGTCTATAAATTATCTGATCAACATCTGAATTGTTATTAAATTCTGGTTTAGATATTATTCTACATATTTAACAATCTGTTATTAATCTTTCTTAAGATGATGTTGTTATAGATGTAGATCATTTACTTTTATATGCATCTAGATTAAGAACTTCATTCATAAATTTATATTTAATATCGGGAGAAAATTATTCAAAATATATAGATAAAGAGAATGCGTGAAATTTGCTCTATCAATCACCATCTCAAAACCTCATGGCCTAAAATGTAATATAACTACGAACAAAAATAAAAACCTCTTGATTATATATAAAACAAAATGCATGTCATATTCATAGGTCCAACACAAAATAATATGCCAAAGTTATTGGTAAGGTTATTAGCATTCCAATTATCACCCTGAAAAAAAGCAAAATAACAAAGATCAGAAATAGATTTTGAAAAAAAGAAGAAGATCAGAAATAGATGAAAAAAATAATAATAATAATAATCAAATTACAATTTATTTACCCCGTACTAACGATCTCCGGATAAACATTATACTCTTTTGCAAAAACAAATGGCACGATCCCTTGAGGCAATGCAGCCTGCAACACAATAAATTAGAAGCCAAATAGGAACTTTAATAATTGATTACTCCTAATTCCAACAAATTAGTTATAGTTTTTGTTAATGAGTAATTCATTTAAACTTTTTTTACCTGTAATATTGCGACTCTGAAGAGAGTACTTCGTAGTCTGATGCAAAACGCAGAAGCAATCATAAGACCAGGACCTAATAGAAACTTAAGGAGCATTGTTATAATCGCCATTTTTGTTCCACATGCTATGATACTACTTTGTGATGCCATGAAAAGACCTGTTTCATATTTTGTGTTAGTTAATTGTGAAATGGCTTTTACAGTATATATGTATAGAGAGAGAGAGAGATTACCTAAGCTGAACATGGCCATTCCTAAGCCTCCATCAGATATCAAATGTATTGATTTATCGATCATCCCAGGCAATTTCCATCCCAATCTATGTAGAGGGAAAAAACAAGCATGAGTCACAATTGATGTTATAAACTAACCAAAAAAAAAAAATCTTCATAGGTGGAAATATCACTAGACTATCCATTTTGATTATTAAAAGAAAAAAGTTGAGTTTGTACATGCCTAAGAATGATCAGACAAAAAGCTTAAAATAGAAGAAGCACTACTAGGTTATCGCTTTTCTTTTTGAAAAGAGAAAAAGAAGAAATGCCTAGACATGCAAGATGATAAAGATTGAACCATCAGATGTGTAAGTCGATTTAACAGTGATTAAATCAGATATATAGGATAGATTTTTTTCACCTAAAATGTAAAGCAGACCAGATTAATCCGACCAATGTTGCGTATGTATTAGGATTGGTTATAAACTTTCTCCAAGCCTTCAATAGAATCTTCCCAGTTCCAGAAGATCTTGTTCTCACTATTGCTTCTTCTTCTTCTTCTTTTGGCTCTTGTTCTATATCAGCTTCTTCATTGCCTTGTTTTACAAGAAACCCATGTTTAATTATGGTAAATGCTAAAGGAGGTTCGTTATCGAAAAAAAAATGAAGAAATTAGTTACCTCTGTGTTCTATGGAAGCTCCAGAAGATATTATAGTCCTCGCGGCATTAATCTCGAATAAGAAAAGTAAGATGTTGTACCAAATCAAGCTCTGCAACATAACAATCTGCACCAAGAAGTTCACAGCTGCATCTCCATCGATGGCACTTAAGATTGGGATTCCAATAATGAGAGTGTTTGGTAACACGGATACAGATAGTCCGGTTATGATCCAACCCAATTTTCCTCCTCTTCCTCCTGTTGGATGCCAGGATCTTAAAACCGCGGCGAATACAACAACGGCTAAGATTTTCTGGAGAATGTCTGAGAGAATGAGTCTAGGGCTCATTGTAAAAGGGTTGTTTTGGGAGATTACTTGGAAAGAAAGCAAAGGGATTGAAAATTTAGCGACAAATTTGTTGATGCCTGCGCATTGTTCGAGTGAGAAAAGCTTTAGATTTTTTGCAGAGAGGTAGCCTAAGAACATTGAAACATAGAGAGGAACTGTTGCTGAAACAACATGGTAGATATCAAGCCAAGAGATCATTTTGTTTTTATATCAAATTTAACAATTGGTTTTTTATTGTCTGAAATTTTTTAATTCCATACAATAAAAAACCAAAAACAAACAAAGAAAGATCTGAAAAAAAAATCGATTTAAACAGTTCCTTTCAAATTTATGGAAAGAAACTGTTTGATCTTATGGCATATATATGGGTAAAGTCGATGGCTTTTTCTTTCTTTTGTTCAAATGTAGAACACTTGAATTTCAAGGTGTTTGATTCCACAATGGAATTTTTGTTTTTAATTTTTGTTTCAAAGGGAAACATTGATCAGAAGGATTAAAGTCTGGGTTTGTTGGGGAAAAAACTCTGCGGTTAAATTTAATTTTCCTTTTTTTTTTATTAAAAGACAATTTTTGCTTCCCAACTAATATTCTTGTAGAGTTGGGTTTGCCTAAACTTATCATAAACCCAAAAACTGCAATAAGCATTTTCTTTGAATTTTTTTTTTTTGGCATTTTAATTTCTCCCCACCAAAAGAAAAAACAAAACAAAAGATAAAAAAAGGCTGTTTAATTTGTCTTTTGCATGAACAAAGAAGAGCTAAATATGCCCCAACAGTACTTTAGTGCTATAGGCTTTGGTTTTTTCTTACCTTAGACACTTAAATAAAAATTAAAATAACAAAGTAACTGCCTTTTTATGCACCCTATATAATATGCAGCCTATTGTATATTTTATGACCTATTCTAATCAAATAAGATATATACAGTACAAGATGCCACCAAAATATCTTTGAATCGGTGATAGGAATTCTTATAATGTATATTGTATGTACACCCATAATGATTGATGAATATATATATATATATAGTAATTAGCCGATATATTTTCAGCAAAGATCATAGGCATATGATATGAGAATAAAAACCAAAAGAATAAAGAAGTGAATTGGGAAGGAAGTAATCAACAAGCATAATAGTTGTTTTTCTATAATTGGTTTGAAGATTGAGAAATAAGCATTTTTCCTTTATAAATATACATAGAATTGTGTCTTCTTTAATTCTTTTGCCAAAAATAGAATTTTGTCTCTTTCTTTTAGTTTGCTTCTAACAAGAAGGAAGCAAATACTCACCATTTTAGATTGAACCAAGAAACTTTGGAACATTTGAAAGCTAAAATTTGTCTGTAAAAACGAATCAAAGTCTCATGAAGTTCTTTTGAAAATGTTAGCAACATTATGTTCTTAGAAAAATGTTGGAAATATAATTAACGAGTCCAAATCAAATTTAATTTATTTGTATTTTTTATAAAGTTTTTACTTTTTAGCAATTATAAAATACGTATTTTCTTATAGTGTCACTGATCGCTTCTTATCTTTTTCTTTATTACTTTTTTTTGGGTACCAATCGAGAATAATATTTCTATTTGTATTCATTAACATTAAACAACCTTATATTCAATATTAGTTCCATTAAAAGATATATATATATATATATTTATATATACATATAATAGTCTCACTTAAGTTTTGATTTAGCGAACTTTGAAACGAGAATGAAATGTTAGTAAAGCTTCACAACCCATAAAAGATTCACTTCTTTGTTCTTCTTAATTAATATTTTTCAAGTGAAAGACTATAAAAATTAATAAATACTAAATAACGACATTTATGAACAAAGAAACACGACATCTCCAGTAGTTTACAAAAAAATTAGTTGAAATAATAGAATAAGGAAAACATATCCAAAATATGATATAGTTCGAAAGATTTTACATAATCCTATTTTTATCGTAGATAAAACTTAAACAAAGAAAATAAATTGGGAGCTAAAAATAATATTCTGAGAAATAAAAACATAGAAACTGTCCACAGATAAACAATGACGGCTCTCCATCCTTGGCGGTAAATTCCTAAAATTGGAGATTACTTATTAATCAAGTTTATTTAAACACCAATCCTTCACGTTTCTAAAAATTCGCAGTACGATTCATCATCTAAAGGCTTTAGGCTTTCAAAGAAAAGAAAAAAAAAAAACATAATCAACAGAAAAACAACCTAAAGCCATGTTGAAAGCTTAGTGATTCTCCATTTAAATCTTAACCCCTTACGAAAACAAAGGAAACAAAAAATATTTATATTTTAATATAAAATTGTTATTTTAGAGAGAACAGATAAATTAGCAAAATGGAGATGGCTAGGCTGTTAAAGTTGATGTTTATGTTTTGTATTGCCGGTCTGATTCCGACCATACGAGCCAACATTTCTGAGTTGGACGAATATTGGTCGCAACGAGCCGATGAGGCCCGAGAATTCACTCTTCAGGCTTATCATTCTGATCCTTACGAAGTCGTCGATCACTTTCACGAACGTCATTACGAGTAAGTCAAGTTTTTATATTTGAGTTTGAACCCAAAAAAACATTAGCAATGCTTGATTCTTGTGTTTGGTTTCGTGTGTATATATGTACGTACACAGCAACTCTACTGATGTTACGGTCACCGAGGAAGATGGCAGCGCGAAGCCTGAAGAGGTGGAAAATGAAGTTATTGAAATGCCCGGAAGCTCGACGAACAGCACGAGACGGAGCCTAAGAGGTAAAGGAAAAGGAAAATGGAGTAAGCTTAAGGGACCGTGTACCGCAAGTAACCCGATAGACAAATGTTGGCGTTGCCGTACGGATTGGGCAAAGCGTCGTAAGAAGCTTGTCAAATGCGTCCGTGGATTCGGCCACAGGACGACCGGAGGAAAAAATGGACGCATCTACGTGGTTACAAGCAACCTCGACGACGACATGGTGAACCCTAAACCAGGGACATTGCGTCACGCCGTGATTCAGAAGGAACCTCTATGGATCATTTTCAAGAACGATATGAGCATTAGGTTAAACCAAGAGCTTCTGGTTAATAGCGACAAGACGATCGATGCGCGTGGAGCCAATGTCCATATCGCGCATGGCGCAGGGATCACGATGCAGTTTGTGAGGAATATCATCATACATGGATTGCACATTCACCACATTTCCGAGAGTAGTGGTGGTATGATCCGTGACTCGATAGACCATTTTGGAATGAGAACTAGAGCCGATGGAGACGGTATATCGATCTATGGTTCGTCTAACATTTGGCTTGACCATATTTCGATGTCGAAATGTCAAGATGGACTTATTGATGCCATTGTTGGATCCACTGGCATTACAATCTCTAATTCTCACTTCACTCACCACAACGACGTGAGCACTCGAACTTATCCATGTAGTTTTAGATTCTAGCTATATTTTTATCACTGACATTTGTTTATTTATTTATTTTTGTGTGTGTGGCATGCTTGATTGTGTAGGTGATGTTGCTTGGTGCGCAAAACACGAATGAAGCGGATAAGAAGATGCAAGTAACAGTGGCTTATAACCATTTTGGGAAAGGACTAGTGCAGAGGATGCCAAGGATCCGATGGGGATTTGTTCACGTTGTGAACAATGACTACACTCATTGGGAGCTTTACGCCATCGGAGGTAGTCAAGGTCCGACGATTCTCAGCCATGGAAACCGATTCATAGCTCCTCCACACAAACCTCATTACAGAGAGGTAACTGAAAAAATGAAAAAAAAAATGGGTTGTTACATTGCATTAAACAAAAGTTTGGGGTATGATCAAATTGTAAACTTGTGAAAAAATCAATTGGATGTAGGTGACAAAGAGAGATTATGCTTCAGAGGAGGAGTGGAAACACTGGAACTGGAGATCTGAGAAAGATATATTCATGAACGGAGCATATTTCAGACAATCAGGGAATCCTCATTTCAAATGTGATCACACGAGGCAACAAATGATTAAACCGAAACATGGATTAGCTGTTTCTAAGCTGACCAAATACGCAGGAGCACTTGATTGCAGAGTCGGAAGACGCTGTTAGAACGGCCCCCCTCTCCCTTCTTTTTTTTTCTTACTAATGTCTTAATCAAAGACAACTTTTTTCAACATTTTGATTTTTTGTCTTCTATCTAGTTCAGGAAATAACTATTTAAGGGGGTGAAAATGAAAAACGTTATTATTTGGGAAGGTTTATTTTTTTGTTTGTTTTTGTGTTATGGAAAAGAGATATATAAAGAGTGAGCGAATATAGCTGATTCTTGTACTACTACATTTGCATTTTGTGATGACTTCTCTTTCTCTTCTTTTATTTCAGCAAATTAATTCTTTTTTTTTGGTGATATTTTGATTAATATTTAAGACATTGATTATGAAACTAACGTGGATTATTTAATTTTTTAAAATAAAAAATCGAAAATTTCAAACGCTAATAATATATGGGTTGGGATTTTTACAAATATCAAGAATGAATACAATATAACTACTAAAATACATTACCTCTTCAAATTTTTTTTTTTTTTTGGGTATCAATTAGCTCTAGCTAGTCCTTAGTTGCTTCAAACAACCAAAATCCAACCATCAAATATTTCTTCTTTAAAACGTGCTAAAAAGGGGCGGATGGCGATGAGTATTCGAGATTTCAAAGAAGTATAATAATATTTGTTTCTTGATTTAATATATCTCAGCGAAGTTGAAATCATATATAATCAGCGTACACCGATTTGGCGTGCAATACCGGGATGTTGTTTATAGCCTTATTGTCAAAGATCTGAAATAAATAAATAAAAGACTACATTGCCAAAGCATATGATCTGAAGGCAAAAAAATAAAATAATGTATATATATAGCAAATGTAAAAGAAAATAATAATAGAATAATAACAAAAACAAAGATTCCTAGTACTCTCTACTTGCATTCCCTTATAACCCGGGGAAAAAAAAATTCCAGGGCCAAACCCGACATTTCTCTAAAGCATATACATACGAATGCTTTCAATGAAAGAAAACACACAAAACCATCCTTAAGATAAAGAAATAGTTTACATTAATTAGTATCCTTTTTACATCATATCTGTGGGAATTTATATAAGATGAATCAATAATTTATTTTGTTAAAACATTATGTTTGAAAAATCAACAATTTCGCGAGGTCTCTGTTAAAAAAAAGTAAAAAACCCGAATTTCCGGTTTACAATAACCAAGTTTTAAACCGACAAAACAGAGCAAGGGAACTATATAAATAATTTTTTTAATAAATATTTGTTTCCATATTTGCCCCTTTGCGAAGACCGAAACGGATAAAAAAAGAATCCGCTGTTTGAAAAAAACACAGCCCATAGGAAGGAAAAGAAGGGCCCCTGGTTTTGTCTCGATAATGGTATCTCTCTATCTTCTCTTTTCTTTCTTCCTTTTTTTTTCCCCCTGTTTTATATCTCATTCGTTCTACTTTTAATCCATTCTACGATTCAGACTCTGTCTTTCTCTTTGGTTGGTTTGTGAGATTCATGGGGTTTGAGATGAAAGCAGAGAAAGACGTTTTGGAATTGATTTCGAGTAAGAATCAATGCAAAGCTAAGAACTCTAATCCCAATTCCGTCAATTCGCCTCATAATAATAAGAAGAAGAATATTAGGAAGAAGAGTAAGAAGATGATGATGACGTGGCGACGGAAGAAGACTGATTCTTCTCCGGAGGATGAGATAACGGCGGTGCGGCGGCTGTTTAATACCTGCAAGGAAGTGTTCTCTGATGGTGGTCCTGGAATTGTTCCGTCTGAAGATAAAATCCAGCAACTACGACAAATCCTTGGTATGAAAAATCTGTTTTTTTTTTTGCGTTTCGTGTTTTTTTTTGGGGTTCTTCTGATTGGATTTTGATTATAAAAATATAGACAATATGAAACCAGAGGATGTCGGATTAACTCCGACCATGCCGTATTTCCGACCAAACGCCGGATTAGGAAATGGGTCTTCGCCACCAATAACGTATCTGCATCTACACCAATGTGATCAGTTCTCGGTAATTTCGCTAACCATACTCTCGCTTGTATTGTTTCTTTCTTGTGGTATAAGTAATCGTTGTTAGGGTTTATATCGCAGATTGGGATTTTCTGTTTGCCGCCTTCTGGGGTTATTCCTCTTCATAACCATCCAGGGATGACGGTTTTTAGCAAGCTCCTCTTTGGTACAATGCACATCAAGTCGTATGATTGGGTCGTTGATGCTCCAAGTAAGCTAACTTTCATTCCAAGAAATCTTTTGAGCTATGAAACTTGTTTGCTATTAATATCTTGGAGTTAATCTTTGGTAATTAGATATCCGGATGTGTATTCACAAAAGGAAGTGACTTTAATGTCTTATCTGGAAGATCCAATCCCAATTTAGTAAAAGATTATGTGCTCTTAGTGGGAATTCCTATAAATGGTGAATAATGAAATTGCCCGAATGAAAAAGTGTTTTTTTTTTTTGCATATTCAAGTTCTGCTATTTGTCATCTGATATACTTACTAGTCAAACCGTTCCACAGTGTTACCAATCAAAGCAAATATATAATAGTCTCTGATTTTAGACCCTTCATGATAATGTATGTAAACTTAAATCGATTGGTCTTATATATGATCTCAATTGCAGTGAAAGATCCGAAAACGCGACTAGCAAAAGTGAAGATGGATTCAACGTTAAACGCACCATGCAACGCCTCGATTTTGTACCCGGAAGATGGCGGGAACATGCATAGGTTCACAGCGAAAACAGCCTGCGCGGTGCTAGACGTGCTTGGCCCTCCTTACTGCAATCCAGAAGGCAGACATTGCACTTATTTCCTAGACTTCCCTATTGAAATATTCTCATCAGGTCAGCTTTTTTTATACTTGCTGTAAATCATGCATGATAGACTTTACACTATTATAATTACATGTAATTAAACAGATAGATAAAAGGTTTGTATGTGTTGTTTTCAGAGGAAGACGACGTTTTGAGAGGTGAAATGGGGAAAGAAAGTCATGCATGGCTGCAAGAAAGAGATGATAATCCAGAGGATCTTAACGTAGTTGGAGCGTTATACAGAGGCCCAAAGGTTGATGAGGACTGATCGCTTTTTGATCCATTTCACTTGTCAGATTTCGAATCAGTTTTTTTTCTTTCTTTTTTTGGGTTTCTTAGTTTAAATTCTTCTTGTACATAAAAGGAAAGGGAAACAGGAAAAAGAAAAGATCTTTACTGGTCAAAATCTTTGGTCTCTGTTCAAGTTTTTCTAATAGTAACCAAAATAAAATAGACTTGATGATATGAAACGGCTTTGATAGATTCCAACGTAGACTATATACGTAGTGTTTAGAATTTGTATTTAATATACATTGTGATTGTATTTTTTTTCCTTTTTGATTCATTTGGATTTGAGCTCGAATTCCAAACTATTACGAATAAATTGAAATAAATAAAATTGCAATGTATTTTTTTTCTTGGTTTGAATTTTGGAATGCATCATGCATGCTGTATTAAGGAACATTTATAATATCAAATTCATGTTCTTTGTAAATTAGTTATTTATATTCAGCAATATAACAGAATTGACGGTTAACCGGATAGCTGGTATATAAGAAGATAGAATTTGAACCAGCCGATATGTTCCACGCAGAAGAATAAGTTGTGGTACTAGCAGAGCCGGGCCTGAGATTTTTCAGGTTACAAGTGAGAAAAGATAAATTGGCCATTTTTTCTTCTAAATTTTTTGATGTGAGACAAGACCGATTTTTGGAAAAAAATATGAATAAATGTCTAATTCGTGCATCTAGAAGAAATCGAACCCACGTTAGCTTGTACACATTAGTCCATAAAACCACTAAACTAACTCATTTCTTTTGAAAATTGGCCCTAAAATATTTTATAAAGGTATTGGCCTAAAGCACACAAGCACAGCTCTGGTACTACTGGCTGTAAATGTACACGTTCTCCTTCATCTTAATCAAATACTTTCTGCGAGAACAACAAAAATTAAATGATCAAATTTGAATTCAAATCTCTTGGATAATGCATTGAGATGGGAGCCTTAATTATAAAGAACTAACAATAAAATAATCCATTCATTCAATGACCAATCCTAAACCATTGACTTAAATTTCAATAGAGAATCTCCAAGTTGTCTTTTGAACGTATAAATCTTTCTTTAATTGTTAATTTTCAATGTCTAAATCCAAACCATTGACCTTAGGTCAGTAGTAGAAACTATAAAATCTATTCTCAAGTTGGTATATGGCCCAAAAATTGTTTAAAAGTATATTATAGTTGTATTTCTTGTTGAAGACCACCAATCCACCATCAAATTATACGAATTCTCCGTTTCTCTGCATATATATAAAAAAACATTTATACTAACAAATTATATATATATATATATATATATCAAGCTGAATATATTTAATATATTCCAGATAGGACATATTCAAAACTCTTTGTAGAATTGGAAGTATAGATGTTTTATAATTCTAATTGTAGAACTGAGTATTTTTTGCATATATATTTTAAATTTATTTTAATGAACTAAATTAAAGGTTATGGACTTGATATTCGTACATCGTCATTGTCTGAAATCAAAATATGTAATATCGTTTTGTTCTGAGTATCACTCAGTCTTTTATAACTTCTAAACGTTGTTTTTGTGTTTTTTAGTCGAGATAACACACTTGATTAATATTACTTAATTATTTACAAGTTTTTTTGCCAAAAAAATATCTAACGTATTTTAAACAATATATTAATTATTTTTAACAGTGTGACATACAGAAATCATATGAAATCATATCTTATAGATATTATTTTTTGACTTCAGAAGTAATAAAATCGAGAAGGTCATTTCCAATTATATATATATATATATATTTCGATATATTATGGGTATATATATTATAACTTTGATATTTTATATAAAATATGAACGTTATTAAAAAAAAAGACTAGTAAAGCTCAGGTCAAGATCGCTGATCTGTCTTTGCGAGTCGCAGAGACATGTTAGTCGACCCTTTCATTCACTCATTTTCTGAAAAAATCAAAAACTTTCTTCTTTTCTTATAAATTTATTAGTAATATTATTTGACAGACAGTGCGGCCATATGAACATAACTAATTACACTGGAACTGAAATAAACAAGCTTATCGCAGATAAGAAAAAAAATAATTAATACAGTTGACCAAAGACTTTTATTGTCTAAATAAGACCAAAAGGTTGATAATCTTCCTTTGTCTTTATTGTGGATGATTAAGCCATCCATAATTTCCCACATCAAAATATTTAATATCATCGTCAGCCTTTAAGATGAAATTGAAAGGTTAGTAGTTATCACAAAATGAAGCAATTTAACAAACAAAAATGGAAACTACAGGTTCGCCTTCGCCCCATGGTAATAACAAATTTTGGAATGCCATCAAGAATACAACAAAGTTATTCGAATAAGCTTTGAATTTCTATGTAATTATCCACTAACAACAAAAAAATTCCATGTAATTAATAACTACTTAGTTTTACTTAATGGAGTTAATCATGTGTGACGTGCTAATTTAATATCTCATTGCTTACTGAATTAAACAATTACCACATTGCGACCACGATTGTTTACTTAACCATATAATGAACTGTACACATTTAGAATACTAGATAACAAGAAAGTCTTTTGTTTATATTAAATGAGTTTAGAGAAAACATAAAACAAATGAATGATGTAAATAAGTTGAGTTGATCAAAATGTTTACTAAATTTTTTTTTCTGTAATATAAAAAGCTGTGGGAGCTCAGATCCCCAAATTAAGTATTCAAAACTCAACTTGGCCTATGTGTAATCTAACTATATTCAGGGGATAAATTTATTAAATATCGTGAGATCAAATAAGAAGATGATTTTTTCCTAAAGTTATGTACGGCACCACACATAAAATATAGTATTGATTTGAAAGAACTAATAAATTGTCTGGTTTGAAGAATTGGAGACAGGAAAGACGACAATTTGCTAGCTTGTAGATTAATAAGAATTTTCACCCAACAAAATAGATTAATAAGAAAATCGCTAGCTAATTAATATATATCTAATGTTTTCTCTTTGTAATTTTACAGATAATTGTATACGAGTAAAGCTCATATGTAAAATTGTAATTAATAAAATATATATATTTTATTATATCTTAAAAAGAGTTGAAACTAAATTATTTATTAATATTTTAGAAGAAAATAGAGCAAATAATGCATGTTCTTCTTTTTTTTCAACGCCATGCATGCGTTACGTCACTGATGAAATTTGACAACTATGTGAAGCATTTGACATTCGTCATGTTGGTTAAAAAATGAAATTAGATGTTAACATGAATATGATAACACCATTGGGAAAAAACAATTATCTTTTAAATTAACTAAGTCAATAGTTGACAAAATCCTATATTTACCGTGTGTGACCTGCGTATTGACCGGTATACGCACCCTTTGGCCTACCATATGAACAAGGTTTTACATATACAACAACAATACTCAAATGCATAATATTTTTTCCTTTTCTGATCATGTTACATGATTTGACTTCAGTATTTGTTTTTAGTATTAATAGCCTATAAATCTTGTTTCTATTAGTTTTGTTTTTCTTGACGTCGTCTTGTTTCTTTTAGTAAAGATCGCTAATTCTACGAACCTTTTTTTTAAAGAATATACAGAATAAAATGTTCCAAACACCAAGGAATCATAGAATGCACGGAGAACACCTTCTAATCCCGTGAGACTCATCAAAGTTATTGACAAATCATACGTAACCGACTTTACTCTATCCAAGGAGACAAACGATATGAGGAGGGACTGGAGGGTGCTCTCTTATGTATTGATTTGGCTCAAGATATTAGTTCTCAAAAAGTGAAGCACTTGAATAAAGTTAACTAACAATATTGAAATTAATTTAATGTCATGTTTTGTCACTAGAATGGCAGAACATGAAAGCTGAAAATATCGTTATTATGCAATAGTGTCGATTATGAATCAAATAAATGGTTAATATACACTTCGATCAATTGAATGCATTGATGGTATGTCTATCAGTCTATGAATGTATAGCCTTATACATATTTTGAATATATAACGTGTTTTCGATGAGGGAGGACTAATAAATACACTAAATAAACAAATAATACAAGATTTAAAGAGTTGACGAATGCTCATGTGATGTGAGGCCAAGAGATAGAAGAAGTCTTCTTCCATGAAGCTTCAAGGATATCTCCCTTCACATTATACAATCTCTGTTTGACGCCGTACAATTAGGCTCTTTCTTTTATTGCATTTGAACATTTTAATAATACTCTAATTATATACCCAAGATCCATGTAGACTTTATCTACACTTGGTGTAATTTATATAAAAAAAAAATATGATGTGAAATCATTACAGTTTTCTTTTTGAAAATTATTCATTAAATTTATATATTGATTTTACACTTGTAATTTTTCTTGGATTTTGGAGCTAGAAAATTGTATTATAAATAATTAAATATCATTGGATTCACTTATTTTTATTTTATTTTCATAATGTTAAAACATATAAAACAAAGATATTTCGATTACAAAAATTCTAGTAAAGTCCATAGTTTGTTTTCATTATACTAGTTGTTTATATCTTGCCCCTATATTAAAACAGAGCAGTAGTATTATTATCAACAAACTTAGGAAATGGTTTCTTTATATTTCGCTAGTTAGTTTAAATAAATAACACATATATGATTGGAGGAAAAGGTACCGGAATTCAATAAATATAAATAAAAATATTGAACATGTTGAAGTGTTGACGCTTTGGGTCGCCTCGAAGAAACTACACAAATGGCTATAAGTAAAGGATTAAATGTCTGTACAGAAGAAAAAAAAACAGACAACAAAAGCAAAACAAAATTCATAGAAGAAGAAGAAGAAGAAGAAAAAGATCTTCTAATAAGAATGGAGGTTCCTCTGAAATTGCCCACTTCAGATTCTCTTCTTAAGGAAAAAGCTCTTGGATCTGTTCAATTCCACGAAGCTATTAAGGTAAATACCCACTCTATATATATATATATATATATATATATATATGTGCATATACAAAGTCCTATACAGATATGTATATGGAAGGAGGTTAGATTGTTGCATGTTTTTATGTAGTTCTTGTATCCTGGGATGGATCTTCAACTGTATGGTTTGCTTATTAATATAAAAAGTGAAATGTTAAGAACAGAGTTACGTATAAGTCATCTACAAAATATATTCTATATGTGTTTGAATAATTCGTTAGAATTTAGAACGGATCCTCCTGATTTATCCAAAAAAAAGGGAACAATTTTAGATTTAGTTCAAAAAAATCATCATTTTTCTTTTTTAATTCAAATGATCTTGTTTAGGTTGATGGTGATCATCAAGAACTTGAAACTGCCAAGGCCGAGATGAGCGAGGTGAAGGAAGAGAACGAGAAACTTAAAGGGATGCTCGAACGAATTGAAAGTGATTACAAATCTCTCAAACTCAGATTCTTCGACATAATTCAACAAGAACCTTCAAACAACCCAACTCAAGATCAAAACATGGCTACTCTTGCGAAGGTGACGACGGATTTGACTTCTTTAGATCAAGAACGCGAGCTTGTGTCGCTTTCACTTGGGAGAAGAAGTTCTTCCCCGAGTGATAACACCTCTAAAAAGGAAGAGAAAACAGACGCGATAAGCATAGAAGTCAAGGCTGACGAAGAATTGACCAAGGCTGGCTTGACCTTAGGGTTCAATAACGGCAATGGCCATGAACCGAATGGGAGTTTATCTGTCGAGAATCCGGCCAATTCTGGCATGGAAAATAGCTCGGATCAAGAAGCTCCGGGAGAAACTTGGAAGTCAAGTAAAGTCACAGGGAAGAGAAGCTCTCCGGCACCGACCTCCGGTGGAGATGTTGATGGTGAGGCCGGTCAGCAAAATCATGTTAAGAGAGCTAGAGTTTGTGTTAGAGCAAGATGTGACACACCAACGGTACGTCCTCTAATATATCCATTTAGTTTGATCTATAACTTTGATCTTTTTAAACAATTTGATTATTATTCATACATGACCACTGATTAGGACAAGTTTATTATATGTTGTATAGATGAATGATGGTTGCCAATGGAGAAAATATGGTCAAAAGATTGCGAAAGGAAATCCATGTCCACGAGCATACTATCGCTGCACGGTTGCACCTGGATGTCCCGTTAGAAAACAGGTATATAAATCTACAAATTAAAAAGGAACAAAATAGTCAAATCTATCTATCATTTTGATCTTGATTTTCTAATTTTGAAAGAATAATAATGAAACTGAAACCATATCTACCTTAAATTTGCTAGTTTGGTAAGGTTTTAATTTTTAGTTCATATTCCATATGTTATAAAATCTATTTTAAATGTGAACATTACTATGGCTATGATTATTTATGCGCGTAATTATAATATGAAAACGCAATGAAAGCAATCAGGGCCTTAAAAAAAAAACAGACCATCTAACTTCTAGCTATTTGTCTTAAACTATGGATGTTTTAGGTCCAAAGATGTGCAGAAGACATGTCCATACTAATCACAACCTACGAAGGAACACACAGCCATCCTCTTCCTCTCTCAGCCACCACCATGGCCTCTACTACTTCAGCAGCCGCCTCCATGCTCCTTTCCGGCTCCTCCTCTTCCTCATCAGCCACCGAAATGATCGGAAACAACCTCTACGACAATTCAAGATTCATCAACAACAACAAATCCTTCTATTCACCCACTCTTCACTCCCCATTACATCCTACCGTAACCCTTGACCTCACGGCTCCACAACATTCTTCTTCTTCTTCTTCATTGCCTTCTTTAAATTTCAACAAATTCTCAAACTCTTTCCAAAGATTCTCATCCACAAGCCTAAATTTCTCTTCTAATCCATCATCATCATCGTCAAACTCTTCTACTCTCAACCTACCCGCGATTTGGGGTAATGGGTATTCTTCTTATACCCCATATCCTTACAACAACGTCCAATTCGGGACCGACCTAGGAAAAACAGTCCAAAATAATCAGTCCCTGACCGAAACCCTAACGAAAGCGCTTACTTCCGACCCAAGTTTCCACTCAGTGATCGCAGCAGCGATCTCATCCATGGTCGGATCCAACGGGGAACAACGGATCGTCGGTCCAAGACATCCTTCTAGCAATAACATTCAACAGACCGCTGCAACAAATAATAACAAAGGATGTGGAGGCTATTTTAGCAGCTTATTGATGTCTAACATAATAGCGAATAATCAAACGGGTGCATCTTTGGATCAACCATCGTCGCAACTTCCTCCGTTCTCTATGTTCAAGAATTCTTCCTCTTCGCCATCTACCACTAATTTCGTGAACAAAGAAGAGAAAAGCTAGTGTATTGTATCAGAAGAACCTCCATTGTTAATTTTTGTTTGGTTTATTTACCAGGTGTTATAGTATTGTATCAGAAGATGTTGAGTCTTGTTTGTCTTTTCTTATTGGGGTTAGGATACTATGGAACTGAATTCAAATATACCAAATTAAATGTACAATATGATTTACTTGTGTAGCAAAGTTGGAAAAAATGGTTTTGTAACAGTTCTCTTGAATTAAAACTGTTGGACGGATCTGATTGGCAGATTCCACCTTATTGGGCTTTAAAAAATGGGCCCTGATGAGAAATCTTTGACATATAACGAAAACGCCCAAATAATTATGTTTCTTATATTTAGCATAAACATGGTGTGTTTGTGCTTATCTTTTAAAGTTTGGTGATTCATGCAGCTTTAGCTTTGAAGATTTATGTGAGTTTTTAGTTGTGATAAAAAGGAAAATTTGGAATACACAATCCGCTTTTATCTCCGAACTTCTCTATAAATCACTAATTCGTCGGAATTTCCTATTTTTGTCTTATTTTATCCGAATTACACAGCAACCTATATATACTCATCAAGAAATTCATCTTATTCATATTACTTATAATTCCGTTTTTTTTTTCTTCTTCTTAATTATGGCGAGAGTTTCGATTTTGTTGTGTTTGGTTCTATTGGTTACATTAGGAGTTGTGATAAGTGTCTCATTTGCCGACAATATTGAGGTGAAATCGAAACATTTGGAGAGCAGTAAGAAAGATACTAAAGTTGATCGTAATAGCAAACACATAGAGAAAGGAGGAGAAAAGATAAACGATGATCGCAATGCCGGTTCTGAAGTCGATAAAAACGGTAAAAACGACGAAAAGAAAGACCATGATGTGCATAAAAAGGGTGATCAACATGGAAAGAAAGACGATGATGAAGAGAAGAAGCATGGTGATAAGAAGAAGAGTGCTGATCATCTTAAAAATGGTAGGGGCAGCGATGATGATGATGAAAAGGAGCATAAGGATAAAAAGAAGGGTGAACATGATGATGATGATGATGATGATGATGATGAAACTGATACTGATACTGATGATGATACCGATGATGATGATGATGATGATGAAGATGAGGTTGATGGGGATGATGATGAAAAGGAGAATATTGGTTTATATGAGCTCAAGAAGGGAAATCTAACAGTCAAATTCACAAATTGGGGTGCTTCAATCATGTCTCTCCATTTTCCGGACAAAAATGGTTAGTGAACTAAATCATATTGAATGTTGCCAAATTTTTTTTTCAAAATTCCTCATTATATATTCACGTTTAATTTTGATGGACTTTCAGGAAAATCTGGCGATATTGTTCTTGGTTATGACAGCGTCAAAAGCTACAAGGTATACGTAGAAAAACTATTTTTCCTGTGTATTTTATATTATTTTAGATGTGCTAAATTGTACTTCTATATTAATTTTGATCATAAATCAGACCGATAAAGTCTATTTTGGAGCAACCGTGGGCCGAGTAGCGAATAGAATAGGAAAGGCCCAATTCAAATTGAATGGCAAAGAGTACAAGACAGTTGCCAACGATGGCAAAAACACACTTCATGGTAACTAATTATAACAAAAATAGATCACTTGATTATGTGAATATAATGATGTAATGGATTACCATTGTTCGAAAACTTAGGTGGAAAGAAAGGGTTTGGGGATGTAGTGTGGGCAGTTACAAAACACAAGTATGATGGCAAGAAACCTCACATTGTCTTCACTTACACAAGTCCTGATGGCGATCAAGGTCCCGTTTCTTTTCAATTTATTTCATTTTCAACCAAAAACTTTTGATACTACTAGTTTTAGGACAAATTTAACGATTGCTAGTTTTTTTTGTTCTTTTTCTTAAATCAATAGGGTTTCCCGGAGAACTCAATGTCACGGTGACTTATCAACTTGTCAAAAACAATGAATTAAGTGTGGTGATGGAGGCAATGCCTAAAGATAAAGCAACTCCGGTGAACTTAGCTCATCATTCTTATTGGAATCTTGGTGGTCATAACGCTGGAGATATTTTGTCTGAAGAAATTCAAATCCTCGGCTCAAGTTATACGCCCGTCGACGGTGAACTCATTCCCACCGGAAATATATCTCCGGTCAAAGGAACACCGTACGATTTTCTCCAACTCCGTCCTATTAAAGATAATATGAAGGATCTTAAAACAGGGTAAGTGTACGTACTTTTGCTACTAATATTTTTTTATTTGAATATATTGGTTACCTAATATTTTTTGTAATTATTGATTTTTTTTTTCTTGCAGATATGATATTAATTATTGCTTAGATGGTAAGGCGGATAAGATGAGGAAAATCGTGGAACTCATAGATAAGAAATCGGGTAGAAAAATGGAGTTATCAGGAAACCAACCGGGTTTGCAATTCTATACCGGAGGAATGTTAAAGAACATCAAGGGGAAGAATGGGACGGTTTACCAAGCTTACGCGGGATTATGTCTAGAAACACAAAGTTATCCAAACGCAGTAAATAATCCAAAATTTCCTTCACAGATTGTTGAGCCAGGGAAAAAGTACAAACACACTATGCTTTTCAAGTTCTCTATTGTTTCATAGAGCACTGTTTTAGATTTGATACATGAAGATATATATATCTTTGAACTATTATTATCAATATTCATGAAGAAGAAACTAGTTAGATTGTAAGTTTGTAACAGCTCAATCTTTCAAATCTCATGAAACTAACATGATTTATTTCACATGAAGTAGTTTATGCAAAAAATTGAACACTATTCTTTACTTTTCCCTTGTTTTTTGGTATGCAATTTTGATTATGAATTTCTTTTCAGAAAATGAGGACCGAAAATTCATAATGTTTTATTTTAATATACATATATATTATAGAGGTAAAAATCCACCAAGACGTAGAAGGATTTAATATTTATTTGTAAGGGCCACATCATAACAACTATCAATCTCAAGAAAATGCTCACATGCACACCAAGTGTTTTCAAGAATCTTGACATCTTTTGTTATACAAAGCATCTTTTTCGAAGAGTTTTCTCATTTGTTCACCAAACATATACAGTTACCTTTTAGGGAGATGTTGAGAAGTCGCTCGTGGGAATGCACTTTCTCGTCTCCGCTTTTGTCATTTTAACAATCAAAATTATGATTAAAATAAAATGATAAATATTTTTGGCCTTCTGGGGTTCAAGTATGAGTTTGTAATGCACCAACTTTAACTATCTTAATGAAGATATGACTTTGTATATAATCCCTTGAGAATATTTCACTGACCATCAATCTATACATTCAAAAAATAGTTTTATGTATATAGACGTACAGATTATTAGTAGGCAAAACTCACAAGCAAAGGTATAAATTAATTTCACCACAAAAAATTACGAAAGAAATTCGCACTTACTTAATTTGAGAGGATGTCAGAGTTCTTGATAAATTTTTTTTCACAAAATGGTTAATGGTGGTAAGAATGAATGAATTTTATTACTTTAACTTCTAACATCGAACTAGCTAGCTAATACACATTTAAATGCGAGTATGGCGGGTCAATCTTTTTGTTATGACGGTGTTTACTTAATCAAATGATAGAAAACAGAGTATTTAGGAGTTGACCTATGCATCATCCATCAACATAAACATGTGCACAGTGCACTTCACCAAAATTCTTATACAACTATATAAGACATATGAGTACCCCATGATCTCATCACATGCCATCATCTAGCTATATATATTCCATAACTTACGTATGTAAGTACGTATACATATGACATATCGAATAGTACTTGAATATATAAATTTTACAAAAATCTAGCTGTAACTTTGCTCTCACACAAACAATCCGTTTCAAAATATTTGGTGAAAAGTTCCCCTCTAGTGATTGATCATATATATATATATATAAGATATTGACGAGCAACCTTTTTACACATTAATTGGATGCTACACCATACGATCGAACACTATGTCAATTTAAAATACTCAGTAGTTTTAGATGATTCCGCTAAACTGAAACTATCCCAATCGCAAGTTTGAGTTTCTGTGGGAAGTGAAGTGGTGGTGGCAGTGAGGTCACATGGAGAGCCCACAAAGAAGAGAAATATGTGGTGTACTCTATTTGTTTTCTTGTGTTATAACTTCTAACAAAAAATATATATATATATATATACATTTTAGTTTATAAATTAAATTTATTGATACTTAAATTTAAAAGCATCCAAAGATCCGAAAAGCTAGCTAGATGAGTGAACGATTCTACTAACACTGTTTCACTTCTGTTCTCTTTTTGGACTTTTCTTCTTCGTCTTTGGAATGTGTGCTTCCGGTAATCTTCCTCATCTACCAGTTACCACTATCATTGTTATCTACAATTGTTAATAATAACTTCCATATTACATGTTCCTTTTTTGGTCTTGTAATATACCTTATGCTCAAGAGTACTCAAGGTATATTTATTGAAAAACAAAGTAATATATAACCGGTAGAGATTCATAAATGTTACTCAAATATAATGGTTCAAACTTTTACCGAAACAATTTAATTAAGAAATTTTGTTGTAAATATTTTGTTAAGTTAATAGTATTTATAATTAAGTTATGGGTTATGTTATCCTTGTTGAAAATGTTTTATTATAACGAATAGATAATTCTCCGTTAACCTCCCGAAATTCAAGAGAATAATCTATTTTGACATATGTCTATTGCAGTATTAAGTAGGACTAATTATAGTAAAACAAAACATAGGAGTGATTCATGGTGCTTTCATCATGTGCATGGGTCTAAACCAATGTGACTGAATAAAAAGTAAAATTGTACTTTGGATGGATTTGAATATTAGGTCTATCTATCCGACTGACTACGTAACGTACATTACAGACTGTTTCAAAATCTGGTCTAGTCCAAAAAAACTCAAATCATATATGTGTAATAATTCGCTATGAGTTCGTTCTTTAAAGTTTGCAATTTACGAACACAGTAAGAAAGGGAAAAAAATAAGCAGAAAAAAATATTATTGGAACTAAAAATGAATAAAATCAAGCAAATTGTGTACTTTATGTGATATAAAATGTTAAAACTTTTTTTAATAAATGAAGATTAAAAAATAATTCCTTCTTAGATGCATAAATATGAAATCTGTACTATTTACGAAAAATACTATTTTTTACATATAGCTGATTAAGAAAGATCACGAGCACACGATTACATCAAATAAATTTAAAAGGTCGATGGAAATATCAGATGCAATATAAATTTCACGGCTCATGTTGTGTCAATGGTGGAGCTGGAATCCCACTCGAAGGCACATGCATCTGATATTTTTTTTTTTGACAATTTTTTGTTATCAAACATTTTGATTTTTTTCCAGCATAATCTTTCCCACTAGTGATCCTAGAGGGATTTCACTCCCAATTTATTACCTTTATAACATACCAAATTTAAACCCTTATGTTTTTGTTATTTTCTTTTTAGCTTGGTGTTCCAACCTAGAAAAGTATTCAAAAATTAAAAGTTTATGTTTACATGTATATATTGCTATATATCTAGAAAAAACGAAAAAATCATAATGACCCATTTACTTCAAGAAAAATATTTGATCATAAAAAGCTGAACATTCGCAACAAAAAAAAAATAATAATCTCTGCAACATTAATGGATGAAAATGATGTTATGCGATTAGCAAAACAAAATCGTCGCTATTCATCAAAATATTATTAACTAAGCTATGAAATTTAATCACCACTGACGAAAATCTCTTATTAATAACATGTTTCATTGCTTTGATATTGACCTCGAAAAACTATTTCGAATGGAAAAAACAAACTTTTTTATTCAATTAAGTAACAAGAAATTAACATTCTAAAATTTTTGTTGAATATCCCCTATACACCAATTTTCTACAAACCCAAAAGAAACAAAAAAAACGATGAAAATAAATTTGAAAAAGTACCAAATAATTTCAAAATACTCAATTAAAAAAAAATCTACGAAATTTTCTTTTGATGATGATAATGATATCAAGATGAGTATGATGATGATGTTGATCAGGATTATGATAATCTTCTTGGGCAATATAATCAATTAAATTGATGGTGATTGTGATGTTGTTGCTGCTGGTCAGGCCATGCCCAATAACTAGCGGACGTCGTTTCATCAATACCACTGAACATATTGCAAAATCCTTGATCTTGAACCATCTGATGATCAATATGGGCCGAGGTCGAGGTCGTGGTGGCGGATCGGATTGAAGAAGGGAAAAGATCTTTGATCATGTTCACATGATTTATGTCTGAATTATTATTATTATTTTCTGTGCTTTCATTGTTGCTCCATGAAGCTTCTGCTAATTCTCTCTTGATGATCTTTGCTGATTCTTTACGGTCTTGTTTCTTCAATGCCACTAACTGTTTTGTGTACCATTATCACCACACGTAAACCAGCGTTAGTGGAGAAATTTATTCTCACCATAAATTTATTGATTTGTTTATAGAATAATTATCGTAATGTCAACTCCACAAGCACATGGGAATTTTATTAATTTTCAAATGAATGTTCACAAGAATCTTTATTTAATAATAAAAAATAATGTATAATTAATGTCTTTTGACAAACATCTTTGCGTTGGATCAAGAGCCTGTCAATAATCTAATTTCATTTCATATTATATTTTATATGTGCGTATATATATGTATATATTATTTAAAACCATTCTAAGATCTCTACATACGTGTTAATCCATGAAGATTTTCCTTTTGTTATAGTATATGCTATACTTTTTCACCTTTACTATATGCTTGAAAAATGAAAACGATTCATAACTAAAATTCTTTGTAAATTAAACTGTCAAACACATATATACTTAGTTTAGTAGCTTGTAAAAACATTCATATCAGTTTAATCGAAAATCGTTAGCTTTTAGATTAGCTCTAAGAAATAACGTGATGATGTAAAAAATACTAGAAGAATTTGTGTCTTTATACCTCAGCATGGAGTTTCTTGTTGTGGGCTAGAAGAGAATCGTTGTCCGATTTCAAAACGTCGAACTGTTTCTTGAGAGAATCATAGTCTCTCTCGAGCTGCTTTGTCTTCCACCTAGCTCTCCTGTTCTGAAACCATATCGCAATCTGCCTAGGCTGCAACCCTAAAGCCTTAGCAAGCTGCATCTTCCTCTCTGGCTCCAGCTTGTTTCCTAGCTCGAAGCTCTTCTCTAATGCCCTAACTTGCTCTAAATTCAGCCTCTTCTTCTTCTCTCCTAACATCATGTGAGACCCATCATCTGATAAATTGTCTTCTTCGCCCACCTGGTCCTGATCATTCATGTTCGTCGTGGTCGGGCTTTTTTGAGTTAGATGGTGGTGATCTGATACTCCCGTGAATGACATTGATCTGTTCATCATGTAGTTTCCTCCTCCTCCTCCTCCTCCTACATCAAAACAAAGCCAAGTTTGAGGACTTTGAAATTCAAGGTCGAAATTCAGAGTAGTCTCCAATTTCACTGAGAACAAGAATCCATCAAAAGCTTAGGACTTTCAAAATCAAAATTTGGCAAGGTCTTAACCCTTTTCACAAAGTATTATATATTTCTAAACATGTACATATATATATATATATATAGAGAGAGAGAGAGGGGTACCATAAAAGAGGTGAGGAGGGCAAGAAGGGAGAGAGGTAGGGGAAGGTAAGTGATGAGTATTGTCTTCATGGAGTTGCTGAAACATGAATCCATGTTGTGGAAAAGCCATCTCCAATCTCAATCCTTCTTGATTATTAATAATAGTGTTCCTTTCCTCCTCATACATATACATATATATATATATAATATACGTTTATGTGTATACACACGCTCAAAGCCGACCAATAATCAACTCTTCTTATGAATTGTGAGCTGATCAGTCTTCGTAATTTAGATCAAGAACTCGGTGGAGGTCAACAATACGAGCTCTTGAAGTTTTCGTGTAAGGGAGAATTTAGTGAGAAGAGGGAGAAGAAGAGGGAAGAGATCAGTTCATGAGAGGTTTGTATAGGACCCACCCTTTATACCATTTAAGCTTTAGGGCATATGCTGATCTTTTTTCTGGTTTTTTTGTATAGGACACTTGGGAAATTTAAAATTTTAAAAATTAAATACCACATGGATCTTTGACATATATACGTAATACGCACATACATTTTTGATTTTCCACTTCATCTATATAAACTGTTTTATCTTATGCTGTTAAGATACAGCTTAGCTTGTACATACATACAACTATAACCCAACTAATACATCAATTTAACATTTTTCCAAATTAAATCAGTTATTTTATCATACCATTATTATCGTAATATCACTGTTAGATCTCCAGATTCATCTATATATTATCTTTCGACCAATGTGCCATTTATGATATATACAGATTTGTTAGAAAAGTCTAACTAAAGAAATTAAGATCAAGGAAATAATCAATGTTAGTTTTTTGAAACTCTGTTCTAAAATTGTAGAGCTAGTGTAATCATATTACGAAGATAAGCAAAAAAAAATTAAAAAAATATGATGACACCCATTAATTGAGTCTCAATCCTCGAATATAGGCGTAGCATTAGGAAAATTGTCATCACTATAGTGTTGGAGCGGTACGCTAGAATCAATTATTAAGGGATTAACATCAATGTATCTCGGACATGAATTTTATTTTTTCAGGTGTAATCAATAATTGATTAATTATATTATACCCCCCTCCCCCGAATATCTAACTGTAGTCTGTACGTATAAGGTTAGTAGTGCGTCGACCACGATTATATAATCTTGAATTTATCAAATTTATTTTTAGCATTTTACGTACTGTCGCATACAATATTAATCTTCTTAAAAGGATTGAAATGTTTCATAAAACATATGTAAAATCACACTCATTGGTTTTTGAAGAACATTCCACAGTACAACTTAGACGCATGTGTGTTCTTCTCACCAGGTAAATGCGTTCACTCCATGCACCGACTTAAGTATTTCCTAACATAACCAAACTTGTTATGATTTAGATTTAAGCTAATAAAGTAATAAGTAATAACTAAATTGTATCAAACAATAAATAACAAAATTATTTCAAACAATAAATAACAAAATTATTTCAAACATATCTATAACCAAAATTATATTATATTTTATACAATTTGGGTCAAAATAAGTAAGTAAATTGATTTCTCTTTTTAGACTTGGCCTAAATATTTTCTAAAACTATCTTTTTATAACTCAAATATAGAAATATTTCATTCGAATTTTGACCAAGATATAAACAAAAGTTGTGATTGTAAAGTACAATTGAGTTTGATATAAATGGAATGGTTTTGAAAGTTAAAAGCACTCAAATCAGATGAGATTTCATAGTTTTCCAATTTTGGAACAGACTAATTTGGATTATCCGAATAAGAAAGCTTTACCGAAACACATCAGATCTATATATATATATATATATGTTGTGTTATGAGAATTGAGAAATATTGATTGGCAAAATGATGATTGAGATGCTCTTTCTTTCACTCTACTATATTTTGTTGGTAAGAGTTTTTATGAGTATCCAAGGTAGATGTGAAAGATAGAGACCCACCACTAGTGTTTCCCAATTGTCATATCTATGTGGTGGCTTTCGCAGTATCAAACATACAAAAAATATAGTTTTCTTATATTTGTTAGTATATGGTATACCTAAATTATAATACAAATATAAAATTTAAGAACCGGTCCTACAATATAGTGCCACAGACCTGTCCTACAACAAGGTATTTCACATGCTTGTATTGGGAAGATTTGAAAGAGTATTAACACCTATGTATCTATCCTCTTTGGCAATATGCTTTTGTTGCAGAAAATTATTGAATGTTTTTTTATTATATAATATGAAGAAAATATACATATATATATATATATATGATCTGAAGCTTCTCCAACTAGCTCCACTGCTCCCATGTGCTCTGCTTCCTTTCCTTCTCTGCCTCTGTCTTGGGATACTTCAACTCTCCACTCTTTAATTTTATATTTTCTTTTTAAATATTTAACGGGTTCATTTTTTCTTCGTTATATAAAATGGATTTGTTTGATCCTCTTTTTTTTTTTTTTTTAAGTCGAAATTTGATCCTCTTTTCGTTTATGTTATTTATTGACCCAGTCATGTAATATATATTTTATATCTAAATTAACCGTAGTCATCTTATCAATCATCTTGTTTCTTATTAATTAACCAAGCTAAAGCGATTCGTTCGTTTCTTCACAAACTATTATTATCACGCGGCAAGCAAAATATCTAGAACTAGATTCGGTCACGTCTGAACGAGTATCTAGAATATAAAAAACACCTATAAATTTTATTTGAAAATCCGTAAGTAATTACTGATCAATATAAACATCTTTCATTTCATTCAATTTTAGAGTTCTCTTGCGATGGATAACGGGGAGAAAATAAGTAAATGCATATTTGTGGTGTGGTGATTTGGATACTCAAAGCACGTACTTCCTTTCTTTTGCATGCAACACTATATTGCTTTCTTAAAAAAAAAAAATTGTAGTATTACAATCATCTCCACCCACATAGCACAATGTTCTTTTTTTTTTTTGTTAAAATAGCACAATATTCTTGTTATCTTCGATGATGTGTTTCGTTAACATCCATGTTGTCTAGGGCCCAATCTCTACTTTGGACTCGTAGATCTCATTCTCGACAGTCGAATGTACTTTTTATAGTCTGGATTCAAATTCACAGCTTGCGTGTCAAAAGAATAAACAATATTGCTTATTTAGTAGTTATTGATCAATTCACGAAGCTAATAACAGTCTATACTATTGGGCTAGCTTGTTTGTGTATATGGCCCAGTGCCAATCAGCGCAATAGCTGCGAAACCCATAAAACTAACTAGTGGGCTTATATATTTGGGCCTTTAAGAGACTTCGTAAATCATTAATTAGTTACCTCAAATATAAAGAGATCTATCCTTAAGCAGTCCAACTTTCTTGCAGATTGTTCTTCCCCAATGACGCCTATGGATCCACTTTCCTACATTCCCGTGTGCATTAAAAAGCATACAGACAGATGAGGGCTTGACTATTTTAGATGGTTTTTTTTTTTAGATAGTTACTAAGTACCTCTTTACAACTCTTCAGCTTCTTTACGTTCAAATTCTTCCCGACTTGGAAGGAGGCTATTTCCTTGACACACTGATCGTTTGGAGAAGATTCTTTGAAGTTTTCTTTAGTAGCATAACATTTGAAGATGCCATTCTTGGAACACATCCATTATTTTATAAATCTTATGTTATTCAATCATGAATTTTATAATCTTTCCAAATACTGGTTCTACTATATGAAAATATCTCTTAACATCCAATATTATTTAACTATAATCAGTTTTTAAAAATACTTCAAATCCACAGTTATTAAGAATAATTTTAAAATATTAGGTTTCTAATAACTTCAAAGTGTTTTAGATATTGAAAATTCCAGAAAACCAAATCTCATAATTTCAATTTTTTGAAAAATTGTATAATAACAAATCTTAACAATTTCTCAAAATTCAACTTAAAACATTCAAATCATTTAAAAAACATATCAAACTCAAATCATTCAAAATATTTGTCCAATACACCCAGAAAGTGTCGATTTATGAATTAAATTGTGTATCTTAACAAATTAGTTTTGAAAAGTCAAATAACGCGGAAAATGTGGGAAAGGACAAAGAGGTACTACATTGAATGGCCTTTTTTGACAATACCGTTAAACAGTGATAACGACCTTAACCGTGATGTAAATTCTGTTCATCTCCCCTTTCTCTCTTTTTTCCTTTTCTATTTTTTCCTTTTCTTTCTTTTGTTATTATTTATTTATCTAAATGAAACGAGAAATGAGAAATCACAGAAAGGAAACAAATGAGAAATTTAGATGTTTCCTTTATCCAACGGTGGGAACAATTATGTCGGTAGTTATAATAAAATTGTAGGGTAGAGCAACATTCACTATTTTATGACCCATCAATTACGTTTGTTTTGGAAGTTTCTAGCCGATATTTTTATCCCAAATATCATCTAGTAGTAAAAGTAATACCATGTAATAATAACATACTAGATGTTTTCTCGCGCCAGATACATTATTCGGTAAATTATCATATTTTTATTATAAATTTACCAGTTCTTACAAATTAATAAACAAACAAAAATTTGAGAGCAGAAGAAATTTCAGGTTGTGTTAGGGTTAAAAACTAATGGAGGTTTGCCGATATTTAAGAGATTAAATAGAATATTAAAGTGTATTACAATTATGTTTATTATACGTGTGGTTTTTTTAAAAAAAAAAAAAACAAAAATCAAATATATATGATGTTTTAAAATATATTGTTTATTTCTTTTTTCAGATAATTTGGAATTCTTATTAGTAATGAATTTTTAATAAATAAATCATTAAGGCTAGCTTTGTAATCCAACCACTATAACTTTCGTTCTCAGACAAAGTTAATTAATTCTCAAATAACTTAATAGATAATAGTATAAGTAAACATAACACGTACAATAATCATAGCGGTTAAATAGAAATTCGTTAATCACAATATGATGTGATTCATATATAAATATAGGTATCTAAATTAATGTAGGTTTCAGTTGAAAGGGACCATATAGGGATCCATCTCTACGCACCACCAACTTTACTGTAGAAATTTATAATTTTGATTCGAATATCAGTAATATAACTATATAAAAAATATATATTTAGAAGTACAAATCTATTCACAGCCTTTCCCATGCATAAAACAAACCAAATTTACAAATATAAATAGAAAAAATAATAGCTAGTAATAGATTAAAATAAAGTGCAATCGATATTAGTTGTAAGCAGTAGACAAATCATTTCACGTTTAGTTAGTTTGAATATCGGTTTGAAAACTACTAAATTTTAGCTCGTATATCGGTCGTTACGAGTGACGACTGAAGAACTGTGCTTTATATAGTTGATTATATAATCAGTAGTACTCTCAGCTTTATGTCGAAATCCAGAACTTTTTAGATGATGAAAATTGAAATCTATGTCCATTAAACAAATTTCCACTTTAGCTAATTACTTTATCAAATAGTTTTAACTAACCTAATAAGTCAAAGGTTTATGTCAAAAGGTCTACACTACATAATTTCCTCTATTTTCTTAGTAAAGAGTTTCTCGTAGTTAGTCGTTAAACTACAAAATAATATCCAATTTCAACCGATTTAACTACTTTACAGTTGCATCACGTAAATTTAACTTTTAGATGATTTTTATTATAATATTAATCAACAAATAAATAAAAGTGCAAACAGTGTTATGTATGGGAGCGATCGAAGTCCACAATTTCTGTAAACATCCATGTCTTTATATTTACATATATTCATATACTTTTTACATTATATGTGCGAGAGAGTAGCTTAATTACCTACGCTAATTTATGCAAAATTTGTGGCTCATGATCCCAAATCTCCGACAAATCTAAGTATTAACGTCCTTTATATTTCACATCTTCTCACAATAGACGACAAAGTCCTTTCAAGATTTGATATTAGTTATTTGTAAAATCTGTACTAATTTAGCAAGTATACCCCTTTTTTTTTGGCTAAAATTCGCGTCACTTTTTTTTGTGTCCTTATTGTAGCATTAATAAGCAACATTCCTGCCACTCGATATTTCAAGCAACGAGCTTACACATATTGACTGTAGATAATTAACGGAAAACCGGCAGAAAAATATGAACTTCTACCAATACGTGTATTTCTTTGGCTGAAGAAAGCCTGCCATTTGACAGAGTTGTTTTTTATTCAGTTAAAATAATTATGTGTGTATTTATATGCTTGTTTAGAAACTCTTCGTCTTTATTTATTCTTTTAAGAAAACAATATAAGATACCTAAATCATACTTCATTTACAGTGTAATTTACCTAAATTTTACTCATCTTTCGTTTCATTTCATTATTTATATATTAAGTCAAAAGGAACCAATTAATATATATTTTAGCCAATTTATAGTGGTGTAATACTTGAGAATTCTCCGTGTGAGACTAATGAAGATAAATTCCGAATCACCCTACTACGTTTTTAATCACTGTGTATGTTTTAAGTGATAATATTAATCGATTATTCCAAATTTAGTTTGAATCTCGATTAGAAACGAACTTCCAATGTTCATATATAGAGAGAGCGACATTTCATTTGTATAACACGGACATACAAATGAACACATATACATACAATATAAAAGGATTTAAACGAAGTAATTATCGGAAATGTTATTTATTATAATCAAAGCTTAATAGTTGCACGCATGATGTTAAAGCAAAAGAGGGTCAAATATGAACCCTAGCTGGCTATAGACTTGTAATTAATATATGAGAAACATATAATATATAATTAACTGGAAACTCTGATGGATCAACCTCGCAACGAGATTGTAAATTATATATCAACTAACCAACACTTATCTTAGTTATTCATTAATCAAGCTCCTAATGATGGCTGCTTGTGGGCTATTAGGATCAATGGTCTCCAGAAGCTGGGACAATCGATCACTGAGGTCATCGGCTTCTTTGTTCAAGTTTCTTATGTAGTTGCAAGTCTCTTGTAACACTTTCGATGCTGATACCTATATATTAAATTACAAAAATGTACATTTTATAGTCAGAATTCAAAATAAATATCCAAAACAAGTCTTAGCATGAAGTAACGATGCGTCTTAATTAATAATTTTAAAAAACATCGAGATGCTTATTGCTAGACATATTACAATATCATGCATTTTTATAAAAATACATGTTTAGATCAATGCTCAAAACTTATAAATTTTTTATTCAGTGATTAAAACCAAAACTCACACACTGTTTTAACGTTGAAGGCAAATCTAAGTAGTGATGTGTACTAAACGAAAACGATGTTTCCATTTATAGAAACCGGCCTTTCTCAATTTTTTTTCCTAAAGTTCGTCCTTTTCTTGTTTTATAGAAACCAAGATAACTAAATATATATAATTAAAAAAGTAAGTCGGTGCTGTACATATATAAATGTATTGAATTGATAGTCCGTGAAGCAATATAGTCGCCTCACATTCAATGCAATTTATCAATAATACAAGAGTAAACTTAATTAGAAGCTTAATCCTGAAGTTAGGGGAAATCTGTTCCCCTCTCCTCAAAGTCCGGTTAATGGTCAAAAGTCGTTTTAGAAACTTCAAATTGCAATCTCCCACACGTAATTACTGCATGACTATAATGCACTGTTCTAACATGTATATGTGAGTTTCTCTATTAACCATAGTAACAAACCTTAAGTAAATATCATATAATTCAAAATTATAATGAGATCAAAATAGTGAATCATAAATAGAAAGTTTCGAATTCGCTTAGATCATAAAACCCTGTCTTTTACCGTACATATAAAGAAGAGCCATATAAGTAACGTACAGAAGGAAAAAAATATTTTACCGTGTTGGAACGACGGTTTTGGCGAATCTCGGGAATTGACTGTCGGAGCTTTGAGATGAGATCAGTGATCTGATCATCGCTAATCCTCGATGATGAGCTTGTTTGTCTCGACCTTCTGCTAGACGACATTTTTATTTAGAAGAAAAAAAAATGTATACAAGAAAACACTCTTTTTTCTTGATCGCTTGCGGGTTAGAGCTAGAAGAAGTAATATTGTTTGTGTCGAAAGAAAGGGAGAAGAAAGAAGAAGAAAAGATTGTGTTATATAGAGGGCTAGGACCACTTCTAGAGAGAGAGAGAGAGGGAGAGAGAGAGTAATGCAATAAATTTAAATAGGGATGTTGGATATGACGAAGACAAGTGCAGAAGAGAGAGCAGTGGTTTAGAATTGGAGTCTTGGATACAAGACACGTGAATTATTATTTATCAGATTGTGATGTATATAGATTAAAAGATATGTCGTACATTAAAATTTTAAAACAAAGTAACTAAAACAACGATAGTTAGAACCATGATTATAATTTTTTACTTACCCTCTAGGTAATATGACATATATGAGACAAAAAGTTATCGTCGTTACAAAAGTAGCTAGCTTTGCCCGAGGTGCAAGTTTGTGAGAATGTATCAATAACTTTTAAGACCAAACGATCACAAGATCCTCCAAAATGACTCATTTTCATAATTTGCAAATTGTCATATGAAATTTTGTATACGCATAGAAAAACAAAAATTTACAGTGGGAATCGATTTATATTTCAACCAATAAAACAAAGAACATTAGAATATCGTCACTTGATTTTATAATATTATACTTGCGTAAAGCTTGTCTATATATGTACTGAGAGAGAGAGAGAGCAGACAGGGAGAGAGTATCAATATATATTCGATCGATGATACGTAAAACCAAGAAGATTTTGTGTATCAGTAATAGATATAGGTAAATTAAAAACAATTACTTCACTTAGGTCATTTGAGAGGAACGTACGGTATCTATCCTAACCACTAGGGAGGGGCTAGTCTTAGTCCAAGCTCTATCACGTGTTACTCAATACATAGTGTATGCTTTAGATATTTATATGAAATTTCTAAGAAAGGTGATTTTAAAACTGGCACTCCTCCACATGTGATTTTGCGTTTTTGCATAAACGCATATGGTATAATGATATTTTGGTCATATTAACAAAACATATGTTAGCTAGATAATCTAAACACATGATGACGATGATGATGATATGCAAAAGATATGATTGAAAGATCTGATGATAATATGTAGATGCATGATATGTATGAGAAAACAAGGAGATGGTGTGATGAATTGGACATTAAAGAAAAATGTTTGTTGATGAGCACACAAAGGTGGGACAATTTATGTTTTCATATTTTGAAGTTAATTTGGTTTACAACAAAAAACAAGTTTTAACCTCCCATGTGATGATATGACACTCTTTTTCCCCTCTAATCAGGGAGCATCCCCATCCTTCACGCCCCTCTTCCCACATGACATTTTTGTAATATCTCTTAACTTTCGTGTTCTGTTTTTAGTTAGAAGAATTGCGAGTTAAACCTTTTTCTTAAGAAGTTTAATTGTAGACTAGTAGTACTATAGTTGTTACAAAATATATGTATGCTATAGATTACATAAGAACTTTATTATATTAAGTTATTAACAAGGAATATTTACTGTAGAATAGGAGACCAGTTGAGTCTCACGACCTCACCCAATATCCACACTTGTTTGGACGAGTTTTATAACCGGTAGCAAACAAACAATCAAAACAATTGGTATGAGTGGCAAGACATTTGATTGGGCCTTAATATTCTATGATCCAATAAAAATTTTACGAATAAAGGAAAAGGAAAACATATGGAAACTACAAATGTATTCAGATATAGAGAGCTACAAGTTCACATTTCACATGTATACATTACAGTAGCGGACCTCGAGGTGCATGATAGGCCTTCGATGTATAAGTATACTGTATAATTTATACATGTTAAATGTGATTCTATATAGTAAAGGTCCATATGACCTGATTATGAGAATTTTACCTATGAGATGTGAAAAAAAAAATTGAATATTTCTCTAGACACTACTGATACTCTAAGGCTCAAGGCATTGGATAAAAACATCCAATCTTCTGCAAGTCCTATATCCTAAGTCTTAAGGCATTGGATAAAATTATCCAAACTTCTGGATACTGATTTGGCCAACTGTGAATGGCCAGAACATAGAAGAAGGATCTTGTTTCTTAATCAATAAATAAAAATCATGATTAGTTATTTATCAAGATTCGAGGACTATTTAACATGTCAAATAGCAATTGACTTATGAATCTTATTATCTTAATTATACCTATCTTTTTGTCTTTAAATTTTGATAGATATGATATTGGCAAAATCATCAAGGAAGGGGACGTGTGTCCTTGGAATTGTAGACATTGATTTTGAATGCTTGTCTTCATCTGTTTGTATTCTAAATGTCTACCGAATATGTACCACCGAAAATTCCCCATTTATTGATTCTTAATTTGATGTCTCGAATTTATCTCGTAGGTTTCTTGTAACCAACGACACACTTCTGTCATAATAAGTTGTAATATGAAATACTTCTGTCTCCAATTTCTCTGTTTATGTTGTGTGTTTCTAGTTCGTACTTATCACTTATGCTGATTAATCGTCTATGAATTCTACAAACAGAGATGTAAAAATGTCTTTTGGTAAACATTAGTGTAGATTATATAGATACTATGATTTTTTTTTTTTGATATAAAAGATATATATAACTAAAATTAGCCAACCAATAAACTGGTCTGTTGGCCCACGAGATTTTTAAAAATTTCAACCTCGTTCGTACGGCAGACTGAAATCGACAGGACAATTTTCTTTCACAGAAATTAAACACTTTATCAACTCTAATCCTATTCGTCGGTGGACTAATCCGATCAATCTACAAACTTTAATCATATCCGATCTGTAATCAAACTATCTTGGCCAATGGCCACTCTCTAAGTCTCAAAGTCATAATAGGTAAAGCTATTATCAACTATCTTGGCCAGACTTGTCCGTACACATCCTTCTTCGAGTACCCTCGGTCCCATGACCATGGAACATCTGAAAAATCACAGTGCCAATAAAAAAACGATAAGAATCCGCAAAAGAAAGAGATGATCTTTGTTGGAGAATGAAAGCGAAAATACCTTCGGACGAGTACGGCTTAGGAGGTAGTTGATAAGGAACCGGTAATGAGATTATCTCAGGCGAATCTATGTCTCCTTGCCAGGTCATTGTCACTAGCTTACTCCTCTTCTCTACCTCCTCTTTCGACTCTTGTTTTACCTGTCAACATAACACACAATTGAGAGGGAAAGAGATAGGTTTGTGTCCCGGTTTACGGAGATCATCTTACCTTCGTAGTACTCGGGTCGTTCTCGGAACACGAAAATTTACAACCTTGTGTTTTTACTGGAGATGGTAAGAACAAGACGCCCAACTAACAAAATCACAGTCCATGGAATCCAATTAGTGTTTAATAAAGGTCAAGACTTTGTTACGTGAAAACACCAGGATTTACCTCATAGGAACGGATCATCAACTGGGAGTTGTTTTTCTGAAGTGCTCCCCAGGCCGCTTTGCTAAGATTCGACGAGGTTAGCAAGAACCATCTATGGAAGCAAAACATGAACATTGATCACTAAATGCAGACTTTTTGCTATTAACTCGGTAACTAAAGATTGAGACTTTATGAACTTTACGCAAGCTTCTGGTCGCTGTAACGTGTGAACGTCTTTATATGTGGCATTGCACGGCTGTAACATTAAAAAGAATCAGAATTGAGTAGTAATCATAAGTTGGGTGGCAATTATTTAGTTTTTTGTAAATTACCCGCGAGCACTATGATCCGCTTTCCATTTTGCCCAATACTTTTTCAAGAATGGTTTCTCCACGTTCTTCAATGGGCTCGGAATTGCATTTCCAGCAGCATAACCCTTTGTTTGAAGATTTCACGGTTTAGAAGAAATACCCATAAAGTATACAAGGAAAGATGTAATCTTTACAAAAACTTTGTTCAGATTACCTCTAAAGAACACCTGACGTCTTCTACTGTAGGCCATATTATCAACGGATCACCAGGACCGAGAGGAGTTTTATCCTCTGTTATACCAGAAGACAAAGAAGCTCCAAATTCAGCCAACCACTTCTCGTCTAAAGAACCGAGGGAAGAAAACTGCAATACGAAAAATTGTAAAAGAAGACATTTTTTAGCAAGCGGTACAATAGCGAAAACGAAAGAAAGAAACTTGCACTGGAACACTACCTGATAAACTAACGGGGATCTGCGGAACTCTCTATCGAAAATGCATTCTTGAAGAATCGTCCGTAGTTTCATATGTCCCCACATTCTCAAGTTCAAACCAGTGTGGTATCCAGGAACTGATGCAATTAGTCGAACCTGAAAATTTCTTGCATATCTTAGCAAACAATAAGTATACAGATCGGCCAAAAGACTTTAGAGATATGATAGGTACCGTAGCACCCGAATAATCAAACTTTTTGAAGAAGGCAGCATTGATCTTGACATTACCACGACCAGGTAAGCTTGCAGTAAACTCAGGCCACTTAATAACAGTGAGGTAATCGATGAGATCACCTTCGAATCCGCAACTTTTAGGTGTATCTTTGTCATCACCATCTTTCCAAGGGAAATCTTGCATCCACAAACCTTGGCTTTTGTTGTTCCAATCAACATGGATCAGATTCGCAGTGTGTACTACAACTCTCACTCCTCGAGGATAGACAAGAAATATAGCTTTCGAATGGTGTGTCCCGAACGAAATAGGTAACCGTGGCTTATGAAGAATCCAATTAGCTGGCTTCTTCCTCTGTTAAACAAAACAGAGATTGGAGATTTCAGCCTTACCATTAACATCAGATTAGAAGAAATCAGCAGACCGTCATAACGAACCTGAATATACTCTTGCCTACCATCACTTTCTCCATGAATGACCATAACCTGGGGAATGTTGGCCAGTTTTGGGCAAGCTACAGAAGGATATTGCAGTGAACTAAATTAAGTTGGCACAAAACTACAACTACCCCCACAAACTAATCATTTCGACAAACTCAACAAACAAAATATGACAAAACCCACCTGACACTAACCAGTCTACATCAACCATATAATTCGACAGGATTGCAGCAACAACGTCTCCCTGTCATTTACAAATATATTTGTAGTCAACATGTCTGAACAGAAAAAAATTAGCTAATATGCTTGCATAAGACTGACCTCAATGACATCATTAATGGAAACACAAGAGGTATTAGCCCAATCAGGCAATCCATTAACACTCAAAAGCCGAAACGTTGAAGGTAGTTTGTCATTAGGTGGAACAAATCGACGAATAGCCTCTACCTCATCATCATTTCCTTGTGCTTCAGCCTAAACCAGTTTAATCATATCAAACAAAGCCTCAAAGTAAAAAAAAAAAAAAAAAAAAAAAAAGAGCTGTATTCTTTAGTTAGGCCAAGTAAGTAAACCTTTCGAGCTTTCTTAGCAACTCTTTCAGGGCTTCCTTTCTGATTCTCGCCATTGTTTTCAGGAGGTAACAACACAAGTTTGAAAAAATGATGACCAGGGATCAATTCAATAAGATCATCATTAGTTAATGAAACTTCTTCACGGGGATGTATCTTCTTCCTCTCGCCGCCGCCGGAAGACCTAATAACCACCGGATTCGTTCCTTCCTACCCAAAAGACACAAATTTGATATGATCAAAATCCGTAAAGAAGCGAATTGGCCGATAAAAATTTAAACTTTATTCTGTCTATAGTTTTACCACAGACAAGGAAGCTGAGCCAGACGTGGAAGCGATAATGGTGATGTGTTTGCGGCTGAGACGCTTATCGGCGATTGAAACGTTGCCGCGGCCGATAATGTTTGGTCCTTCTGATAAATTTATCCTTGGGGATGAATTGTCTTCCTTTAAATCTGCTTTCAACGGAATCAAATACGCAACCTACGCGGATACAAAATCAGAGGAATATATCCAACAATCGGCAATTGGAAGAGAAGGAAATTAGGGTTTCGTTTTTGAATGTCTTACTAATTAGAGTCTAGATACCTGAGAATGTGCCATTAAGGAAAACTTCGACGACTGTCTAAGGTTTTTTGTGCAGTGAAGTGTATTGAGGAAGAAGAAGAAGTAAAACGTATGCCATAATCTCACCACCGTATCAGCATCAGTATTAAGTATTACAACTCTGGAGATATTGCCATAAAAGTCTGGGTGGTGTAGTCGGTTATCACGCTAGTCTCACACACTAGAGGTCCCCGGTTCGAACCCGGGCTCAGACATTTTTTTTTATAATTTTTCGTTATTTTAAACCTTCTTACATTGACACGCGTCACCAACATATGGATTGGGAAGAAGCGCGGGAAGACACTACGTCATCAACATATTTTCCCGTTCTATTGCGCCTTGTATGTTACAAGACCACTGTAATAGACAATCCATGCCCATTTTTTAACCCGTAATTTAATAGATTCTGAAAAAATAAATAAAGAAAAATTTATTAAAAATGCATAACGATAGGATCAAAGAACAACCATCTCACAGTCAGACCCAAAAAAAAAAAGAGCAACTATCTCACCATTACCGCATTACGTTGAAATGTTACTATCAAATGAGTGTGATTGGACGAATAAGCAGATTATTACTCGGACAGAATAATTGCTGTGATAAGAGTTCCAAGATTGAACAGTATACTTAAGTCCAAATCTTTCGTCAAAGATTGTCAAGCGGATACTAATTAATTACGTAAAAATTTAAGCTGTATCATTTCCTCCTACCGTATCATTGTCACTTTGTCAGTTTAGAAGTCCAATATCACAAGCAAGAATTGTTCATTTTTAATTCTCCTTACCTACCAGCCATTTGTGTACGTGTAAAATAGTTAATTGTGGACGGCTCGTGTTGCATTTTAATTGTTACGAAATATAATATAGTTTTTCTTTGTGGTTTACTTGTCAATTTCAAGTTAGTTATCGACAAATTCCTGTTAATTTATTTATTGTCAAGCAAATTTTTTTATTCATTTCAAAACCTAATTGACGGAAAGACCTGAAGTTACCAAGTTAGTTCTAAGAACTCAAGTTTCTGCTACTGTTTTTTGTTCAAATTTTTTTGGCAGCCTTTTTCTGGTGGAAATAGTAATATACATCAAGGACACCAATATACCATAAACAAATGAAAACCAGATACATTCCACAAGTAATTACAAACAAAAAAATCCTACGCGACTACTAGGCATTTTTATAATAGTTTGTGTTTAGTTTGACTTAAACTTTAGTATTTCCAGCTTCCATAACAATATTATTACATAAGATTATGTTAGCATAGCATAAATAACAACATCTTCATCTCAATTAGTCTCACAAAGCATCGATCAAAAGATCTAATAAAAGTATGGTTACTTTGAAGATGTCTCTCTCTTGTTTCTTCCTCCTTCAAATATCGTTGTTCTTGCTCTTTTCGTTTGATCCAACCAACGCGCATGGATTGAAAGTCGGATTTTACGACAACACATGCCCAAAAGCCGAGCTTATTGTTATGAAGTCTGTCTCTGACGTGATGAAGAAGGATCCAACAATTGGAGCTCCTTTGCTTAGAATGTTCTTCCACGATTGTTTCGTCCGGGTAATGTTTTTTTCTCTTCATCACAAGATTCACAACCCTAATTTCAAATACGTGTTTTTGGTAGTTAATTTATCAGTCTAATGATTGAACCATGATGTTTAGGGATGCGAAGGGTCGGTCTTGCTAGAGCTAAAGAATAAAAAAGACGAGAAGAACGCAGCTCCTAACCTTAGCATTCGAGGGTTTGAGGTCATAGACAATATCAAGGCATCTCTAGAAAAGGAGTGCCCAGGCGTTGTTTCTTGCTCTGATGTATTGGCTCTTGTCGCTAGAGACGCAGTGGTTGCGGTAAGTATAAATTTTAAGTATTAAGGGAGAATAATCTAGTACTATTACGTCGAGTTAACGAGTTCTTTCTTGCACGCTCTCTTTATGTCTATTACAATGTTCACATAGTGATTAGAGACTCTATAAAGTATAAATTATATATCCTAGTGAAATATACGCCAGGCTATTTGCTATATATATTATATATATGGCATGTTTGGATTTTTAACAACCATTATATATTTAGATGAATGGAAGGTCGTGGGGAGTTGAAACGGGACGAAGAGACGGTCGGGTTACAAACATCAATGAGGCCAATTCGAACTTACCATCACCATTCGATAATATCACTAGCCTTATCACCCAGTTTCATTCCAAAGGCCTCGACAAGAAAGACCTCGCCGTGCTTTCAGGTATATATATATAATAGAATCAGAATTATCATAAATTAATTCTAGAACAATGCTTCAAAAAGTATTTGGTATCGGGTTTTTAACCGAGATCTGACCGGAAAATTGCAAAACTAGTCTTAACTCAATTATTTTGACTTTTGACTTCAGAGATTGAAAATTTATCAGACTTTATAAATCAGGTTTTGAATGAAGGCAGAGGAACAAAAAAGACAAATTAATTATTATTATTATTTTGATATCCACAAGTATTGTTAACAATAGACCAAATATAAAAACAAAAAGAGTGCCTGCCGAGGCAATGTTTGATGGAAAAAGAAATATCTATAATTTATCTAGTCCGGCCCTCATTTAATTAAATTTATACGTGATCTGCCCCCATATACAATACGTTCTTTTTATTCATGCTATGCATATAACAAAGGTTTCTAATTTCATTCTCAATTTTCTTATTTTCGCTAATGTCAGACAGTTATGTCTTTTAGAAGATTTAAAGATTAGTCTTGACTTCGGTTAGAATTTTGTTAAAAAATTAGAATAAATAATTCATTCTCAACTTAATTATATGTATTTCATATTTGAAAGGTGGGCACACGGTTGGGATCGGACATTGTCCTCTAATCGCAAACCGGCTCTACAATTTCACTGGAAAAGGAGACAGCGATCCGAACTTAGACTCGGAATACGCAGCCAGGCTCAAACAAAAATGCAAGCCGACTGATACCACGACGGCTCTGGAAATGGATCCAGGGAGCTTCAAAACATTCGATGATAGCTTCTTCAAGCTTGTGTCTAAAAGAAGAGGGTTCTTTCAGTCTGATGCAGCTCTTTTAGACAACCAAGAAACTAAGTCTTATGTTCTCAAGCAAACGAAAAATCATGGCTCTACTTTCTTCGAGGACTTTGGTGTCTCTATGGTGAAGATGGGTCGGATTGGGGTTTTAACGGGTCGGGTCGGGGAAATTCGGAAGAAGTGCACAATGGTTAATTAAGTGGTGATATTCTCGTCTGAAGAATTATGTGTGATGAAATAAATGTATTTCTTTTCTTCTTCTTTTTTGAACTTAAACAAATGTATTTCCAATGGAATATAAAATTGTAAATCTTATTATAATCAAGTTTCTTTCGTCACAAAATTGATATAGAGGCTGTACGTCGTCTTTTAAAAATTAAGAACATATATATTGATAGGGATGTATTTTCTAGCTTTCACTGAAAATCATTCTTCTCAACAAAAAAAAAAATAAAATGCAAGATGTTAAATATACATTGAATTTAAAAATATATAGCGATTGATTAGTATATGTAATAGCTAATGGAAACAAATAAATTACCAAAATCTTCTACAAAGGCTATGATTTGATCACTTATACTTTGCTTATATTTTATATATAATCTTAAATCTTGCTTTTGTTGACATTCATCTTATTTCTTTTTTTTAAAGATTAGTGTTTCTGGAAATTCTATAGATGTAGAAAAACACCCAATATTATATTTTCCGTCTTGTAGTGAACGATGTTCTCTTATATCATCAGTGGCCATTAGCAAACTATAATTAAGTTTTAACTTCTTAAGGAGTACTATAATCTCTAGACTTGTAAATAGCTTTGCATTAGTTGATCATATCTTCAATATATAAGTAAATTTTGAATTTAGGTGACCCTTTAGGCCTTTATTTATATTTTGATTTTATGAAAGGTTAAATCATTTCAAATTGGGCGATGTACACATAGATTTGATAACTACACGCATATATATAGAGAGAAATACATGTAAACAAAAGTCGAGCATAAAGTTTCATGAGCTCATATATACATTCACGGTTTATAACTTTATATACACATGACATTACGACAAGAAAAGGCTTTTTTCTCTAAGAGGATTTCCAGAAACAAAACGAAAACAAAAACAAAAAGCCTAAAGGAAGAAAAACAGAGAAAGTAAAAAGAAAACGCAGAGGACAAATCACCTGCAAGAACAAAAATGATCAACCAAAAACTAAGTTAATAAGCGAATTTAACAATAATAATCCGAGCTCAATACATCATCATATGAATACAGAAATCAAAAGTTTAGCGTAATTTAGAAACAGAGAGAGTGATAGAGAGAGACGATCGAACCTTGATCGATTTAGATCTGGGAATCATCACTGAACAGCGTTAACGGATCTAACTTTTCCACTGAGAGGCGAACACGGCAGATTCGGCCGCGAGATCAGGAACAGATCGAGACGACGTGGAAGAACATATCGCCGATTCTCTGGATTTGCGGCTTTGTCTTCGACGAGAACGCAGAGATCCTCCTCCCTGATCTTCAAAACCTGGCTATGTACTCTTTACCCGTCGTCGCAGTGATCGGAGCAGCTACCCAACGTCCGACGGATCTCGGAGACTCCGTCTCAGCTTCCGATGATCCGCTGCTCTCTGTTTCGAGCTCCTCCACCATCTTCTTAGCGATCGCCTCCATCTCCGGCCAAGTTTCGACTTCTCTTCTCATCGTCATCATCTATAAAACAGAGATTTGGGGATAATTTCGAAATTCGAAATTTGAAAATTTATTGTGAACTGTGAAAGACATGTGAAACGGAGCTTCCTAATTTATATACGGAGCTTAAGTTAACAGGATAAAAAAACGGTTACTGATTGACGTGTCGATATTGATGACGTCACGAGAAATGTTTTACACCATAGAGGTTTTGACACGTGACGAATTAGATGGGCCGGTGGGTTAGAGAAATGGTATGGACCGAATCTCTCTGTGTGTTGTTTGACCGATGAAAATGAGACGTGTGGAAGAAGAGGAAATCGGATCTGAAAACGACCAAATCCGGCGCCGTTTTGTTCGGCATCTTCCAAAAACACTAGTTCGATAACTTACAAAAGATTATTGCCACGTCATTCCCAAAAATCTCTCTTAGATTTTGTTTTCAAGAACGACATTTCATGAGCTCCATATAATTCTATACAGATGGAGGTTATTTCTGATATTTATATTTATTGATAACAGATATTTGTTGTATATCACAGAGTTTAATTGATTTTTATGGTAATCAGATTTCTGTAAAAAAGAAGTCGTTAACAGATCTATGTTGCTTAAATTATAAAAGTAAAGTTGATGTGAAATAGTTTGTTCTTGCTGAGATGGAATCAAACTGGACAGTTTGGAATTTACTATTAAGATTTTGAATTTGTTTACAACATATTTCTAGTAGGTTTGAATACTTTCGTGGCGATAAAAGTTTCATTTTCTTAGTATAATATAGTAACTAGTAGAATTGTAATGGTCGAATGATTGGTAATTTAAAGGTAAGATCATATCCATGGGCAGATATTGAAAGCTATATACTACTAGATTATTGAAATCTAAAAAGACGTTTAAATACGTGTAAAAATGGGATTGATTTGGTTGTCTAATGGCTCCGGTCGGGGGATTAATGATACTACTACTTTTGATTTACGTGTCGGAATAACCGACCGATGCTTGAATCTTAGAAGTATAAAACAAATTATGTGGTATTTAAATTTGTTTTAGTATGGTGAGACGGTTTCCACGTGGTTCGCATGTAACACGTGTGTTAAGGTATACCGATTACCGAGTGTTAGAATTAGAAATCGAGTGGAACTGTGTATCCACGGACAACGATATCACTAACTACAACATTATGAATCATTATGACCAGGTATAATAAACGGGATCCCTATAATAAACTAAGATTTGTTCGAAAATAAATAAATAAATAAAGAAAGATTTGAATAAAAAATTAATGCTTGTCATACAGAGTTTAAGAAATGGGCTTGGTTAGTTTTCTGTATATTATAAGGTCCGTAAGAGACTTTGGGCTTATCGCCAATAAGACTACTTGATATAATGAAAGCTTACGAAATAAGACAACAATTAAAAGAAAATGTGAGAGATAAATAAGCGAGTTGAGCTCAAACAAAATCTTTGGAGAAATATAAAGAAATCATCATAAAACAATCCTTTGAAAAACAAAGAACAAAGTTGCAAGACTACAAAATATCAAAAAGCAGATTGCTTCACAGCTAAAACAGGTGAGAGTTTAGATTTACTCTTCATCATCAGCGTCTGCGTCGCCACCACCAGAGGCTTTCTTGGAGGCAGACTTCTCATTCCTTCTCTTCACTCTACCGGGACGGCCACCACCGAAGGGACTGGTCAAAGCAAAGTCGATGTGCTTCTGTGAATCAAGTCTCACCATGAATGATGGAATGTTCACCAATTGCTTCCCAACCCTAAGAACAACAGTTAAGACAAACCAGGTTAAGTCGATCAGTATTCAAAATTAAATCTTTTAGAGCACACAATGCATATGATTGAGAAAGGCACTACGGTCAATTCATTCATGAAATGGTTATAGACCAAAACAGTACAAAATGTTTGAAGTTATAACTAAGGCTAAGCTCACTCCAGCTTAAGCTAGCTAAACTAGTCTAAATAGTTCTGGCATGCTAATTTTCATTCAAATTCAATAGACATCAAACAAAACCCGACTTGAACACACAAGAAAGAGATTATTACCTGATATGCCTCTGCCTGATGAGGACACGGGAGTGATGGATAGACTTAGCCATACCAGACTTGAAGACAATAGTCTGAAGACGACGCTCAAGGAAATTCTCAACAGTCAAAGCCAAGACGTAATCGAGCTTGTTCTGGCTCTCGTCAAGAAGCCCATAACGGTTCATCCTACGGAGGAGTGCCTCACCTTCAAAGATCCGTTTGGGGTTCTTCTCGTCAAGAGTCAGAAGATCTCTAGCAGCGTTACGGATACGGCTAAGAGCATACTGCACTCTCCAGAGCTCACGCTTGTTACGGAGACCATACTCACCGACGAGTTTCAATTCAGAGTCGAGACGCTCCTTCTCGTATGGACGACGAGGTCCCTTGAAGGTCTTTCCATCTATTCACAACACACATTCAAGCGAATTATTAGCAAATGAGTAAGATCTCTGAGACCAAAATGTGTTGACATATCTGAGATTCGCTCATTACACAAAAACGACTACACAGATACACGAACGGAGGTTCCTAAGCTACAGTTCAACATATTCTAGATGATTCCAAGTATTGAGCATAAAATCAAAATCTCAATCAACTTCCAATGAATCAGCCATTTCAAAGAGAAGCCCCTACGTAGCTCGAATCGACAATGAGCGATAATCTAAACAACAAGAGGAAATGAGAGGCTTACAGTTGCGGTAGTAGCAAACGTGCACCATATCTTCGTCTCCTTAACGATAATCGGCGATCTGGAAAACTAGGGCACGCAGAGAGCTTCCAATGAGACGGCGTTCTTATTAATAGGGTTTCTAAAACCCTAATTATTGTTTCTAGATTGGGCCTTTCCGAGTATCTGGGCCCGTTTATTTCGCTTTGGGCTCAGAATTATTTTCTTTTTCTTTTCTTTTCTGGCACTAAGATTTCATTTTTTTTTTTTTTGAACATCAGATTTAATTGTTAACTTTGAAGTTTGAACAACGATAAATCTCCAAAGAATGTGTCATTTACCAGTCTTGCCTTAAAAGAATAGCACGAATATTTTTAAGTAAGCAGTGTCTCGAATAAATATATCTTAGCATCTAATCTAATACCCAAGAGTTTTACTCTAGCAGCGAAGTTACACGGAGATATATAGATAAAACAAATGAACCCTTGTGACTAACTTATTGAACCAATCAAATCCGAAAAAGTCGATTTGTAAACCAAATCATATGCCTTGTGAATGTCTTGGCATAATCTTTAAAAGCCCATTATTTTCGATCAGCCCTAGAAGACAAACCTGATCAATACACAAACTTTTAGAATGATCGTACCTAAGATTAAGAATGTCATTTAAAATAATTTTTAAAATTTCTATCCAAGTCAGAAACAAAAAACTAATAATTGCGAGGTGTTTTTAGATGTTTTAACAGACTTGCCTTAAAAGAGCAGCAAGAATATTTTTTAAGTGATTAGTGTCTCCAATAATTTTAACTGGGTGCCTAATCTTACCAACTCCTAATCATTTTGGATAATCACATTCTAACATCTAAATACGGTAGTTGACTGCTAGGATTGTAGGATCGAAGATAACTAACTATACCTGTCTTAATTTTTTAGTTTTTGTATATACTAAGTACTAAACCATTTAGTAAACATAATAAACAATATAGCAGCACAAGTGTTACTAACAACTCTTCACTATATAAAGACATTTATACTCCTAGACTAAGTATTCAAAAAGTGTTTCACGGATTTCACTTTGTTATTAAAATTTGGAGGGGTTAGTTCTTATCTTTCTCGTACTACACCTCAAATCACCTCTCTAACCAAAGATAAACAACTAGTTAAAAAAGCAAAAGACATCTTAAACAGAATAGAAAAGATTTGACCCGTTGACTAAAAATAAAAAATCGTAGAACACAAGAAGAAAAAAAGAAAAAAGAAAGAGAATTAGCGTCAAAACGACACGGTTTAACGTCAATTTCATAAATTCTCTTCACAACGTCGAAGAAAACGACACATTCGTCGGAACACTCTCACCACCGTCTCCTCCTCCTCCTACTCCGCCGTTAGCTCTTCTAGCTCCACCGCGTCCAGAGATCTTGTTGTTATGCATCCACACTTTGAAAACGCTTCTCTCAACTCCGATCTCCCGACAAAACTCCCTAACCGCCACGTCATCGGCTTTCGGCATCCTCCACCCAACTCTCTCCGAGAACTCGAACATCTTCTCCTTCTGAAACTGACTAAACTTCGTCCTAAACCGTTTCCTCGACATCGGAACCGCCGTGGCTCCTCCCGAGAGCGCGAGGAGCATGTAAGAAGACGAGATCGGCGGCGGAGAAGCAGAATCGTCCTCGTCTGGGCTACGAATCCCCAGCGACGGAGGCGGCGGCGGAGGAAGCTGGTGACGGTTATGAGGACGGAACTCGATCGCCGGGACGATGGCGGAAACAGAGGATGGATCTTCTTCACGGCGGTGGAAGTTACGGTGGCAACCGCAGGCGGCGCATGTTAGTGAAGCGGGGTCGTTCGAGTTAAACGACAGAGACGGCATAAACTCGCCGCAACCGTCTAAAGCGTGACCGCCGATTCCGGCGGCGTGGTTCTTTAGGCATTCTTTGTAAGTAGCAACCGCAACCGCTTCAGACGCGAGATGATGATGGTAGTGGTGGCAGCGTTTGCCGTTTGAGAATGAAATAGGCTTCGCCGGCTGGATCCGGGTCGGAGCTTCGATTTCGGGTTTTCGCGAATCGAAGTCGGATACTGTAGTAGTTGTAGTAGCTATTACATCCATGACTTCAAAAACATTTATGGTTTCCACACACAAAAAAAAATCTCTTTCTCTTGTAAAGTTGAGATATTTGAGTTTAGGGATGGTTTATTGCTAATTGGATAGAAAATACGACTAACAAGAAAAAAACTTATTAAAAAAAACAATGGGTTTCTAAATATGGGAGAAGAAGAAGAAGAAGGGTTGAGAAGTGAAGGTAAGATAAAGGTTACACTAAACGAAACTGTTTTTTAATTGTAAAGTCGAAATCTTTGGGAATTTGGGTTAGCTGTGTGGACAGACATAAGATCAGAAAGCGAAATTGTTAAAAATATGTATTATATTACTCTACTACCATGGAGGAAGAAGAGATGAGAAGTTGAACACTGTTGATAATGAGAAATCCAAGTTGTGTGGTTGAGATTCATAATCATTATGGGACTTTTTTTTTTTTTGCTTTGGCGAAAATAATTTAACCATGGTTTGTTGACCCCACCCTAGGGTTAATATTTAAGTTAAGTGTAATAAATATAGGCTAATAAATAGGGTTCATAGAACAGCATCTAATGTGAGTCATGTCTTTTTCTTTTTGCTAAGTTTGTATGTCCATGACGTTGACGACTAATTAATATATACTCAAATTTATAACAATACATTATTCATCTTTTTATGTTACCTTTCAATTAGTATTATATTATATTTCTTAATAAGCTTAAAAATACGTGCTTTTTGTGACAAAATCATAAGCTAAGGTTTATTAATTCGTGATACTAATTAACTGATGCCAAAGAACTAAACATTAATGTTTATTTATCCAAAATGTTCTAAATTCGGTCGTCCCTAGTTATGCAAATGATTTGTCTTCGATATTTTGTGTGAAAATGTTTTTTTGTTTAAGTATCCATGTTGACTGTTGTCCTTATGTAGAGAGGATCAGAGGACGGCCACAAAACAAGTATGTGTTTAATGGATTAAAGGTATTAAGACTTTGTTAAGACTTTGTCTTTTTGGTAGCCAAGCTTGTATAGCTAACTAGCTAACTGTGCTTATAAACGAGCACTCTTTGTATAGCAAGGTTAATCGCTTAATACTAATACTATCGTTCATTTTTATTACTCTTCATAAATTTTCTGTTATTCGAGTGTACGATTCATCTTGTGTGTCTTCACGTCCGTCCTAAATGACACGACCAGTGGTGAAGCAACGACGTCGTTCATCTCAAACTTCTTAATTCGTTGAAAATGTCTTTAGTTAGAGGCGTAGATCAAAATAACCAAATTTATGTAGTTAGCATTTAGTTAAAACTGTAAATTGCATATATAAATTCCACATTCCACCATATGTCCATAGGCGAATTACCAATAGCTGAATAAGTAATTCATGGCAAAAGCTCTCAGATAAGTAATCGCTTGTGATGATTTTTTCAAAAAAAAAAAAAGAATCGCTAGTGACTAGTGGTGTATTCGTAAATAATTAACAACTCCAACCATTTCCTCTCCTTGAGGTAAAAAGATATGAGTTTGTCCTAACTCCTAAAGTCCTAACATCAAAGAGCTTACAGTCTGATCCATATCTTGCCAAATGGCCTCGCCTAATCGAATCATGTTTATTTATATTAAGATCCAAGAGACCAAGACCATTTGCTACTTCTCTAATATTTAAACAACTGCATCATTAATTTATTACTTAATTAAATTCAAAGAATTTGAATGTCGGTATATATTACGACTTGCACGACTTAGGGGAACCAAAGGGAACCACCGTATCAACATTGTATTCAAATGTATATGATTTTTTTTTTAATACATAAATTTAGATATCAGTACCTTAATTATACCCTCATTAACGATTGTCTTAAGATTTCGCAGAGCACGATATATATTAATATTTACTAAATAAGTTATAAGGTTCCATACTCTTTGGTTAGGAAGAACAAGGCAAACCGACACTAAATAAGATGGATGCCAAATAACATGGATAATATTCGTTTTTTATTTCAGGATATAATTTTCTCACGCAATTATTTGGTCCACCCGCAAAAATTATAAGTGTGATATCTTTATATTAGATCTCAATATATATCCGACGTTATAAAATAAAGTATATGTACTATGAATGTGCGCAAATGCAATTGGAAGGATGTATCATATACGATGAACGTATGGGTGGTTAGTAAGTTATTAATTTGGACTACTCTTCATATATGTTTCTTTTTTTTTGTGGGGGGGGGGGAGTATTATTTTCCCTCAAGTTTATACTATGGTTTGCATTTGCAATAATGAAAATGTAAAATAGAAGAGAAAATAATTCAAAAACATATTTTGATGTGCGTGACAACTTGAGAAGAAATGGAGGAAACTGCTTTAATGAGCAAAACAAGTTGACTCTTAATTTCACATTATGCCGAAAACAAAGCTGACTCGTCATACTCATTTATGATTACTACTCCGTATTAAAATTTTGAAAGCGATCAGATATATACTTTGGGCCCTATACACTTTATATTGAAAAGTTGAATTAGCGGTAAAATAGTTGAATAATTCAAATAGTTGATATTAATTTCTTATTCAGTCTAACGTATACGGTCGCGTTATACTGCAAAAGAAGATGGGAATTTTTTGGAAATAAGATGTTTTTTGTTTGTTTGGCATCAATAAGATGATTTCTTTTCACCCGGCGCAACTAGTTATTTACGATAATGTCTTTTTTTTTTTTTAAATAACAGATTTCATGACAGAAGAATTTTTTTTATTATTGTCTCATCACCTTTAGAGAATGTATCATTTTTTTGTAGTGAAATAGAGACTACGGTCTGAAACTCTCGAAGTTGTGGAAACGTCATATACAAGAGCCTGATTGCTTAAAACGGCGGCCCATTTTTTTAATGGGTTTATAATGAGCCCGAAAAATCAAGAATACATTCTGAGGATTTCGACCCAAAATTTTCGAGTGAGGATTGTGCACAAATACGAGAGAAATAAAGGATTTGATTGAATTATTTCACAAAAAAGGTTGATAATCTTTTGAACAATTGAGCTTATCTCCTCACTTAATCAGTATTCAGATTTCAGACAAAGACTAAAGCGAGAAACAAAAAACGGTGGCAAATGTTATTAAATTATTAGCCATCTAATATACCATCGTCTTTTAGCCAAGAGATGGTATAATCTAGGCACCTTTAGATTGTTTGAATCAATGTGTGTGTTCACGAAGACGAAGCTATCTCCATCTTACTTGACTTGGCTGCTACTGCTGCTTTAGTGTAGATAGGGTGAAGAACATGACCTCCCTTTGGATCAACATGAATCCATTTGCGTCCAGTTATCTTGTCTTTCTCGAACCTGACTCGTCCTTCCTTCAATGCAAACAGAGTATGGTCCTTGCCGATCCCGACATAGTCTCCAGGATGAAACCGAGTTCCACGTTGACGTACTATTATGTTTCCCGGTATCACATTCTGCAAAAATCATACACACACAGACACTAAGATTGATCTGATTCTCTGAATCCTAATTCACTCTTCTTTCTTTTCTTACCTCTCCTCCGAATTTCTTGACGCCAAGATTCTTGGGTTTAGAGTCACGACCATTCTTTGTGGAACCAGCAGTTTTCTTTGTAGCCCAACGCTTTAAGACCAAACTCAACCCACTTCTTGAAGAACCATCTAAAACATGACATACAAGAACAACACAAATGAGTTAACCAGAGAAAGATCATCAAATACACACAGAGATTACGAAAACCGCTTTCTTTAGCATTCTCAAAAGAACAGATTGATAGGTATATTACCGGAAATGCCACTGCCAGTGTAAAGAGGAACCTCGGTGATTAGTTCTTTCAAGCTAACTCTTCTGCATATGGATGCTGCTGAGTTTAAGAAATTCATTTTCCCAAAATCTGCAAGTAACAAAGAGCAACCCTTATAAATATAGAAAACACAGATGGTCGAAATCACAAAACAGAACATGTTGGCTTTGTGTTCAACAATCAATAACTGATCAAACAAAAAAAAAAACTATTATATCTCAGATTCGATTTTACTAAAGATTCTGAGTCAGTAAACCTATCGAATCCCTAATTTCCAAATCAAATCCGCGATTTTCCAACATGAGTAATATGACATTGTTAAAGAAAACTTAATCCGCCGATTTCTCCAGCTCAGACGGAATCGAAACTTTCGAATAATGTGGTAGCAATAAAGGAAGATACTTACCGGAAATTTTCGACCCCGGTGGATTAAGGACTGATGACCGGAGCCGGTGACGGAAGAGCGATTAACAACTCCAAAACCCTATTTGCCGTGCGTGTGTCAACTATGCGCACAAGGGTCTTCACTTTTCTGGGTTTTACATTATGACCCCTAAATTTCCATTTTTATTAAATTGAACTTATTATTCTCAAGGTCACAATTTGAATTTGCCTAGCCATTTGTGATGATTCTATACTTGCATAAGTTGCTTTGACCAAACGAACAATAAAGCATAAGTTGCACATTGTTACACACTATATTTCATAGTTAAGGAAGAATAGTGGTAGTTTAACAAAATTGCCAGAGAAAACATTGAATCGGATCCGTTCAAATATCGGTTTTAGAAAAGAGAACCCAAATCTAGCCTAAGTATACAAATATTTCGAATGTCTTCTACAAGTAGAACAAGTTTGACATGATCACTATCTACTATTTCTTGTTATATTACTAAAGTTACTAACAAAATGTTATATTTTCTTATTCGATACGCATGTGTTTGAACAACTTGACATGATCTTATATGCTTTTTTAGACAATAATCAATATCCATGTGATCTATCACATGCTTTTAAATCTTTTTATACAAATATTTTGAAATTATTTTTCAATGTTTTTGTTTTAAAAGGGTCCTACGGTCCGTGCTTTGCGGTGCCGTACCCCGACCCTACAAATTTCTTATCTTAATTACCCTTGTATTAAATCTTGTATCCTACCAATTATTTTATAAATAAACCCTATATAAATATAGCTCAAATGGATAATTCAATCAAATATGTCTTCCATGTTATATACATTACTTGTATTTACTAGGGAACCGAACCTAAATTATACTGAACAATATTTAAAAACAAATAAATATTTTTTTTGCTCAACAATTAAAACCATTTTGAAACAGAGAAAAACCTTTTTATATTTTCTAATAAACTGAAATCCAACGAAGTCATTCCGTCAATTGATTTGGTTCCACTTTTATAGTTGAATGCCAATGAGATATGGCAAAAAATGCATTACCTTCTTTGTTCACGTCTCATTCAATATATATTTATCCTTATTTTCGGTAAAGTTTTTGACTTTATATGTTGTTAGAGGAGATAATATTTCTTAAAATCCAAAAATATCCCAATGTTCCCTCATTTTCTCCGAGCAGAGTCACTCATGCAATAATTTGATGAGCATGTGGAACTGGGTAACTGCACATGCCTTCTCTTTCTCACTCATCTTTTTTTTTATTTTTTCAAACTTTCCCGTTAAATCAACTTTATATGATTTCATACGCAGTACACAAGTTGGGATGATTATGCAACTATATCTGTGTGTAACTGTTTAAATACGTATCAATTTTCTTTTTATCAGTGGTCTCATTCTCGATCTGATATATCTACTTCTGGAAGTGGAAGTGGAAGTAGCTGTATTTTAAGTGTGTGAATGGTGACTCTTTTTGTGCGGTTTTCAAGTGCGGTTTTGGAAAACCGCATATATGTTACCAATCAACATTCTTTTAAGAAGTTTTGCGTTTTTCCAAAAAGTAAAAAATACTGTTTGCGTTTTTTCAAATGGTCATAGACCGCACTTATAAACCGCATATACTGTTTGCGTTTTTTCAAGTGCGGTTTTGTTTTTAACTATTTTCTAAAATAACAAGAATAAAGCTTTCCAATTTTAAATCAACTATTCACAAAATTTATGTGTTCGTTTAATATTTATTTTTCTATGTTGAGATAATTAAATTGGACAACAAAATATATACTAATTTTTTTTTACTTTTTAAGCTAAATACTGATTTTTTGTCAAAATTAAACTTTATTTTATTTTAAATAAATTTAGTATTTGAAGTTAATAAAGTTAACAAAAAAATTGAAAACTATGGAGAAAATCATGAAATTAATTAAATGGATCAATACAGTTTTTAAAAAAATATGTTTAGACAATTTCTGATTTATAATTTTACTAATATTTTTAATATATTTGTTTCTAAAATATCTATTATATTACATATATGTTATTTTTCACTAATTAAATAGCATTTTGCACTATTTATTTTGTATTAAACGCACCTATCTTTTAAATAGTTTTTTTGCGTACTATCGCGGTTGTTCCTGCACATATCGCAATTGAATTTTTTCTATATGTATCGCAGTTGAATTTTTCGTACACGTACCGCAGTTGAATTTTCCTGCACATACCGCAGTTAAAGTCTCTCGCACATACCGCAGTTAAAGTCTCCCACACGTACCACAGTTAAACCGTACTGCACTTTAAAACCGCTTTCTCCCGTATAATTAAATACGCTGTAACCATTCGAACCCTAAAAGTTTTGTAATATCCCATATCAGTTGTAAGAAAACAAATATTATAATCTAAATCTGCGGTTATATATCTAGGTCATAACTTTGCAAGAATATTTATCTGCTACTATTTCACATCAACGCGAATTTGTTAATACGTAGATTTGATTATTGCTTGACAAAGAAAAATAAAAAGATAGAAGTATGATTAACTGAATTGTGACACACACCAACAAAGAAAGATTTGATGATTGAAAGCTATGAAGCAATCAACCTGAAAAACCCTGATTATAACAGCGGATCTAGATCTGACTTTCTTTGAAGAACAACAGAAGAATATATCACTAAAATTAATAGCATTAATTAAAAGTAAAACCAAGGAAATTATCTTGACTATATTCTATATTTTGAGTTAATTAATCATGATCCGTCAACAAGCAATGATAAAAATTATTAAAGATTGTGATTACAATTTATAGTTGGGACCGTTGGTCAGATCTAACTCCCGTCTCCTTCTTCAATGCACCGTCCCTTTTTCTTTTTCTTTTTAAATAATAACGTTATTCATTTTTGTAACTACAATAATATATCTTTTATACTTATTTTTTGTTAACATAATCTTTTGTAATGGTTAAAACTTAAAAGCGTCTACATTGCATCTCTTCTCTTCAATCAAAACCACAAATGCAAACATCGTATGAGACCAAAATGAACTGATTTTGTATTTCTTGACAATTTTTCACAGCCCCATGAAAAATAAGGCTCTGATAAATAAGACGGAGTAAAACAAGTTAATATGGGACCTACTATAATTGGAGTTTTTTTTGTTGGTTCTCAAATGTTGAACCACGTGCAAACCATTTAACCACAGTTACCAACAGCAACTAGCAACTAATAACATAAGGATTTTTAAAAGGAGACGTACGTGGCAGTATGTAATTGGAGGACTACGGTAAAAACGATATATATCGCCGCATGCAATAATCAATAAGTAGCAGCTGAGTGTATATATACCTGATATGCAACATCACAGGGTCCTCAACCAAAACTCCTCTCTCAGTACACTTATTTAGAAAGCTCAAACAAAAAAGAGACCAAAACCAGTTTGAGAGATTTAGAGGAGTGTTTGGGTCTTTGGGTAATAATATCATAAACAGAAAATGGCTAAGTCATATGGAGCTCTCTTCCTCTTGGCTCTCGTTGTCTTCTCCATTTTTCAAACCATGGTAACATCTAATATTTTCTTCTCACAATGTTTCCTCTTTAAAACAAAAATTATTTGAATGTTCCTTTTTAACAAAATATATGAGACAAATGTGATTCTATCATTGTATTTTTTACTGTAAGTTTAAAAAAAAAAAAGAAATTAAATGTACTCGTACTCTTTTTTTTTTTTTTTTGAAGGTTACGGCCTCAAGAGGATCTCAAGGGGTAAGTTTTATTATTTTAAAAAATGCCTTTTTTCTGGTAGTGTTTTGTTAGTTACTAATGATCTTGTTACTCTTTGGTTAATTCAGAAACGTTATGGACCAGGAAGCCTGAAACGCTCCCGTAAGTAATTTCCTTCATAGTTATTCTGAAACAAAATTATTTTAGTTTTAATTCCATAAATTTGTTGAACAATTTGAAAGTGGAGTGTTGGTCAGATCTGTAGACTCTCAATAATTTAGATATTGACACCTTTTACACTGAACAATGGCGCAAGAGTCAAAGCAACCCACTGTACTGGGGACAAAAAAAACGGTCGAAAAGACATGAACATGTTACTGCTTTTTGTTTTTTCATCATTTTATGTTTCTTTTCACTAGATTCAGTTATTTTATTTTATTGTTTATAAATATCGGCTGATTTTTAAACATTGTTTGAATGAAATGACCAGAATGTCCCAGCGAATGCAATAGGAGGTGTAGTCAGACACAGTACCACAACGCGTGCATTTTGTTCTGCAACAAATGCTGCAGAAAGTGTTTGTGTGTGCCTCCGGGGTATTATGGGAACAAACAAGTTTGCTCTTGCTACAACAACTGGAAAACTCAACAAGGTGGACCAAAATGCCCTTGAAATCCCCCCTCCCTCAGCTTACCTACTATCCTTCGTCTTTATAATAAACAAATTTCGATGATAATTATATTTTCAGTTTTAATCTGATCAATGTTTTTCTCTACTTGTTTTATCTATTTTATTCCTAATTTTGTAATGTTATGTCACTCCTTTGGGATTTTATCTCAAATCCTTTAAAAAAAATTGAGAGTGGCCTGGCCTATGAATTGATGAGATTTTCATTAAAATTCTGTGTTTGTGAATACTTATTCGAATAATGTAGAAAAGAAGCTGAACGGAAAAAAAAAGGATGAAGCGAGACGTAGTTAGAAATGGCCCTCTTAGCCCAACTATAAAAAGCCCATTATTGATTTCCACTTAGAAAAATCATGAAAAGCCCATTATTAAATTTCTACGTTTTTTATTTTTGTTTTTTACCAAATCACGTGTGCTACGCGGTTGCGTTTGACGCTATCTTTTCATGTGCTCCATGACGAGAAGCGGGCTGGCAGAGGGAATCGTGGCGTTAGTCCCAATAAATTACGACAATGATGTTTTACAATCGCTGCGTTCACAAGAACCACACACTGTTTTTATCAGATCAGATCATGACCACACGTTTCAATAAAATGCATAAAAATAGGATTTAAAAAAAAACAGCAGGTAGGCTTATTGACTTATTGTACGGTTTCAATGTCTGGTATATAACTGTTTAATAGTATGTGAAATTAATGATAAAAGTGTTCTAATCTAACATATGTAAGTTCACATGTGGCCGTTTTCGCATTTCTATAAACCATTTTATATGATCCACCACACTTTTACCATCATATTGATTAGTGGTTTTGTTTTGAGTAGCTTTTATCGCAGAACAATTAGTATATAACATATTCTACATATTAGTAAATTTGTAGAATACACTTTCTACTATTTTGTAGAACATTTAAGAAAATTCTTTTAATATTTTTTCCTTTAAAAGAGTTTAAGATGTATTTTTTAATTTCTTGAATTTTCCTGAATTTTAAAGCTTTTAAAAGTATTTATTTCAAAATTTTATGTCTAAAAGTGGTCAAATTTTAAAAAGTACTAAGAGGACAATAATTTAGTTTTTTTTGTCCTATAAATACAATTACCCTTATATAGTTTTAGTTCAAGAAAAAAAGTTTTTTAATTTATGTTTTTAAGTAAAAATAGAGAAAGTACTACTTTCGCTATATCTTAAATATCAATAGACAAACTGATAGTTTGATAGCCATGTCATTTGATTTAACGGGTATTTTATAATCAGAAATGTTGTATACAGATCTATCGTGATCCCCAATGTTAAAAAGTAAACACGGGGTGGTTAAATAAGAATATCGCCATTTTCACCCCGTTTCTATCAAAAATAAAGAAAGACCTATGAAAAATGAGTAAACGACAACAAAATTGATTTTCTGTCAAGTGAATCTTGTAACCTTGACTGTGCACAACATACATTTTTTTCACAACTTTTGTAGTTTCAAAACTGATTAATTATGACATTTTTCTAAAATTATAACATTCAAATCTACAACTATGCTCACAATAGTTAACGATGGAATTGCTGATTTTGTTGTTCTTGTTGTTGTTGTTGTTTTTAAGGAGGGTACAGATCTAAATTCAACTAATCTTAAATATAGCTGCCAGATTATACAATGTACATACAGTACTAGGTTTGCTAGTGAATCTAAAATGTAGTATTATTTCGAATAATTAAATAAGAGTGGAATTATTCTAGTAAAATGAAACTCAAAAGGGAAGAAGATCCGAATATTTTTACTGCAATTTGACTACAAATTATTCAATTAGAAAGAGATATTATAATATTTTATACTAAAAAAATTCCACTATAACATCCCAGTTTGTTTCTGAGAATCATTTAGAAGATCTAGTCAATGTATTGTGAAAACAAAATTATAACCCCCACGTTTCACGCATCTCGTGTTATAATCACAAAGATTAAATTTTGCATAAACATCGGGTCATATATACCCTATATATATATATATATATATATATATATAAGCCTTTCGAGTTTTTGTTGTACTTGCAACTTCTCTCTATCTATCTCCTTCGACTCTCAATCTGTCTCTTTCTCTCTCTCTATCTCTCTACCCCTTTGTCTCTACCGACATCGAAGGAGCAGGGTCGAAGATTAAACAACTATGAACGAGGAGGGATCTTTCATGTCGGAGCCATTCATCGTTAAGACGATTGATGATGAGGAAGCGACGCTTCATAATTATGAGTTCGATAATACTTCACAGGGCAATACTTCTTTCTCCAAGACTTGTTTCCATGGCATTAACGCTTTATCAGGTTTGTTTAAAACAAAGAAACAAAAATGTCCCTTTTGATTTATTCAATAATACTTCCTTATTCTTATCTCCAAGCTCCATAACTCACGGCCAAGGATCCTACTCTTGGCTTATCCACATATATGGATATATATTTTAAATATGTATATATACATATTAAGACGTAGAAAGAAGACATTGTTTTGATAACAACATTATAATACGGCTAAGTTTAGCTACATTCTAGAAGTTATTAACTCAAGCTTTTGACTTTACGTGTATCTAGATTGGTATGTAGTGTTCAATCCTATCTTTGCCTCAGATTTTTTTGGTTGATTGATTCATTTTCGTTAGTAGATTATATGAACCAAACTAAAAATCAATTCTAATTATATCCTATATGTTCGTACTGTGATAGGTTTCCTATATTATCAAAAACTATAATATTGAATCTAGACCAAACTAGTTTTTGCTTTTCAGTTTTACACATGTTTGGTAAAACATTACAACACGCCATTTTCATTATCTTGTTCGTATATCCATATATATAGAGTATGTATACAGACAAGAAAAGCTAACAGTTAAGTCAAAAGAAAACAATAGTACAATTATCTTTCAGTATCAACATACAACGTGTCCCTTAGCAACCTAACTCATTTACAACACTTCTTCCCTTCTCAACTTGTGTTCTTCTTCTTCTTCTACAAGTCTTCAATAAAATCAAATATCATACTTCCATAACGATCTAGGCGCGGGCCACCATTTTGTTAGTTTTAAATGTTTGTGTTTAAAAATAAAATATAAATTGTAAATGTTAACATACAAACACGAACAACATATATAAGGTTTGCATTTGCGTTTAAAAAAATCAATCCTCTAATCAACTTTATTTATTTTTCTTTCTTTTTAGGTGTGGGAATATTATCAGTCCCTTATGCGTTAGCATCCGGAGGATGGCTAAGTTTGATCATACTCTTCACAGTAGCCATCACAACTTTCTATTGTGCCATCCTCATTAAGAGATGTATGGACATAGACCCGCTTCTTAGATCTTACCCTGACATTGGCTACAAAGCCTTTGGTAACACAGGACGGATCGTTGTCTCCATCTTCATGAACCTCGAGCTTTACCTAGTGGCGACTAGTTTCTTGATCTTAGAAGGAGACAATCTTGATAAACTCTTCTCAAACGTTGGGTTCAACTTCATGGGACTTGAATTCAAAGGCAAGCAAATGTTCATCGTCCTTGTAGCTCTCATTATTCTTCCAACGGTTTGGTTAGACGATATGAGGATTCTTTCTTATGTTTCCGCGAGTGGTGTCTTTGCCTCCGGGTTGATTCTTGCTTCTATCTTTTGGGTTGGAGCATTTGATGGAGTAGGGTTCAAGAACAATGACTCAGAGACCTTTCGTCTTAATGGAGTCGCTACTTCCGTGAGCTTATACGCGTTTTGTTACTGCGCTCACCCGGTTTTCCCAACTCTATACACTTCCATGAAAAACAAACGCCAATTCTCAAACGTAAGTTTTATCATCAAAACATACCATCAGAGTTTTGTTTTTTTTTGGCAGACTAATAATTTCGTATGTTTTTCTTTCGCAGGTTATGGTTATATGTTTTACAATATGCACATTCATATATGCATCGGTGGCGATATTGGGTTACTTAATGTATGGATCCAATGTAGAATCACAAATCACATTGAATCTTCCGACAGATAAGGTTAGTTCAAAAGTGGCGATATGCACTACATTGGTGAACCCCATTGCTAAGTTTGCCCTCATGGTTACACCTATTATCGACGCAATGAGAAGCCGGTTTTCCCGGTTTTTGCCTCACAAAAAATCCTCTGGTTTAGTTTTGAGTACGATGTTGGTTGTTAGCAATGTGATTGTGGCGTTGCTTCTTCCGTTTTTCGGTGATCTCATGAGTTTGGTCGGAGCATTCTTGAGCGCAACCGCATCGGTTATATTACCATGTTTGTGTTACCTAAAGATCTCTGGCAAATACGGAAGACTCGGGTTTGAAACAATGGTGCTTATCGGTATCATACTCATCGGTATCGTGGTTGTGATAACCGGAACTTACCAAGCGGTTAAAGACATTTTTGGCAGGTTACGTCTGGTCTAGTTAAAGTTTAGGACCAATATATGTAATACGAATACAATATTATTTTATTTATTTATCCGAGTTTCCGGTTAGATTTGTATTACACACTAATCAAGTCTTTGATTCGAGCTTTATCCTCGGTATTTAAAGGTTTATCAGTGTACTCAGACAAAATCGCTCGAAATTCGTCTCCGGTTAAGGTTTCCTTGTCCAACAAAACATCAACAAGCTTGTCTATGGCTTCTCTGTTATTCCTCACGTGGTTCTTCGCGATCTCGTAAGCGTTACCGATTATTTTCCTCACGCACGAATCAATTTCCTCCGCGAGTTTCTCGGACAAGGGGTTTCTCGCGAGCATCCTAAGAACGACGTCGCTTTGCTTAGCCGCTGGGTCGGTTAGAGCCCACGGACCAATCTCCGACATACCAAACATCGTCACCATCTGAAACCAAAAGAAGAATTAGAAAAATCACCGGTTTTTTTTTCCGGTTAAGATTTTTTGGTTTTAATTACTGTACCTGTCTTGCGATCTGGGTGATTTGCTGGATATCTCCGGCGGCTCCGGCGGTTATTTCCGGCTCTCCGAAAATCACATCCTCGGCGGCTCTGCCTCCGAGTCCCCCGACGATTCTAGCGAACAGTTGCTGTTTAGAAACCAATGTCGGATCTTCTCCCGGTCTGAACCACGTGAGACCACGTGCTTGACCTCTAGGAATCAACGTTACTTTCTGAACCGGGTCGTGACCCACCGTCAATGTCCTAATCCCGAAGCAAAACCGGTTCATTTCAACAAAAACAGAGTAGTTACGGTTATTGAATTGAGAACCGGTAACTTACGCACAGACTGCGTGTCCGACTTCGTGGTACGCTACAATCGCTTTGCTTTTACCATCGATCATCTTCGTCCCTTCCATTCCGGCGACGATCCGATCGATCGAGTCGTCAATCTCTTCGAGGGTAATTTTGTCTTTTCCTCTTCTTCCGGCGAGAATCGCGGCTTCGTTCATAAGATTCGCCAGGTCTGCTCCGCTGAAACCCGGAGTTCTCATGGCGATCACGCTCAAACGCACTTCATTGTCAAGTTTCTTGCTTTTGCTGTGAACTTTCAGTATCTCCTCTCGTCCTCTGATATCCGGTAAACCAACGAAAACCTGTTCAAATTAAACCACCATTATATTATTACCAGATCGGTCTTGTTTGCTAGATTTTGTATGTCAAGCCTTAACCAAAACATACCTGTCTATCGAATCTTCCTGCTCGGATCAAAGCAGAGTCTAGAATCTCCGGCCGGTTTGTTGCAGCGATCACAAGCACTCCAGTATTCCCCGTAAACCCGTCCATTTCGGTTAAAATCTGGTTTAGCGTCTGCTCACGTTCGTCGTTTCCTCCTCCTAAACCGGTTCCTCTCATCCTCCCAACAGCATCGATCTCATCAATGAACACTAAACAAGGTGAATTAGCCTTTGCCTTATTGAACAAGTCTCTAACCCTAGAAGCTCCTACACCAACGAACATCTCTATGAACTCCGAGCCCGACAATGAGAAAAACGGAACGCCGGCTTCTCCGGCTATAGCCTTGGCCAGAAGAGTTTTTCCGGTTCCCGGCGGTCCGGTCAACAAGATGCCTTTTGGGATTTTAGCCCCCAAGGCTGAGAATTTTTCTGGGGTTTTCAAGAACTCAACTATCTCTTCAAAGTCTTGCTTGGCTTCGTCTACTCCTGCTACATCCTCGAACGTTATCCCTGTGTTTGGTTCCATCTCAAACCTAGCTTTGTTCCTGTTACAAGGAGGCATACTTTAGAAACTCAGTTCTATTCTTGGGTTAATATTCAAAACTGATTATGAATGATTTACCTTCCAAGACCAAAAGGCAAGTTGGGTCTAGCAGGGTTTCTATTAAAAGAAGATGTTAAAAGCAGAGAGCCAAGTAAGAGCAAAGGAAACCCGAGATTCCCCAAGAAGTCGAGCAAGAAAGCTCCCCAATTCACATCCATGGGATGAGCAGCGAAATCGACGTTCTTCTCCCTCATCTTCCTGATCAGATCGACCGGTAATCCGGGAAGGTTAATCCTAACCCTCTGAATCTTTCTTAATGCTGGATTGGAGATCTCTGCGATGGCAACAGTCCCGTTCTCGAACAAGTCAACTTTCTTCACTTCATTCTCTTCCAGATGGCGCAGGAACCTCGAGTATGACATTCTATTGGAAGTGGCTTCGATGGGAGCTTCTGGTTCAGCTTTTGCGGGGTGAGCAAGAGAAGTTGTTAGAGATGACGTAAATCCCAAGGCAGTCAAACTCAATAGTGCTCTCTTGGTGAGTTTATGGTCTAAATTTTGGGTTCTGTGAAGAGGGGCCTTAGGCCTGTGGCTGGATTTCAATAAATGGGTCGGTTTTGGAAACTCTTGGGACTTGTTATTACAGTTTGGGATGTTAGAGAGAGGGAGAGACAAAGCTGATGATGATGATGATGATGATGCCATTTAGAAGATCAAAGCCAAGGCCTTTGTTCTTCTTCGAGATTATGCGTCAAAGATTCTCTGAGATAAAGATTTGGTATTTTGATGTTTGTGCTAATTTGTTCGAGATTGTTATATAAACAATAAAAGGAGAAGATGAATGATGAGTGATGACCAAAACGAGGCGGATGTTTCTAGTTTCTTTTGTCTTTCTCTGGAACATTTAATTATCTTCTTGAATGATCCAGAGATTGTACTATGGAACAACAAAAATAATTATCGAAATTGAAGTGAATGAAGTTAAATTTTTTTACCTTGATTTGATTTATTAACATGTTGTGAGACACTTACTGATAACTAAATATATACATAGATCGAATGTGATTGATATAATCAGTCTTACAACAAATCTTAACACTTATCTTTTCCAATCTCCTTTTTAGTTTGTTTTCTTTCAAAAGAATTTCATATAACCATACACTTGGAGATTAAAAAGGCAGACAGAGTTTCATGGTAATCTCTCTGTGGCCCCATTTCGCAAAAGTTGTCGTAGTTTGCTTCATCCACTCAAGACAACTTTTTAACTTCGTTGACGCATTTCGTCGAGCAACTAAACAGCATTTCTGAGTTCAAGAGATGTTTCAAGTAATAGTCCCAAAAGTTTCAACATTTGTGATACATTTTCAACCAGATCATATACACCAGAAACACAGAACTGCCAGAGTAGAGTCCAAAAAAACATAATCAAAAAACCAAAGAACACATTCAAGAATTAAAACAAAATCATCATTATCCTTCACTATAACCAATTTTCTTTGCAATATCCTCATTGTAAGCTTTTATTTAAACACATGGAGATTAACACATATTTAGTCTTTGTGTACGAAGTTCTTGTGAAAATAACTAAACCCGAATAAGAAAAGAGTTGTTTATAAACTGTAATCATTATCGTCACATCATAACCTGTAATGATCCCCATCTTTATATCTCAAAAAGATCGAACCTTTTCTTCTTCATTTCTTGATCTTCCTTTGCTGATGCTGCTGCTGCTTCCTAGGTCCAGGAACCTCTAATCTCCCGACCGAACAGCCACATTTCGCCCTAAAAACCAACACTGCTCGCCCATTAGGTGGAGCCATCTTCTTCAGCTCCGCCTCTAATTCACGGTGGTGGTCACGAGGCAGCTCAAACAAACCCTTCTTGCTTACATTCTTCCCACTCGAGCTTCCATTGCTTGAGCTCTTTACACAATCCTCCGTCTCCAACTGAATATCGAACTCCGCATTAGCTTTCCTAAGCCCTTTGCAATTTGGCTTCCCACATCTATGGCGGCTACACAAGAGTATCACAATCATCCAAGCAGATAACGCAGTGCACGAGATGCTCAAAGCGATCAAGCCGTAGACGATCGGATCAGGGTTACGGATAATCTCTTCTTTGACTAAGCAAGAGATCTCTGAGAAGATTTCCACGGATTTGACGGTGATGAATCTGACGTAAGGGAAGATCAAGAAGCCTGAGGATGTGATCACGGCGATTAGGATCAACACGTCGATTGCAGCTGATCGAGATCCGTCGCAGCAGGCTGGGAAATTTGAGCAGCTCGTTGATTTTCTGCTGCTCCTTTGTTTCGGGTGGTGAGAATCTGCAGAGTTTGCCATGATCGGAGATTGGTCGACGACGGAGATTGAGCTCTGGAAATATACCATCTCAGATATTGACTCGAGCGATTTCGGAGATCGAAACCGAAATCGGATCGGTTTTTTTATTTCCCGATTCCAATCCGATCCTTCTTAATCGCGATCAAACACCCAAAAAAATCAAAGCTTGGGAATCAGATCGATCCTCCAAGTCCTGAAAATTAATCAGATACGATTAAAAGAAACCTGATTGGATTGGATCGAGAAATGGGTCCAATCTTTGATTGAACACACACCGAAATAAATTCGAAAACAGATCAAATCAATCCGATGAAGAATCTTCAACTCTAGCTTCCCACTTTATATGAAACGAAATCGGATTTCTAGCCAAAATCCAATATTTGAACTAACTCGAATCTAAATACACCGAAGCTTCGACGATCGTTTTTAAAAGGAGACGCAAGCGATGTTGAATTCAATATAAAAAAGGACAAAACATGGAGGAAATCTGGAGTTCGGAAATTCAATATATAAAAAAGGAAAACTAAATCGTCTTCGTCGTCAACATTTTTAAAGTTTTAATCTTTACGGTCCGAATCGATGATCGTGTCGTGTACGATGGAAGAGAAGAAGGCACACGCGTTTAAGATATGAGGCGATATAATAAAACTCAATCCTTCGTGCATAAGTGTATGCATCTCGAAAGTCCAAAGTATATTTAAAAAAATTAAAAAAAAAAACAAAATTTGTTAATATTTACTTTATTACTTTATATTGATTTCGTGGGTCACTACATACTCACTAGATTTCTCTTTCTCTAGGCTTAACTTATTTTTGTTTTGGCTCTTTCTGACAAACCCGCTTTAAATTATTACTTGTCCTTTTTAAAAAGAATAATATCACTATATACCAATAAATAACATGAAAATTAAGTGGTTCTGAAAAGTGGTTTTGACTACATACTATTTACTGAAAAAAGTTTATAAAATCCCTAAGACATATATCTGAAAAATTGAGTTCTCTCTTATGCGGTGGGTCCAAAATATACGAAAAGGTGTCAGAAAATATTGTATATGTAAACATACAATTGTTCGCTGTAATCAAGACAAAATAGAGGAAAGATAAAACAACAAGGGTAATAAAGAGAGTAGTTATTTACCATTTTTAGTCAGATCTAACTAAATTACAGATGCTCTCTTATGTTTTACATCACTAACTAATATGTTAACATATTAATACTTATAACATTTGGACAATACTTGTTATTATTGTTACCACGCTACCAAATATCGGATAACACGCCAACAAACACTACCATATTATTGTTAACATCTTAATAAATATCTGATATTATTATTAGCACGTTAACAAGTATCATATATTTTATTGCACCATAGTAACAAACTATGTTAACATGTTACAATATTTAAATATTATTGTTAACAAGTAGAAATATTAACATATATCATTGTTAACAAGTATAGATGTTAACATATATCATTGTTAATATGTAACAATAAGCATTGTTAACATGGTAACTTATATTACATATTATTGTTAGCATAATCCGGACAAACGATAACACTCATATGTAGTTATCAGATATATATACATTAAAATTAGTAAACGATAACCATAATACATAAACCGTTATATCGCATCTACCACATATGATACAGCATAGCTTATGGCAGATGACAGATGTCATAGATAGTTATCAATACTATCTTTGACTCCAACTGACGAGCATTAAATGCTGCTGTCGGTTAATTTCTTTTTTTTTGCAAATGTAATGACGTCAATTGGATATAAGGGTAAAAATGTGAAGTTTTGCTGATGTGGTATAAGCCACTTAATTTTAAAATATCTTTTGGTATATATTTAATTAAGTGGTCAACTTTTGGTATATACTAAAATAATTCTTTTAAAAATTATTATTTCTGACCGTAGTTAATAGTTACGAGGAAACCATTAGAAAAGCCCAAAATCATGACTTAAGCCCAGGCCCAATTTTTGCGATCTATAGCTAATAGCAAACTCTTGAAGTTGACTAAACAGAAAATCGTGGAACAATGCGTATTGGTTCTTTTTTCGTCCACTTTGTTCCGTACGGAGCAACATTCAACAACAAAACCTAAAGTGCATTGAATATCTGCATATCAATTTCAAAAAAAAAGTTTTTTTCTTTTGGTTTTTTGTAAAATTTGACAAGGCACTGATTTCATAAAAACCTCTTATAATCACATGCTTCAACATTTATTTAGCATTATTTTAATTTCGCATTTTCCCAAAAAAAAAATTACACAAATTATTGATTCATCTGTCTTGTTATATGGACGGCCATAAAAGTTAAATGGCAGCATGATATTCAATTCAAACTAAGTCAAACCTTGTTCCCTAATTAAAAAGTAATCACGGTAATCGATCTTTTTTCTGGATAGAAAGAGTTGGTGGCGAGCATGTGTAACTTTTGTTTCTTTGCTTGTTTTTTTGAACTTGTTTCTTTCCTCAATTCTAATACCCCAAAAAACGTTTTATTTTCATAGTCCAAAGTCCATACCTGCCAACCTCGTGGACGATAGCCTAACCTGCCTAAGCTAATGACTATAGAAAGTAATTACAAATGGAGAAAGTCTTGCTTTTATTAGAAAATCTGGCAGATTTCATTTATGTTCTACCTATACTTTTGATGAAATAGTTGACTATTATTTACGTGGTAAACTTTTACACACACACAAAAAAACGGATCACTTATAAAAAAAAACGGATATTCGTTGGTAGTGGCAGACATGAGGAGCTTGACTCCAGTTCATATCACGTGGAGTCATTGGGGTTACACGTGTAGCCACACGTGCGAGTTTGCTTGATGATAATCAACTCGCAATTTAAAGGTTTGTAAGTTCTTAATAATAGCTCAAGTATACAAAATAAAATAATTAAAGTATTCTATTCAGTTAATTACCATTTTTCTGCATTGGATCTGTAGCTGAAGCAGTTTCCAGGAAAAGTGGAAAACCTTGAAACTAAAGGTTCCTTTTTCTCTTTATTAAAGTCTTACTATTATAATAGGAATGGATATATTAATAACTAACAAAATCTATTACTAAAATAACAAGAAAATGTTTATTATATATATAAAATCTTCAGAACTTCAAACAGACAACAATGGGTCAATCTTGTTTCTTCAAAGTTCTTCTTGTTTCCTCTCTGTTACTACTGATCTTCTTCTCCACTGGTAATAGCTAATGTCATCTTCTTCATTTTTTAATCACACTATTAAATAATAGGAATTTAAGTGCCTATGTTCTTGACCCGTATATTAACTGAGGTTTTGAATTTATGCCTGGTGATTTTTATTTGTGAAATTTGTAGCCATGGGGAGAAACCTGCGAACTGCAAAGTTGTCAGAAGTTTACAGTACTGTTGATCTATTTTCTTTCAAGGTACTTCTTTTTTCTCTACTTAATATCAGTTTGTTTCTTCTAAGTTCTAATGATAGAATGTTAACAATTTGAGTTTTATGAACTTATATAGGATTTTTGTAAAGGACCTATAATGTATTAAGATATATATTCAAACTCTCCGTGCATGGTTTTTTTTGTTTGGATTTAAATTACGTACGATTTTATTTCTTGGTTTACTTTTTTCGTGTATAACTAATGTAAACAGGATGTCCAATAAACATCTATCATTCCAACAATACCCAAAAAGTGTTTAACAATTTGTAACTAGGTCAAAAAGATTCCAAAGAATGGTATAGGTTTTAAACTGCGTTTTTGTCCCTCAATTTTGTTCCACAGTTGAAAAACCCCACTGTTGTCATATTAAAGCGTATCTATTTAATGATGTTGCACTAATAATAATTGTAAGTGGAAAATCAAAACGCAGGAAGGAATTGTGCGGAAGACGATGGAGCTGATGGATTACCAACCGCCGGAGTCTAACACCAACTGGAGTGGTTTCGTCGCCTCTCCTCCTCCCCAATCTCCTCCACTTTCATAATTTCCCAAAAAACGACAAATAACTCGTTTTCAGTTTTTTTCTTCTTTCGAAAACAAAATGGTCTGATATATGATTTTCCGCAATAAATAACAATATCTAATTTGACAATTCTATATCATGACAAGTTAAGTTTTGTGAGTTTTTTACTCTCTTAATTGTGGAAATTAATTATGAGTTCAAATGGTAACATATTTGTTTGATTTAATTGGTGGGTACATGGAAAACGCCATTTGTACTATATTTTCTTCATTTAGAAACTTATTTAGGTGAAATCCAGTCACGATGGTAATGTATTTAAACCGAATAAGCTCAACCGAACCTATCCGGATAAACCAACAAATTGTTATCTCAGAATCGATGTGAACTTTAATATAAAAATTAAAAAGTTTGCTAATATCGAACCAAATCGAAAAAGGAAAAAAAACACTAATCGAAGTCAAAGCAAATCGAAAAGGGGAAAAACCGAACTACAGTATAACTTGTACTTTTTTTTTATTTTTACTCAAAACTGATCCCTATCCAGATCTGAAGTCATACCGAACCGATCCATACCATACTAGTTTGGTAATTAGCTTTATTCTAGAACCAAAAATAACCGAGTTAGGAATGTCATGTCTGAAATTAAAATTAATTGAAGAAGAAATGGCTTTCACCTAAATACTCTTTCTTCATCCAGTAAATGTAAAAGCATCAGCTTCAATCATGTTGAATATCCAAGAACCCTAAAGAAGAATTGAAGCATAACATATTAGCATGAAACCATCGATATCGCCTGATTCCTTTCAAGCCGGAAACCAAAAGCTTAGGCAAATGCATTTTTGAACATTGGCAATCTGTAAAACTACAATCTGTAGTAGACGAGACGAGCTAGTTAAATAGTATCATGCAAATAATTGTTAATAAAGCCAGATAGTTTTCATTTTCCTTTATCTGCCCCCAAGTCTCAAAATGAGGGTTGAATACCTTTACTATTAACAACCTTTAAAGACTTACGGTGTAGCATCTTTAAAAGGCATAATTAGTCAGAATATATTGCTAAGTATCGCAACATCTATTGCAAAGTATCGCAACATCTAACTCGGTAATCACTTCAAGGGGTCTAAATAGGATAAGAGATAACAAGGGGTCAATAAGTACAATAGTCAAAAGGCTCGAGGCGTATTAGTAAAATCTGAAAATACACGCAAATCATATAATTGAAAGAAGAACAACCGATTAAAGTCCGCGCAAACCCTAGAAATTTTGATAATCTCAAATCCGAAGCAAAACGATTTCGTCAGCGGAATCAAGGTTCGTTACTTTTTCTTCTGCAATCCTAAAATCTCTGTGATTGTAATCAGATTCGGAATTTCTAATCTTTCCTATATTGGGGTCGTCTCCATTAGCTTTTTCAGTATGTTCTTCTAGCTGCAGAGCTTGATTGTTAGATAGACTAGAGTTTCGAGTTCTGATTTGATATGTTTCTTCGTTCTGCTGCGAAAATTGATTGTTGATATATATATATAATCTTGTTTTTGAATACACTCGTGGATTTACATACTTGCTTGCTTGTTTGAATGGTTGTGAAGTGCTACATTTTTTTCATTGAATGGTTGTAAGAACTCAAATATTACTATAGATTTGGAGTTCTGATTGTTTGATTTATATGTGATTGGAAAAGGTACAGATTTTCCCCTTTTTGTACAATGTCACCGGATCATAGAGACAGCCATAGAAAGAGGTCTCGTCCTCAGTCTGACTACGATGACAATGGTGGAAGCAAAAGGAGACATCGTGGTGACGATAGAGACTCGCTTGTAATCGATCGTGATGATACAGTGTTTCGATACCTGTGCCCTGTTAAAAAGATTGGGAGTGTCATTGGTAGAGGAGGTGATATCGTAAAGCAATTGAGAATGGAGACTAGATCTAAAATTAGAATAGGGGAGGCAATTCCTGGATGTGATGAACGCGTGATTACGATCTATAGCCCTAGTGATGAGACCAATACCTTTGAAGATGGAGAGAAAGTTCTTTCTCCTGCGCAGGATGCATTGTTCAGGATCCATGACAGAGTAGTTGCTGATGATGCACAAAGCGAAGATAGCTCTGAAGCAGAGCATCAAGTTACCGCCAGGCTGCTTGTTCCTTCAGATCAGATTGGATGTATTCTTGGGAGAGGTGGCCAAATTGTCCAGAACATTCGGAGTGAAACAGGTGCTCAGATACGCATCATCAAGGATAGAAATATGCCTCTTTGTGCCTTGAATTCAGATGAGCTCATTCAGGTATCTCGGAAGGAAATCTGGGTTTTTAGGTGTTATCTGTTTTAATTTTATTGCCTTTTCTTATGTGTGTCCATTGGCGAATTCCTTATGACATCATTTATCTCTTTTTCTTTCTAGATATCTGGAGAAGTGCTCATTGTTAAGAAGGCTCTTCATCAGATTGCCTCCCGCCTCCATGAAAATCCTTCACGTACTCAGAACCAACTTTCTTCTGCAATGGCCGGTGGATATTCTTCTGGTTCACTCATGAGCCATGCGGGTGGTACTCGAATTGTAGGGATAGCACCGCTGATGGGTTCCTATGGAGGATACAAAAATGATGCAGGAGATTGGTCACGCCCTTTATACCAAGCTCCTAGAAATGAGCCACCGGCAACAGATTTCTATATTCGGCTAGTTTCCCCAGTTGAAAACATTGCAAGTGTTATTGGTAAAGGTGGAGCTCTAATCAATCAGCTTCGACAGGAAACCAGAGCAACCATTAAAGTTGATAGCACTAGAACTGAAGGAAACGATTGTTTGATAACTATATCAGCAAGAGAGGTCTGATCTTCTTTCAACGGTCTTCTGCCTTTTAGGTGAAAAGAGTATCCAGCTTTTCTTCCTTGACAGTGTCTAATCTGTTTTAGGTTTTTGAGGATGCGTATTCCCCAGCCATAGAAGCAGCTATGCGGCTACAACCAAAATGCAGCGACAAGGTGGAAAGAGATTCTGGACTTGTTTCATTCACCACTCGTCTTCTTGTACCAAGTTCGAGGATTGGTTGTCTTCTTGGTAAAGGAGGAGCTATCATAAGTGAGATGAGAAGAATGACCAAGGCTAACATCCGCGTACTCGGGAAGGAAAATCTTCCAAAAGTTGCATCTGAAGATGATGAGATGGTTCAGGTAAAATTCACAATATCATAGTTTTACTACTGTAGTTACCATTGCAGTTTATCCTCTTACTCTTAAAGCCCTTGACGTGGAGTGCTAACAGCAGAAGCAATTTTGATGGTCAGATTTCTGGAGAACTTGATGTTGCCAAGGAAGCTCTCATACAAATTACATCAAGATTAAGAGCCAACGTTTTTGACCGGGAAGGTGCTGTTTCTGCACTTATGCCGGTATTGCCTTATGTTCCTGTTGCACCAGATGCTGGTGATAGATTGGACTATGATAGTAGAGATAGCAGAAGACCTGAACGCGGGAACCATTATCCTGGTGGTTATGGCTCAAGCGGCTTGTCTGCTGAAGGTTATTCGCCTTATGGTGCGCCGGTATGTCTTCTAAAGGTTTCCATTACATGATGTTCTGAACTTATCAATTCTCAATTAATGAATCTTCGGACGTGCTTTTGTAGGTTGGTGGTAGTAGTAGTACTCCATATGGAGTGTATGGAGGCTATGCATCTGGACGCAGTGGCAGTTCTGGGTTAGATTATTTTGTTCCCTGTTGTATTTGTGACACTATATCAAGTATTTACTATTTAGAACTTTGGTTATCAAGTGTTTCCATTGTCGATGTACAGCACACACTTTTGGTTTACATTTGCCTAACAACTATTGGTGATTGATCCTTATCATGGGTTTTGTCATCAGGGTATCCAGCCATTCCTCTACCTATCGACGCAGAAACTATGATTACTAGTAGCTGTTGGTGGGTGATGAAAAAGGTTAGATTTACATTATAAGTTTGTTTAAGTCCTTCCTCAAAACTTAGTTTACCTTAGCTATTATTTTAGCCCCAAGTTCATGACATAATCTGATCTGATCTGTCCCGGTGTCAGAATCTGATACACTGCTTTTTTTTTCCCTTTGTGACCTTTTTCCCCGTCCCACTAAAACAGTGTGAGATCCTGAAGCCTGAAGCCAATCCCACAGCCCACAGTTGAAGCCTTTTCACCAAACAAGATGACAAAGCTGAACCACAAAACTCTACCTAGGAAGAACCGATAACATGTGGATGAGATATAATAAAAATTGTCCATGTCCGTTTGTTACCAAAATACTGCCAAGCTCCTACCCGTTAAACCATGTCTAGTTGCCTGTAATGCTGTCTATCTATCTTTCAGTTTACCTTGTCTTTTCCTTGGATCAGATTCAGGAACCTTGAGTTTGGTTGTCCTTAGTCCCGTTTGTATGAATTATGTCGCTATATTAAACGCTCTCATGTATTTGGTTTTACGAGCCTCTCTCTGACAGGTTTCGGTATCACAAAAAGTGTTCACTTAAAATCTCTCAGTCTTTAAAGATCATATGCAGGGAAAGAGATGAGTGAGAATATATCGGTTCTCATCGACTTTAGGAAGGTAAGTCAACCACTTGGGAATCAATCTATTGTCCCTTTTGGTCCACATAAAAGGTATATAAACTTCTTCTTCTTCTTCTTCTTCTTCTTCTTCTTCTCTCTCTCTCTATCTCTCTCTACGTTATTTCTATGTACATATGCTTCTCTGCCAGCAGTTGAAGACGGGATACTATATCTGGAAGATTCTCATCGTTGGAAACCAATCTTTTGATTATTAGATTGTTGTCAAGCTTCATCTCGCCATATGTGAGAATTTAGAACTACTTAAAACAGTTTTTATGTAAAATTATTGGATCGATAAACTCAATAATCCTTTTTGTTTGTGTTCATTTGTCTTTCCAGAATAGTTACATAATTCGGTGAATCCATAGAACTGTGTTCGTGACTATGAAAAAAAAAAAAAAAAGAATTGTGTTCGACGTCCCATAAGAAACCCTTAATTCAAAGGCTTATAAAAGCATGCCTGCTTATGGATAATCAATTAACGTCCAAATTTTGCGTTCGACGAAACGATGTCGTTTTGGTGGCTTGGATTCTTTCCCTTGCTTTCGTCGCCACTTTCTTGCGTGGCTGAATGTTGAAGCTCGAAGCACTGCCAGATGAATAAGAAGAAGAAGAAAGGCAAATACTAGACTTCCTTTTGTTTTTGCATTCGCATGCATAATCTTTTCTCTATCAGTAGTAACTCTACGAGGCCTCGTATTCTTAACAAGGTTTCTTCTCTCATATGTCGTTACTCTTACGCTGTTTTCTCTATCACCAAGTCGGCTTCTCCTTCATCTCCCCAGGGAAATGATTCAGCAACCCAAAGCAACAACGTATCTTCATCGTTTAGTTTACTCTCCGCTGGTAAATTGGATCGGGTTTCGAGATCTCTTGGTGGGGCAGCGGCGGAGAACCGTGGCGTTACTGGTTCTCTTCTGAAAGACTTGCTTTTGGATTTGTCCGATGTGGTTCCCACTATTACCCGTAGATTTAGAAGATTTCCTGGTTTGAAACCCGAAAATGTGCTCGAATTGTTACTGGGTTTTCAATCTGAGCTCCAGAGAGGTGGAGTTGAAGGTAGAAAGGTCCGACCTTTATGGGAGATTTTTAGATGGGCTAGTGGGCAATACAAGGGGTTTAAGCATCTACCTCTGGCTTGTGAGATCATGGCATCGATGCTTATCATGGAAGGAATGGTTAAGGATGTTGAATTGTTGCTTTTGGAAATGGATAACAATGGAGATACTTTGTATAATGAGGGAGTTTTCTGTGAATTGATCCAGAAATATGTCGATGATTTCAATTCCAGGAAGGCAGTTATGCTGTTCGATTGGATGAGGCGTAAAGGTTTAGTACCATTGAATTCGTGTTACCAGACTCTGATTGATCATTTGGTTAGAGTTCACAGAACAGAATCAGCATATAGAATTTGTTTGGATTGGTTGGAGACAACGGCTGAATCAAATGACGTGAACATAGATAGATTTGGGAAAGTTATCGAGTTGCTTTGCTTGGATCAGAGGGTTCAGGAGGCTAGAGTTCTTGCGAGAAAGCTTGCGGCTTTGGGTTGTAACCCGAATAGCTCAATATATAGTAAGATTTGTTTAGGATACAGCGAGAAGCAGGACTTTGAGGATTTGTTGAGTTTCATTGGTGAGCTTAAATATGAACCTGATGTGTTTGTTGGCAATAGGATTGTGCATTCTCTCTGCAGGAAGTTTGGCACAGAGAGAGCTTATGTATATATGGAGGAGCTTGAACACTTGGGTTTCAAACCCGATGAGGTCACATTCGGCATCTTGATTGGTTGGTGTTGTTATGAAGGCGATATCAAAAGAGCATTTCTTTATTTATCCGAGATTACTTCAAAGGGTTTAAAACCAGATGTGTATAGTTACAATGCTATCTTAAGTGGCCTTTTTAGAAAAGGATTGTGGCAGCATACCCCTTGTATTCTGGATGAGATGAAGGAAAATGGAATGTTGCTCAGCTTGTCTACGTTTAAGATAATGGTAACTGGATACTGCAAAGCTAGACGATTTGAAGAAGCTAAGGCGATTGTTAACGAGATGTTTGGTTATGGATTAATCGAAGCATCTAAAGTCGGAGATCCGCTTTCTGAAGCTTTTAGTTTAGTTGGATTTGATCCCTTAGCTGTAAGATTGAAAAGGGACAATAATTCCGGATTCTCCAAAGCAGAGTTCTTCGATGATCTTGGGAATGGGCTATATTTGGACACTGATTTGGATGCCTACGAGCAGAGGGTGAATATGGTACTTGACAGGTCGGTGCTACCAGAATTTAATTCGCTAATCGTTAGAGCATGTAACGACGGGGATTTACAAACAGCTTTGGAGCTTCTTGATGAAATGGCTCGATGGGGTCAAAAACTATCGCGTCGTGGGTTTACTGTTTTAATGAAGAGTCTCTGCGCATCACGTTCTCATGTCAGAGTAAGTATTAGCATTATGGGAAAATGGCCAAAGCTGGCTAATTTGTTAGATGGAGAAACTCTTAACTTTCTTGTCCAAGAATATTGCAAGAAGGGATTTAGCCGCCAAAGCAAACTCATTTTCCATAGAATGGTTCAAATGCATCTTCCTATCGATAACGCCACTTACACATCTTTGATAAGTTGTTTCTGTAAGAAAGAAACACTCAATAATCTCCTGAATGTATGGGACGCTGCCCAAAATGCTAACTGGTTACCAGATTTGGACAATTGCGGAGCTATATGGGAATGTCTTCTCCAGAAAGGACTGGTAGAGGAAGCTTTTAAACTCTTTGAGCGTATATCAATATCACAGTCAGAAGCATGTCGGGTTTTTGTGGAGAAGCTCACAGTTCTTGGGTTTTCTCATATCGCTCATTCTGTTGTGAAACGACTTGAAGGAGAGGGTTACGTTGTGGAAGATGAGGTATACAACCATCTTGTTAAGGGACTCTATAAGGATAAGAAGGATTTGGCTGCATTTGCTATGCTCGAGGAAATGCTAGACAAGAAACAGATTCCAAGCTTGGGAAGTTGTTTGTCGTTAATTCCTCGACTTTGTGGAGCTAACAAAATAGAGCAGGCATTTACTTTAGCAGAACAATTAGATTCATCTTCTCTCAACTATGCTTTGCTAGAAGAACTATGCTTCGCTGGGAGAATTCTCGACGCAGAAAATCAGTTATGGATAATGTTATCAAATGGGTTTTTACCGGACAAAGCTATCTACAATGTGATGTTTCAAGGTTATTGTAAAGCTAACAACTCGAGAAAAGTTCAGGAACTACTAGGAATCTTGGTGAGGAAGAACGTAATCTGCTCCGTTACGAGTTACAGGGAATATGTTCGGAAAATGTGTTCAGAGCGTCAGTTTCTCTCTGCGCTTAATCTGAAGGAGTTTCTGTTGATAGGAGAAAGCAATCCTGGCGGCGTAATAACCTATAATCTGCTGATTTTCTATCTCTTTCGGAGTAAGAATCGCTTAAAGGTTAATAAAATCTTGCTCGAAATGCGGGGAAGAGGATTCTTGCCTGATCAAACCACGCTTAACTTTCTTGTACACGGTTACTCTCTGTGCGGAGATGATTCGAGTTCTCTGCAATATCTCTCGGCTATGATCTCCGAGGGGATGAAACCGAGCAATCGAAGCTTAAGAGTGGTTATCAGTTCTCTCTGTGACAATGGAGATGTGAAGAAAGCTCTAAACTTGTGGCAGGTAATGGAATCAAAAGGCTGGGTTTTTGGTTCTTCAGTTGTCCAAACCAAAATCGCCGAGTCCTTGATTTCGAGAGGCGAAATTCTAAAAGCTGAAGACTTTCTGATCCGTGTGACACGCAATGGCATGATGGCTCCTAGCTACGACAATCTCATCAAGAAACTATCTGATCGCGGGAGTCTTGACATTGCGGTTCATCTCTTGAACACAGTGTTAAAGAACCGAAGCATCCCGGATCCATCTAGTTATGATTCAGTCATCAATGGCTTCCTGAGGTGCAACAACCAGTTGGATAAAGCTATGGACTTTCATACAGAAATGATGGAACTAGGTCTAAGGCCAAGCATGAGTACATGGAGTGGTCTTGTTCATAAGTATTGCGAGGCATGTCAAGTTTTAGAATCAGAAAGACTTATCAAATCAATGGTTGAGTCAAGCGAAACACCGAGTCAAGAGATGTTTAAGACTGTGATTGACCGGTTTCGAGTAGAGAAGAACACAGTGAAAGCTACGGAGATGATGGAAATGATGCAAAAGTGTGGCTATGAAATTGATTTTGAGACTCATTGGTCTTTGATTAGTAACATGAGCTCCTGTAAGGAGAATAAGACAGCTGGTCAAGGATTCTTGTCTAGGCTTCTCTCTGGGAATGGGTTTGCTTGGAAGCGATGAGTTGATTTTTAAAGTTTGGGGCTAATTTTGAAATGTAAGAAAATCGTTTCCTTTTTGTGTAAATTTTCCGATCACGAGGCTTGCTTTCTCTTTTTATGATTATCTTAATTCTCGAACTCTCTAACTAAACAACGACATGGGAGCCACAGTGTTTATTTGACTTTCTCTGTTGTCAACTTTTGCGTTGTTTGACTAATACACTTATTTTCTCTCCTCGTTGACTCTTTTATATTTATGATTTAATTTCGTTACTATTTAAGGAAAAAAACTGTAAATGTGGACATTAAAATCTTTGTATACAGACTAAAACTGTCTACGTCTCTATTTATACGTAACACCTGAGTGTTGAATACGATATGTTTTTTTAATTATTTTTCTTCTTACATTCTTTTTAGTTTTTCAAACTATTGATTAGTGTATAATAAGCCAACTCAAAAGCTGAAAGGCATATCTTCAAATTCAAAAAGCGTACATACTTTTTGTAAAATATTTCAATATTTTCATTTGGTTTAGGTGTCCTGCTTCGATTATATATACTTAATTAATGATTATATAAATTGGAATGTATTTTTGTAATAAGTTATTAGACTGTGTTTGACACATAGAAGCATTTGGGTTTCAACATCTCCAATCATTTGGGAAAATAGTTTGTGTCCAACTATCTAGAGATTTCCTTTTTCTCAAGTGGGTTTGTTAAATCACATGCAAACATAGCTAATTCATTATTCTAACTTATCATTCTTCAATATAATTTTTAACTACTCCACATGGTTCCTTCCTTCAACAAATTTTTTATTTTTAAAATATATAACTGAACAAAAGATTTTTATACAAAATTGGACAGAGTTTTATGTTTTCCAAATTTGGATATGAAGGACTCTATATTGGTTTGGTGGATTAGGAAGGTTAAACGTATAGATCCATAAAGAATATCCTTGATGCAAAGTTTATGGAATTATAATACCAAAAAGGGGATACCTTTAGCAAGTACAATTGCGATAACCACTAATATGTCCCAATGCATTATGCATGCAATATATATACACACTCACTCGTTGCTTTAGAATCCCTCATCAAACTCTCACAACACACATTTCTTACCTCCCAAGAAACTCAAGATAACCCTAACTTCTCCATCAAGAACCCAAAAAAACATTGTAGAAGAGAGCGAAAATGAAGTCCGGTCAAGCTGAATTCGTGGAAACAAGCAAAGGTATCCAAAAGAGCGGCTTGATGAGCAGAAGAATTGCGATTCTCGAGTTTATCCTAAGGATTGTTGCGTTTTTCAACACCATAAGTAGTGCAATCCTCATGGCCACCACAAATGAAACTCTGCCTTTCTTTACTCAATTCATACGGTTCCATGCTGAATACAACGATCTTCCAGCCTTGACGTATGTGATTTTGATTATTATTCTTTTACCTGTTTTAGGTATCAGGAAATAATCTGGATCAGTTCTTAAAGAGTTTTTTTCTTTGCTGTTTGTTTAATTTCATAAAACAGGTTCTTTGTGGTCGCAAATGCTGTTGTAAGTGGTTACCTCATCTTGTCTCTAGCTGTGGCCTTCGTACACATCGTCAAGAGCAAGACTCAGAACAGTAGGATTCTTCTTATCGTCCTCGATGTGGTAAGCAGATCAGCAAACTAAACTTGCCCTGTTTCATAAGCATGTGCCTCCTCGTTAGCAATAAAGAACATGAAATAGAATCATGAAGATAAAGAATGAAAAAATAGCTCATCTTACAATTGATTTCTCCTTGTGTGATAGGCAATGTTGGGTCTTCTAACCGCTGGAGCATCCTCAGCAGCAGCCATTGTCTACTTGGCACACAATGGGAACAATAAAACGAACTGGTTCTCTATTTGTCAACAATTCAACTCCTTTTGTGAGCGTATCTCTGGGTCTTTGATTGGATCTTTCATTGCCGTTGCCCTCCTCATTCTTCTCATTCTCTTATCAGCTATTGCTCTTTCCCGACGCCATTAAAGATATAGTCTTAACCTTGAAAATGAGTATTCTTTTCCCCTGCTTTAAGAAATTCATGGTTTGGTGTGTGTAAAAATGTGAACTTGAGCTTCAAGTCGTGTGTCCTATTCATTTCTGGTTTTTTTTCCTTTCTCATCTTCATTGTGATTTTCTGTGTGATGGTTTGGTGTGTAAAAATGTGAACTTAGAGCTTTAAGTCGTGTGTCCTATGCATTTCTGGTTTTTTCCTTTCTCATCTCCATTGTGATTTTCTATGTGATTTATGTAACGGGTTACTATTTCAAAAGTTGTGTTTAACCCATCAGTTACCACAATATGTTGTCTAATATATCCTTCTCGGTGTTCTATAATCTATGCTAAATCCAGATATATGAAACCAACATAATAGACGAAAAGACGAAAATTGTGTTTATAACGTCAACTGGTTACCTATATGTTACAGTTGCACAATGAATCTGCGAAGTATCATCTTGAAGTTACGAGTTGTAAAGATTGATATAAAAACTTCCTATCAAATGCGGCGCTCAGTCTCTTATAACATAAAAGGACATCATGTTGCCTTTACCAGTTCAGAGTTATAAGTTGAGAACTTGAAAACTCAGAACACAAAAAAGGACACAAATATATTTTAGAATCATCACGACAAATCCAATCTAACTGTCTATATTTAGCCAATGGAGTTGTTTTTTTACGTTAACTAATCCGACCTCTTGATATTTGACTCAGGTTCTGACGACAGTAAGTATCGCATCATCAATTTGTCATCGTCCTCCTCGATCAAGCTATATCCAGTCGGTTTTTTCACTCCTGTATCATCAAACATCTTCCTTACTTTCTGCACCCTGTCCCACTCACCTGTGGAAGCATATATGTTAGAGAGCAACACATAATCGCCACTCTCGTCCTTTCTCAAACTAAGCAACTTCTCATTTGCATACTTCCCTAACTCCACATTCCCATAAATCCTACAAGCACCTAAAAGGGTTCGCCATACAATGGCGTTAGGCTCGATCTCCATCGACTCAACAAACATAAATGCTTCATCTAATAGCCCTGCTCGCCCCAACATGTCTACCATACAACCATAATGTTTTATGTTTGGTTCAATATTATACATTTCCCGCATAAGGCGAAAATATTCACGCCCTTCATCAACTCTCCCCGAGTGGCTGCAAGCTAATATAACTCCGATGAAAGTCACCTCATTTGGCCGGACTTTCAACCTCTGCATCTCTTCGAACATTTCAATTGATCCCTCTGCATGATGCAAAGCCAAACCAACTATCAAAGTATTCCAAGTTGACAAGTCCCGATCTTTCATCCCCGTGAACACTTGAATTGCACTCTCTATGCTTCCACACTTTGCATACATGTCAATTAGAGCATTCCAAATAGGAGTGCCGAGGTGTATGGAGCTCGAAACCGAATCCGTTTCCAAGATGTAGAGATGGATTCTCTTCCCGGTTTCTGAGTCTCCTAAGTCTGCACAAGCAGATAACAAACTCAGTATTGTCACAACATCTGGGTGTTCACTAGCATCCCTCATCTCCTTGAATATACTTAGTGCCTCCTTGGGGTACCCGCAATTCACATATCCTGAGATCATTGCATTCCAAGTGACAACATCTTTCTCTGTAAACTTATCAAAGAGCTCTCTCGCTCTATCCATCTCCCTACATTTTAAACAACCAGTAATCATCACATTCCAAGCTACCTGATCTTTTTCCGGCATTTCATCGAAAAGCCTCATCGCCTCGTCTATCTTCCCTCTCTTAGCATACCCAGAAGTCAAAGAAGACCAAGCAACCTTGTGAGCTTTAGCAGAATCATCAAAAAGCTCGCTTGCAATCCCCAGATCCCCGCAATTCGCATGAAAAAGTATCAAAGCGTTCTTAACGTACTCATTCGACACAAACCCATGTCTCATCACTTTCCCGTGAACCGCAAAACCACTGTTTCTCCACTCAAGCTTCGAACACGCCTTGAGAACAAACGTAAACGTGTACCTATCAGGCCTCACGCCTCGCTTCTCCATCTCCGTGTACAAAGAAACCGTTTTTCCAGGTTTTAAGCTCTGAGCAGAGCCACGCAATACATGGTTACAAATCGATACGTCTGGTTTAGAAATTCCGTCGAACAGCTTGTGGGCGTATTTAAGCGCACCCGGAACCGACAAAGAAGCCGAGTAGATTAGCTCTCCAACAAAGAAGAGATTAGACATGAGGCCATTAACGACCATAAAAGCGTGAATTTGCTTCAAAGATCGGAAATTTGTGCAGCTCTGCCATAGCTTTGGACGGCGGCGATTGGCGGCTCGGTCGTTCGTCTGCTTCCTGATCATCGCGTTTCCATACTCTATTTGGTTCAATTATTAGCTTTCGGTATCCATTATGTCATTTCCGGTTTAGTAAAATCGAACCGGTATTATTTAAATAATCAGTTCATTGTAAATTTCAGTTCGAAACACAATGTTCATTATTGCTTCTGCAAAAAGAAAGAACAATTTCATGATTTATGGTTTACAGAGACACAGTACATGAGCTGTTGATTCGCGTACCGGAAATTAAAAAGACAGTTAAATCTCGTACCGTAGCTAGCTGCTCTTGTTGGTGGTGGTGGAAACACTTACTTGTGTTTGTTCTCAGTTACTGTGGTTTCTTCTAATCTTTATTGTCCGAGATGTCTCCATTGTTTCATTACTACTTTGAAGGTGACTTTGCAAGGAATTGATCTGTCACTAGTCAATCTTTTATTAGGTTAGTCCTTGTGACAATTGATTGCTCTGTTTGTACTAAATTTTGCTTAATGTTTCTCTATACGTTATCTTCAAGTGAGATTTTTTTTAGTTGGTTGTTTGTTGCCAATTAAAAATCTCAAAAATAATGCTTTATGTTTTGCTTTTTGTGGTTAACACGATTGTTATGTTGTTTGCCCTATTTTTCTATGTCTGACTTGTAGCTGTATGATAGATTGATATTATGATTGACTTCAGTATTAAAGATAGCAAAATTTGTTATTTTCCATTGAAAGAGTTGCTTAAGATGATTAAAGACTTGTTTTTGACGCCTTGATTGCTATTAGTATTAGTTGTCAGGGTGGTGATGATTCTCATGCACGCACTTTTGAACGGTAGCAAATAGCTACTTTGCTAATCTAAGATCTTTTTCATTAATTATGTCAAAAAAGTGAACCTTGTTTATATCCGAGCTTTGTTTTAACTGACATGATAGTTTGGTTTAAATGCTTTTTTTAAATGTAAAACTGTTAATATAATATAGGTACCAGCGGAAATAGCTTCAGCGACTACCAAAGCAAGCAAGAAGTGTTGAAACATTCTCAGCCTGATGTTGCAAGATCCAAAGTAGTCTCTTCTCGCATTGCATGGATGTAGGCTCAGTTTTTTTTTTTTCTTTTTCAGATTTCATAAGTGTGACTTCTTGATCTTGCAAATGTGTGATCAAGTACACTTATTATGCAGGAGATTTGGAGCATCAAATGTGCGAAGCCGTGGATCGATAGAATATCGACAAGTGGCATCATTGATGAAGGCAATATTGAAGTATGTTAGGACCATACAGAGTGTAGAAGCTGGCAATATGGAGTCAGCAAGGCATTTATATAGGTTTGTCCCCATTGTCCTTTACATCATTTGTAGCCAATATGATTTTCTTTTTGATCCATGAGCTCTTCTCTATCTCTATCTCTCTCTCTTCTTCAGCTTTCATAATCACATTTATTCATTTTTTTTTTATAAAACTGATTTCTTTTTGTATTTATTTGTACAAATCTTTATGAATTTGTCTTATCGTTCTCTGATTCGATGAAGATACTTCTTCTCTACCCCACAAGCTTGGAGCCCACCTCAATAAATCCATTTTTCTTTGCCTTCATGGAACACATTTAGCTACTCTTCTTTGTTTGGTCTTGTAAAATCTCTTTAATGTCACCGTTCGCCTTCATAAATCATCTACCTTTCTTGGCAGGCAAATTTACCTTGCTGAATTAACATTTGTACACCTGCAAGGTACCATAAGCATATAAGATCAAATCATGGTATGAATTCTCAGTTATGCCATAAAATGATATTCAAAATCAGCTGCCGTACCATTAAATTTAAAATAGATCCAAGCTCAAGCTCATCAATCTCACAGGGTGTCTAAATTTCAAACTTTATTGATGTGAAAGTTATGATGCTGTTGTCTTCTCAGAGGATCTCCAAATGATTCTGAACACAATAATGTGTGTTTATGTTTTTATCTAATGTGAAGTTTTTTTTCTTTTTTTTGATACTCTATGACTCACTGTACAGTGTAGTCCAGCCAATGGACATTTCATTAAATGATGAAGAAATCACTGCACAAGGGAAGGCTTTCAGCAAGAACAAGAAGTACTTAATTTCTTTACAACCAGAAAATGCTTCCTAAATCATTTTTGAGGTTTTAAGTAAACCATCTGATGTCAAAAAAAAAAAAAAGTAAACCATCTATACTTACGCTACTATATTTAAGTAAGACTATTACTGAATATGCTAGAGGGATTATCTTAGTGCATTCCTAATAAAGTGTTGCGTGTGAGTTTTACAGTAGTGTCATAAGTAATGTTTCTAATCGTTTGCTTACACAGGTTAGACTTTTACCATTTTCAGAACAACGAAAATTTTGAGTAAAAGAAGAAAGTCTATGCATAATTTAATTACTTGCCTCAACTAAGTTTTCTCCTACTTTTATGCTCTCTGTCTCATTTATTTGCCATTGTAGTGTCAGTTTCCTCTTAGTCACCGCCCTTTTAACAGCATTTACTATCTACTCTTTTTAGTAAAGGTTAATGAGAGAAAGAAAAAATGTGAAAAAGAAAACAATTTGTACATAGTGTAGTGTGACTTAATAAAGATTACTAGTTATAGTAGTATACACATAGAGAGAACATTGTGGACGTTTAAGGCCATAGACTACCTGTAAAAGGTATCTTTAGTGCTAAAACAAACCATAGGCAAATTGTTGAAAGTTTAAGGCCTATTAGTAAAGTTGTTGAAGATGCTTTAACACTATTTGCAGAATCCAGTATATTTTAAGAGAATTGTTGAGTTTTGATCTTATTCTATACAAGATAATCAAAGTGAGATAAGGGCTATTGGGATAGATAGTATTGACCTGAATTTACTTCTAGCACAGGAAAATAAACCGCTTTAACCTTGTGTGACATGGAAAAGTCACAGTGTAGGTAATAAAAGATCACCGCTTTTGTTTGCTTTTGTGCCTGTGTGAGAGAGTTATTGAGAGAGGGGGCTTGTTTTCCAGGTCTTTGAGCCACAAAGGTAATAACTTCTCGAGACCCCATTGTTCATAAATGCTCATCCATGTGATAGAGCCGGGAAAAAGGGGATTCATTTCTTGTGTGTGTCTTTCTCTCTCCTCTATATATCATCCTTCATCACTCAGGTATGCTTCACTTGTAACAATTCTACAACTGTAGCCAAAAAGACCATTCCTTTTGTGCTCTTATGGTGATCATGATCATGAGCATGTGATGAATGAAATATCTCTTATTAACTCCCTCTTCATATTTTTCTTTTTCTTTGTTCTGCAATAAGATTAGAGAGAGCGAGTTTTAGTTTTTGGACCAAATGGGTAGATCACCGTGCTGCGACAAGTTGGGTTTGAAGAAAGGGCCTTGGACACCAGAAGAAGATCAGAAGCTTTTGGCTTATATTGAAGAACATGGCCATGGAAGTTGGCGTTCATTGCCTGAGAAAGCTGGTTGGTTAAATTCTCTTTATACACTTTCTGCTCTGCAAAATTCAAACCTTTCTCTCATCCTTCTTCTTCTCAGGTCTCCATCGATGCGGCAAAAGCTGCAGACTCAGATGGACTAACTACTTAAGACCTGACATCAAAAGAGGCAAATTTAACTTGCAAGAAGAACAAACCATCATTCAACTCCACGCTCTCTTAGGAAACAGGTCTACAACAAAACAAACAAATCTGAATTTCCGTCTCAGCAGGTGTTTTGGCATTTCTGAATTTTGTTTGTGTTATGATGTAGGTGGTCGGCGATTGCGACTCATTTGCCAAAGAGAACAGACAACGAGATCAAGAACTATTGGAACACGCATTTGAAGAAACGGTTAGTGAAAATGGGGATTGATCCAGTGACTCATAAACCCAAAAACGAGACTCCTTTATCCTCTCTTGGTCTGTCCAAGAACGCAGCCACACTTAGCCACATGGCTCAGTGGGAAAGTGCTCGACTTGAAGCTGAAGCAAGGCTAGCTAGAGAATCAAAGCTTCTTCATTACCAAAGCAAAACATCATCGATTCATCATGGATTCACTCACAAGGCACTTATAACCAATTGGACAACAAAACCAAACGAAGGTAAACGTTTTAAAAAAAAAACACTTCCTTTCTGCATTTATATTTTGGAAACTTGTTTGATTTGCTAGGCAATGCAGATCAACAACAACAGCTTGAATCTCCGACATCTACAGTGTCATTTTCGGAGATGAAGGAATCATCAAACGGAATCCCGACAAAGATAGAGTTTGTCGGATCATCCACGGATCTGACTTTGATGAAAGAACCCGAAAACGATTGGATCAATTCAACAATTCACGAATTTGCAGCCACGCAGATGGCGGAAGGAATCGAAGAAGGGTTCACGGGTCTCTTGCTCGGCGGAGATTCACTGGAACGGAGTTTCTCCGGCGATAAAAACGAGACGGCCGGCGAGAGTAGTGGTGGTGACTGCAACAACTACTACGAGGACAACAAGAATTATTTAGACAGCATTTTTAGCTTTGTGGATCCTTCGCCGTCCGATTCACCGCCGATGTTTTGAATCAATGGTCGATATTTCTTGGGAATGTCCTTGATTCTTTTTAGTTTCTAGTTTTTTTTTGTTTTTGTGTGTGTGTAAACTCTGATTAGATAATTTTAGACTAATCCAATTTTTGCTCTTTTTTTTTCTTTTTCCTAATTTACTGTGTTTCGTTACTATTATTTTTATGGCATTTGGATGGAATATATTCCATGAAAAGGACAGTAAAAAAAGGCATCATCCTTGTGATGACAAAAGAGTATAAATAGTCTAAGTTTTTGGAGCAAAGTAAAAGGACAAAGAATTGTGGTATTTTAAAAAGAAATATTTTTTTTCTTAGATTAAGAGGGCTTTCTAAGCTTTCTAATTTAGATGTATGAGGAATTTTAATTAGACTTTCTAATTTAAGAAAGAAATTATAAACCTTTAAAAACGTATTCACTAAAAAAGTATTAGACACGAGTTGATCAGGCCACATTCACCTTAAAGATCTACACAACACATCCAAAACTTGACATTTTTTCTTTCCCGGTTCATTGACCAATCGTGTAATCTTTTATATGGCTTAAGTATTACAGAGCTTTCACAAAAAAAAACAATTCACAACTCGTAACTCGTTTTCTCTGTTTGATGTCCACATTCGCCTCCCCTTAAATCAGTCCGCATGTGAGTCGTGACTCGTGACTACTACCACTTACACCAATATCACTAGACAAACCACAAAACTCTAAAACTTTGCGGTCATTCTTTTTCTTTTTCGCTTTAAGTTTTTACATGGCGGTAATTTGTTTTGTTTATTAATTATTACCATGCAAAAGATATGAAAGATTGAGTTACATAATGATAAAATGTGGCTGTGATAAAAACAACACGTTCACATGTCGATTCTTATAAGATAAAATTAAATGTTGGTTGTTTCATGTCATTTTCTGCCTTTGGCTTTGCCCCTCTCGAATTCGATTTTCCATTTTTCTCAATTAAATGCGTAAATCAATTTAAGAAACACCAAGTCGAAAAAAAAGAAGACCATAATAAATTTATAATGACATAATAAACATGATTGATAATTGGATACTATTTATTTGGATAGGACCCCATGAAAGTGGACCCAAAAGATATCCCAAGGACCCAAAAGTTTCAGAAAGATATAAATGATTATTACAATAAAAATCTAAATAAGTCGGATACATTACTTTAGAGAAAAATCTAGATATTTAGAGACATTGCTTGTGATAAACATGCCAATATTTGAGTGATACGAAAATCTTAGTGATAAGCATGACAATATTTGACTAAAACATGCTTGGTGATAGTGAACATGACATAATAATGACACTAATTAGACCAAAAAAAAAAAAACTCACACCTGGTTGATATACGATTTAATTTTTGTTCCAAATCAAAGGAATTGGTGAAACATAATTACACTCTTTCCCTTACCTCTAGCTCTAACCATGTCAACCAACCACACACTATAATATTTTACTGAAAATCCATTTAGAAGAAATCTAATATTTGTATCTCATAGTTTAGGCCCATTAAAGCCCAAAATCAGCTTTAGCTAGAGGAAAGAGGATCGCATAGTTTCCACCACCATCACGAATAGTTTGAGAATTCGGAAGCTTGGATTGATTTGGGATATAAGGGTTTTCGTTCTCTGAGGAAGACTTCGAGGGACTTACAGTGATTTGCCAATGACGTTGCCTCCAGGACTTTACTCCGGCACCAGCTCCCTTGCTCTCGTACGCCGATTCTCGATCTGCTTCGCCGATTCGTTTTTGTGTTTCCTTATTTTTTTCTGAGTTTATTTGATTCATCGAGTCTTTCGCTTTGATGATCAGGTGGCTCGTGCTTCGGCTTTTGGCATGGGTCTCGTCTACGGGAATATGAAGCTCAAGGTCTTGAAGGTATAATTCTACTCCACTTTCTCTTGTTTCATCGAAATTTTCAATTATAATGCTCTTGTCTACTACGAATCTGCAATACATTATATCTGATTGAGCTTGGAAATGGTATTGATTCTGTTTTTTTTTTTTTTCACCATATGATGACCTTGACATCTGAATTGGTGTCGACATGATATTTCGAAATTTGGTGGCTACACATTTTTTTTTGTTTTCGTTATAATCAGAAGATTCCTACTTTTGAGCTTGTTCGAGCAAGAGAGAAGTTTTTTTGTTTATAGGGTTTCTTTTTAGCATACCTTATTGTGTTTGAACCATTTTGCAGTTCTGAATAGCTATAGATTTGAATTGCAGGATGCTTCTTTGCTCCTTTTGTTTCTGCTAGTCCACTGTTTATGTCTGATTCCTGATCGTATATTCCCTTTTAGATAGTCCTATGCTCTACTTCTACAAGTTGTCGTCTTTGGTTGAAACTCTGATTTGTGGCATCTTTCTCTGGATTTTGCTTCTGAGGTTACTAGCTTTTTAAAGTTTTTTGCTTGTGAGTCTCGTCTGTAAACATAAAGATGATCTTATGTGTATACCTTCAGAAATATTTCTGGCTATTCAACATCATGTTTGCAAACCTTGTAACTGTTGCATTGTGTTGTTTGTGTGGCAAAACCAGAAATGCATTAAAACTTGGATACCTCTACGTCTGAAATGTTCCCGAGTCTTATTATATGATAGCCAAGTATTAAACAGATTGGTTTTTCACCTGCAGATAAAAACGAAGTCACAAAAGAAGGTTGAAGCCAGTGCTCATCATTAAACCAATTCCTCTCTCTTTACAATAAGAAGCCAAAAGCTGGGGGGTGATGTCTCCCCGGTTAGCAATTTTTTTGTTCTCGCTCATGATTCATCTTTTAGATTAACAAACAAGTAACAATTGTGTGATTACAAATTATCATATACGGTTTTGAGACCTTTTCGGAGCCAAAGTTGCCACTCGTTTTGTTGGTCTAAATATCAGCCGTAGAAAAGGATCAAAGATGCAATAAATTGGCACCTCCAAGCAGACATGTAGTCCCCACTACGGTTTCAAACAATTTATTAATTTTTAGTTACTATTTCTTCGATGGCTGCATATTCATGTTCCATTATTGCTACTAGGCTACTAGCGTTCCAGTATTGCTACTCAAATATGGAATCAAAGACACTAAAAGTTTTTCTCAAGGTTCTAGAAGGATCTCGAATAGTTCAAAAACGCAAATAATATTTCTTTTTCAGTGTGTGTGTATACTATTGGCATTACTGCCATATCCCGTTGAATGAGGATATGTTTATCTACCGGAGTTTACATTGGATACAAAAGATCAAGTAAGCGTCAATAGTGTGGGGATCATGTGATCGTGATGTTCATTTATATATGTCTTTACCTCGAAATTACAAACTGTTTCGATTGGTTGTTGAGGCTTGTATGTGATGATCTATGATTCGATGAACATCAGTTTTTTTGACTCGTATACTAAATATTTGCCAGACAATTCACTGAATGTTGGTGTGGGGAAGTTTACAAGAGATGAAAGTAAAGAGGTGAAAATAATATATCAAAGGAGAAACAGTTGAGTGACTTTAATTCCTCCGAACCCCGTCAATTATTTCAATGTTTTTTCTTTCTTTCATTTCTTATATTTAACGAGAAAATGCAGAAGCCAATCTCTTGTTTCTTTTGTGAATGGCAAAAAAAAAAAATCGAGAATCCTACGATAATTGATCAGATTATTACTAATTTTTTATTTATAGTTTTTTGGACCGGAGACAAAAAAAAAAATGCTAATACCATTTTCAGTTTTTCGCCTAATCTTTTTTATTTTAATAAAACTCCACCGCAATCTTTCTAGGGAGATTAATGACTTATCTTTTTCCATTATCTTCTTGTTTGTGGTTTTAGCCACAACCGTGAACTATACACAAAAGCCATATGTCAATTACACATGATCTTGTCATGAAATACTGAACACACACACACACACACATAATGTGTTCGAAGAAGTTTCTATTTGGAGGATTGGAACTTGGGAAGTTGTGTCTGCTGATACGAGAACGATATTAAAAACTCCTAGGTTGTACTAATTACTATATGAGAACGATTGTAATATCTCCTAGGATGTACTAAGTAATGATGGACATTCATCTTTTATCACATCAACTGATGGACATATTCATCTTTTATTACCATATCAGTACTCACATCAACTGTAAGTACTGATGGACATATTCATCTTTTATCCCAATCAACTGTATGTTATCTCTATAAATTTATTGCAAACGGAATTTTAGAGCTAAATTAAAAACTAAATACCACCTTTTTGGGTATGTTAAATTTACTATTAATGGTAATTTTTGGGTAATCAGGTGGGTGCCAGGAGTTTCGGCTCTTGGATCAATTACTGTCGTCTGTCATAGTCACTCTTTAAAAAAAATCCACAAAACTACCCTTAAAAAAACACAGCTAACACTATGAAAAGGAAGAGTAAAAATATATGCTAAATGTTTTACCACAACTACAACGTCTGCAACTGCAAGTGCACTCCTATAAAACCCCTTTTATCTCTTCTAACCATAAGCCGTGAGAAACCCAAAACCACATTTAAAACAAATTAAAATGGCTCTAACATCGTCGTTCCAATACCCAACGACGATCATCTCTTCTGTCTCCGGATTTCATTGCCGTTCCGATCTGCATCGCCATTTCAGCATTCCCACCAGCAACATCGGTGTTGTCAAAATTCAAAGACGTATATGTTCTATGTTTGCTTAATATTTTTATTAACCTCATGAGTCATATAGAACCACAAACAATAATAAAAAAAAAACTCTAAATTTATACGAGTGTATATATATATATATATAAGAATTCAAACTAAACTCATAAAGAAAAAAAGTAGATATGATAATATATTTGTTGTTTTCCATCTGCAGCAGCTGAAAAGGTTAGTATACAATTGGAGGATTTGAAACCTTTGTCCTTGACCTCCTCCGATGGAACCCTAACTGTTCATGCTGGTACGTGATTTCTTACAACCAAAGATACAATAGTTACCAAATTCTAAAAGTAATGGGCCTTAAACTGGGCTAGTCTTATTTTAAAAATTAAAAAATAAATAAAAACCAGAGTTAGGCTTCGTATTTACATTTTTCGTCAACCAGGAAAACTGATTTTTTTTTTCCCATCGATTTTATTATGGTTAGGTGAAAGATTAGGCCGTGGTATAGTGACGGATGCGATCACGACCCCTGTAGTCAACACATCGACCCATTTCTTCAAGAAAACTTCCGACCTTATCGATTTCAAGGTCTGTTTGCTTTTGACTCTGGTGACGATTATCGATAAATTTTATACGTGATGTGTTTGTGTTTTTTCATAAACTTTTACTACTTGTATAGGAGAAACGGACTGTTCGTCATGATTATGGTCGTTATGGAAACCCAACGACTACGGTGCTGGAGGAGAAGATTAGGTCTCTGTCTCTCTTGATTTTATTACGGGCTTTTAGGGTTTAGATGAATTGTTCTATCTACTAGCTAGTGTCTCCAATGTCATTATATTCTCAATTTGATTTCTTAATTTGTTCAGTGCGCTTGAGGGGGCTGAATCAACTGTGGTTATGGCATCTGGGATGTGTGCAAACACTGTAATGCTTTTGGCTTTGGTTCCAAGAAATGGACATATTGTGACAACTAGAGATTGTTACAGGAGGACAAGGGTTTTTATGGACACTTTTCTTCCCAAATTGGGAATCACTGTAAGAAAAAAGAAACATCCAGTTTCACTATTTTAATATGTTCGTTTTAAGCTCCATTGATTTAACCGTTTGTTATGTGTGTGTGTGTGTCCCCAGGTGACTGTGATTGACTCTGCTGACACCACAGAGCTCAAAGCTGCATTGAATAAGCACGAGGTTTCTATGTTCTTCACCGAGTCTCCGACAAACCCGTTTCTTAGATGTGTGGACATTGAGTTAGTGTCAGAAATCTGTCACAGAAGAGGAACTCTTGTTTGCATATAGACGGTACCTTTGCAACGCCTCTGAATCAGAAGGCGCTTGCTCTTGGTGCTGATCTCGTTTCTCACTCTGCTACAAAGTACATTGGAGGCCACAACGATGTGAGTCAAAAAAAACATCAGAGCCTGATAAAAAATGAGACAGTTGTTAGAAAAAGCTGGCATATGTTAATTAATATTTTAAGGCTTTTTCTTGTGTGTGTGTGTGTGCAAGGTTCTTGGTGGATGTGTATGTGGTTCAATGGAACTGGTTTCAAAGGTTCGAGATATGCATTATGTTTTGGGAGGCATGCTTAACCCCGTAAGAAACTTATAAGCTTGATCCTCTCTCTTCTCATAGGTTTCCGTTTTTCCATTTCATCAGAATTTGCTAAAACTTATGGAAAAAATGAATCTTGGTGAAACAGAACGCTGCGTATTTACTCATCCGAGGCATCAAAACGATGCATCTTCGTTTAAAGCAACAGAATTCAACCGCTTTGAGAATGGCTCACGTGTTAGAAGCACATCCCAAGGTTTTATATATATTTTTTCACCCATTCTTTTTTTCAAATATTACACATAATGTATATTCTTTAGCTATCAATTGGTTATTTGAAAACTGATACAATATGATCGTGTTAGGTGAGTCGTGTTTACTATCCAGGACTTCCTAGTCATCCAGAGCATCACATTGCCAAGAGACAAATGACTGGTTTTGGTGGTGTGGTCAGTTTCGAGGTCTAACCAATTAATCACATTTGATATGATCGATGTAATTAACTTTGTTCCATTTAACTAATTATTAATCTCTAAATCCGTTTTGTCTTTCCTTTTTATATACAAATAGATCATCACTGGAGATCTCGAGATCACAATAAAGTTCGTCGATTCTCTGAAGATCCCTTACATTGCACCATCGTTTGGTGGCTGCGAGAGCATCGTAGACCAACCTGCCATAATGTCATATTGGTATTTTTTTTAATTTTTTTTTGAGAAATTAAGGGTTTACTGGTATGATTTTCCTATTAAAACATTTACCATTTTTTGGGGGATAAATTATACACTTGTTTTTTTGGAATTTTTGGGAGTTTGGTTTAGGAATTTACCAGAAGAAGAGAGGCTCACACATGGGATCAAAGTCAACTTAGTTCGTTTCAGCTTTGGAGTTGAAGATTTTGATGACGTCAAGGCTGACGTTCTTCAGGCCCTTGATACCATCTGAAAACGCCGTCGTTTTTTTTTTCCTTCTGTTTAATGTTTGTAATTGGCAAGGCTTAACATTAAAAAGCTCTCGAAATCTCGAAAAAGTTTTCAATTATTTATTCATGGACAAGTTGTTGATTTCAACTTATTGGTCATTAATTTATAAAACAATGACTCTCACCCTTTTGTTAAGAAAAAAAAAATGACTCTCACCAAACCAACAAAATTTGAGAGGCCAAGAAGATATTGTCCATCTTGGATAAACTAACTCAGACAAAACTAAAACATGTCCATCTCATAATGAACTTTGGTTCGCGGTTAAGTGGGTAAAACGTATGTTCCATGTTGAATATATAATCCTTTTGGCTTAATTTTTTTTTTTTTTCATTTCTTTCATTTTTTATATATCTAAGGAAATTAAGTTTCAAACTCTATTTGTGAATTTTTTTACTGAGTGTTCCAATTTCATATCACCTATACATATACAGGATTAGTTGTTACTGAATATTATTTGGATTCGATATCACCATCATCATCATCATCATAATTCACATCTTAAGAACCTCATTCTTTGTAGACCAAAAAAAAAGAACCTCATTCTTTTTTATGCAACGGCGCCGTCGAGGGGATTTTGTTGCCGTCCATCGGAATCCACTATAATCCTTTTGTAAGAACTATATTCTTATCAAAGAATTTGGTCTTACAGTGACTAGTTTTCTCTTAGGATTTGGTATTATTGTAACACATTTGGTGAGCAATGTAATTGAAGATTAAGAGTTTTAATTCCTAATGAGCTTTATATGACAAGTGGATTTAGCATGTCCTTCAATGGACAGATGCCATACTTAAGGGACCAAAGCTTAACACTTGTCTTCACACTTGTCATCTACAATTCATCATCTCCATCTTGATGGAAGGTTTGAGATTGAAATTTAAAGAAAACCAAAGTGTGGAACATGCAAAGGTCCTCTCTCCACCTACCTAGAGATCATACATGGTTAATTTTCCCATCATAAAACTATAACCATAATCACAATACCTAAAAGAAAAAATCATGAGTAAGGGGAGATAAAACCTAAGCTCCTATTTAAAGATCTAGCTATAGTCTAACCGTTCAAGAAGACTTCTCGCTCGATGGACGGAGGTACCTCTTTCTTAAAGATTCTATAGGGTTTATATAAAATTATGTTTACATGGCAGGTTAAATTATGGTTGCTCCTTCTTCATAGTCTCCAGATTGTAAAACGAATCATTTCCTATCAAAATTGGAATAAAAACAATCAAAATAAAAGAGAAAATAATACATGATTATCTTCCATCTTTGGTAAATTGAAAGAGAAGATGATAAAAAAGAAGAAAAAGAGAGAAAGAATCTCGTAGAGAGAGAGAGAGAGAGAGAGAGAGAGAGAGAGAGAGAGTACGGTATGTTTAGTTGGAGATAAGTTAGACTCAAGTTACAAAATGGGCCAAAGTTAAGTTGAGAATAGGATTAGAGAGTGTGTTATATAGTAATAAGTTTGGGTAAAAGTGTTTTGAGTGTAATATTATCTTTGGGTGCGATACCAATACATTGTTATATGGTCGTCCGTTAATCACGTGATAGAAGATTCTACAGCTTTTTTTTTATATTACAAAAAAAAAATTTACTCTATTGAAAAACTCTATCGCATTGGTCGTTAAGCCATTTTAAATTACTAGTAATTAGACCTTTAGAGTTTTCTAAAAGACCAAGAACGCAACAAGGTTCGGAATCGTTCCGCAGGACCGCAGCTGATGGAATCAATCGGTTTGGTCAAAATATAAAAGTATTGCTTACGCGCCATCAGTACTCGTCTTTCTAAACGACCCAAAAATATGAAAATAGGCATTTTACTAACACTATATAAATTGGTGACATTATAAAGACTTTGAGAAACCACCAATTAGTCACAAAATATCAAAAGGTTTATTTTTGGAAAATCTAAAGGATATACATGGAGGACATGAACGATTCGAACCCTGTACAACCATTCTTGAGCTCTGATGGGAGTCTGTCTGTTCATGCTGGTACGCACGACATCCTCTTCCTAATTACTAGTAATATGTTATAGGGTTGGACAGAAAATATAAGTAATATAAGCTATATATATATATATATCCGTTTTGATCTAATTTTTTTTAAAAAATATATATATATCGGAGAAGTATCCCTCTCTTTTATGTTTTGTGCATTCATTTGAAAATGTTTTTATGGTTTGTTTACAATCAGGAGAAAGATTAGGTCGTGGTATAAACTCGAGTTCGATCACGACCCCTATAGTCAACACAACTACCTACTTCTATAAGAACTCTTCGGAGCTTATCGACTCCAAGGTCCGCTTATATACAGCCTTATATATACATGCTTTTGCTTAAATATCTTTGAATATTCAGAGATAAATACTACACTGTGACATAGCTTGACTTTCATTTTTGTAGGAGAAACGGATTGAATGTCACGAGTATACTCGTTATGGAAGCCCAACAACTATGGTACTCGAAGAGAAGATTAGGTCTCTCTCTCTCTCGCTCTCTTTCTCTTTTGATGTCTTTGATTACTGTCTGTCTCTCTCTCTCTCTCTCTCTCTCTCTATATATATATATATAGATTGAGTGTTGTTCTTTATTAACTGTTCCTTTTATATATATGTATGCTGTCTTCATCATCGATCAGTGCACTTGAAGGTGCTGAATCAACTTTGGTTATGGCATCTGGGATGTGTGCAAGTACTGTTATGCTTTTGGCCATGGTTCCTCCTGGTGGACATATTGTCACAACTAGAGATTGTTACAAGGAGACAAGGATGTTCATGGAGTCTTTTCTTCCCAAATTGGGAATCACTGTATGGAACCAAAAAAAAAAATTCCCCAGTTTCATTACTATCTATCTGTTTCGTTTTGAGATCCATCGACTAGACCCTTTTGCTACGTGTGTTTATGTATGTTCCAGGTGACTCTGATTGATACTGCTAATATCTCAGGGCTCGAAACTTTAGTTAACAACCATAAGGTATATATAACCGTAATATAACTTATATATCAAAAATTTATCCAAATTAATATGTATATGTGAATTTTAATTTGTGGTATCTGTTTGAGTCATTCAGGTTTCTATGTTATTCACCGAGTCCCCAACAAACCCGTATCTAAAATGTGTGGACATTGAGTTAGTGTCAGAAATCTGTCACAAAAGAGGAACTCTTGTTTGTATAGATGGTACCGTTGCAACATTTTTGAATCAAAAGGCACTTGCTCTTGGTGCTGATCTCGTTCTCCAATCTGCTACAAAGTACATTGGAGGCCACAACGATGTACGTAATAACAACAATCAGAATCCGGAGTCTTATTAATTCATTAGTGCTTGGTTACTCGGAAGATGATTAATATATATATATGTGTGTGTTCCATGTAGGTTCTTGCTGGATACATATCTGGTTCAATGAAGATGATTTCCGAGATTCGCATTTTGCATAATCTTTTGGGAGGCACGCTTAATCCGGTAAAAAAACAAAAAATGACTGATTTCTCCTCTAATTAATGCCTATATGATCATCATATGTCTATTTATAAAAACTTGCTAAACCTTTGGATAATTGATAATTGGGTCTTTGCCAAAAAAAAAAAAAAAATAAACAGAACGCCGCATATCTACTCATACGAAGCATGAAGACGATGCATCTTCGTGTAAAACAACAGAACTCAACCGCGTTGAGGATGGCCCAAGTTTTAGAAGCACATCCCAAGGTTTTATAATATTTATTCTTTCTTTCTTTTCGATACATACACAATATATTATCTAGTATTAATTAATTTGATGTCACGAATTATTGATTAACCGATTCAATATGATCGTGTTAGGTGAGTCGCGTTTACTATCCGGGCCTTCCGAGTCATCCCGAGCATCACATAGCTAAGCGGCAAATGACTGGTTTTGGTGGTCTTGTCACTTTCGAGGTACGTTAAAACTTAAAAAAGCAATAATCATTATTGATTATTCTCAAAATGTGTTTTTTTTTAATAACTTTTTATCTGCAAATAGATTGCTGGAGATCTCGAGACTACGTTCAAGTTCGTCGATTCTCTGAAAATCCCTTACATTGCAACATCTTTTGGTGGATGTGAGAGCTTCGTGGACCAACCCGCCGCTAGGAACTGGTACGTATATATGATTTTCCACTAAAGCATTGATAACTTTTGTGTGTTCGTTAATTTGTGGTTTATACACATGTTTTTTTTGGGTGTTTTAATTTAGGGAGGTACCGCAAGAGGAAAGGCTCAAATATGGACTCAAAGACAACTTAGTTCGCTTCAGTTTTGGTGTTGAAGACTTTGACGACTTGAAGGCTGACATTCTTCAGGCTCTTGAAACCATCCCTGCCAAAACGTCATCGTCTTTCCTCCAGAACGGTGCCGTTTCGACTAAAAACTAGCTGTTAAAGACTTTACGCAAACGCAGCCGTTTTCATTTCCCGTATCTGCCCCGTTCATTTAAATTGTTGACATTTCTGATATTAAATAATCCTAAGATGTTGCCAAAAAGATACTACAGTAATAAAAACTACAGCTCCCTAAATGTTGCACGTATGATATATTTTTACATCTTAAAAACAAACTCTTAAACAAATCTTATCACATGCTAAAACATCTTGAATTTCAGGACTTGTCAAAACTTTGAAGAAGTATGATAAAGGTAAGATGTTTATTCTTGGTCACACACTTTAGCCCAATGATAACCCAGAGTCGTGACTATAATAACATCAACAATGAATTGTATAGTTTATCATTCACAAAGTGATATAATAAAAGAGTATAAAAGAATACGGATCCGTTGCTAGTTATACGTTAATCAAAAAGGAATCTCATTATATGTAAGGCGAATCTTATTATATATTGGAATATAAATCTTATATACTGGAATATAACCCATGTTATAGGGTTAGTTTTTCTGCATATTTTATTGCTCTGTTTGCCCGTTCAAGCTCGCCGAAGGCGCATCTCAGGTGGACGATCTGGTTAAGAGCCAATTTAGAGAAAAGTTCAATAATTTTCTTTTTTTTTTTTGAAAGAGAAAAGTTCAATAATTTTCTTTGATTACAATATGTTATGTCATGGACCTTTCCTGTACAAATATGAAATATATGCATAATCACTGCACAAGTTGATGAGTGTAAAATTTAATCAATGCCGAATAAAAAGAAATAGAATCACTTATAATGAGAAATCTAACGATTCGTTAATGCTAATATTTTTCGTCCAGTCAATTTAATCTAACACTTTTCTTTTTCTTTTTTAAATCTAACACTTCCTTGTTGGAGAATCTCAATATTTTATACTGAAAAAACGCGGCAATAGCACAAATAAACAATAGCTTGATCTTTTTTTTTCAGTATATAACTAAAACTACATAAATTTTCATGCGAACCAAAAATCCTAATGCATAGGAAATTAACATAAAATCCGACGTCACTCAACCAACGGCAAATTGAATCTCTACAAAATCTAAGTCATATATTAGTATAACTCCAACAAATACTCCTTCGTTTTACATGATTAAGAAGATGATGATGATTGATGGACTATTAAGAAATTGCTAAAATGATATGTATTCTACGATGATCCAAACCATACGTTTGGTATCAAATATCATTGATTGCTTAACCGACATCGATCTCTCTAAAAACTATTACTACCATGTTATTGTTTCATGAATAACACATTCTGATTTTTTGTGATTAATATTTGCTGAAACCGGCGGGCAATCTATTATTATGTATTGACCATAGAGCCCGTAATGCAATTTCCAAGATCGGATTTTCAGTAAGTGACGAGCGGTTCATACGTGAATACATTGAAGATTTTTATTTTTGTTTTGTCAACACACTGACAGATTTAAACCAAAAAAAAAAAAAAATCATATAGTAGTTAGCCCGAAAAATGTGAAATTAATCTGCTATATAAGTCGTCAACAAAGAAAAACACTACTAATTTAATCCATTTTTCTATTCGATAAAGTAATTTGTATATAAGAAGACTTGAGAAAAAAAAAATGCAACCAAATAAAGAGACCGTCAATGGACAGTATATTAATTAAATCGAAGCCATCCACGTCAACTTCATCAGATTCGCTCTATCTCTCTCTCTCTCTGTGTAAAGAAAAGAAGATTCCTCCTCGCTTTCTCTCTCTCGCTCTAGATATACATGCCAAAGCACCGTTCTTAATTCTTATCCGGTCCCCAGAAACCATCGCGATCTCCGTCTCCAAAGCTCTCAGATCCAACGAGTATTTTCTACCCTATGAAATTCGGCAAAGAGTTTCGAACCCACCTCGAAGAGACCTTACCTGAGTGGCGAGACAAGTTCCTTTGCTACAAGCCCTTGAAAAAGCTTCTCAAGTATTACCCTTACTCCTCCTCCGATTTAGGATCCGCGATTCCCGATCAGATCGATTCACGCCCGGTCTTTGCCGACACTACCAACACATCTTCCGTCGCCGACGACGTTGTGCTTCCCGGCGTCAGGCCTACGGAAGATCTTCAGGGTTCGTTTGTGAGGATACTTAATGAGGAGCTTGACAAGTTTAACGACTTTTACGTCGATAAAGAAGAAGATTTCGTTATCAGATTACAGGTTTTTGCTCCTCACTGTTTGATTTCATCCATCTGATTCTCCGATTTCGTAAGCTTTAGGATTTGAAGTTAAGTTGAGAATTCTGTGTGAACTTAGGTTCATGTGACTGAAGAGAGATGCTGCAGATTTCTGATTCAGAGCTCAAAAAGCATTCTATAGAATTGGATCGATGTTCAATAGGGTGATGATTAATCTCGAATCTTAGAAACCAATTGCCGGTAGTTTAGTAGCCTGAAACCAAATAGTTCTAGTGATGATCTCTAATCAAAGATTCCTCATGTCATAAGGCCCCTTAATTCCTCTATCGGATCAGTTTCTGTGTGCTTCAAATAGATTCTATATCCCTGGTTCTTAATGTAAAAGCCAAGACTTTCAAGGCTTGTGTCGTTGAGAAAGTAAAATTATCGGTAATGTTTCTGTGATTTGAAGTTCTTGAATATGGGCTTCTTTTGGCTGGATTGTATAATGATATATCACAATTTGAGTAATGGTCTATGATTCTTGGTCATCCTCTTGCTCTGCTTGTTTGACCACACTTGTTTTCACGCACGCGGTTCATCTGATTGGATTTTGTTTAGGTTCATCATTGTATTATCTATATTGCAAACAGGAGCTGAAGGAACGAATCGAGAAAATTAAGGAGAAGAACGAAAGCGAGTTCAGTGAAGAAATGATGGATATTCGCAGAGACCTTGTCACCATTCATGGCGAGATGGTGCTCCTAAAAAACTACAGTTCCCTTAATTTTGCAGGTATGATATGCTTAAATTCATATAAAGAAATCTTGTTACACGGGCTAAAACATCTTGGATTTCAGGACTTGTCAAAATTTTGAAGAAGTATGATAAAAGAACAGGTGGACTTCTACGTTTGCCTTTCACACAGCTTGTTCTTCATCAACCTTTCTTTACAACAGAGCCACTTACAAGGTTAGTCCGTGAATGTGAGGCGAATCTTGAGCTTCTCTTCCCATCAGAAGCAGAAGTTGTAGAGTCTTCTACCACAGTGTCAACCTCACATCAAAACAACTCACCAAGAATCTCGGCCCAGACTTCCTCAACTCTCGGCGATGAAAATCTTGATATATATAGGAGTACACTCGCTGCAATGAGAGCTATACGAGGTTTACAAAAGGCCAGCTCGACATACAATCCTCTATCATTCTCATCGCTTCTTAAGAACGAGGATGATGAGACCGTAACAGCTGAAAACTCTCCAAACTCTAGCAAAGATGAATCAGACGAGGAAGATACTGGACCTTCCCACTGATCAGAAGACAATCATGCTCCTTCTGATCAAGATTTTGAAAATTTGCTTCTTACCATCTCCCTAACTTGTCATAAAATTAACACATTTTGCGTTTTTTAACCCCTGTCCCAATCTCAGTTTAGTTCTTTACATTTTGCAGAGATCACGTCTTCTGTATGCATTTGAATTGTAGAACAGTATGTTCGATTAAAATTTGCTCCATGTCCCAACCTTGTCTCATTTTGCAAATTGGTTTGAAAAATAGTCTCAAGAACCGAAATTTTCTAGCCATTTGATCTGTTCACCAGTAATCGGAACAAGAACAAGAGCCTCCCTTGAACTGATGAAACCTATTTCTATCTCTGATGATGATTTCTCGGTCATAGATCTTTGAAACAATCTTCATAGCCGAATGACAATCCCGACATATCCTCAGATTCTTGAAGACATAAAGAGGTGTCCTCGGGTTTGTTTCCAGAAGCCCGAAACAGACGGCCAATTTCTCACTGTGACAGGACAAAGCTTGCTCGTTATCCTCCAAGTCACCCTCCGATGGAGATATCAGGCCAGAGACACCAGGGACATAACCAGCTGATCTAATGCGTTCAATCACTTCATTCAACTTCAAGTAGATCTCTTTCGTTCTCGGGTGTGATCTATCTCCTGAACTAAACCGATAAATTGAGCCGTTCAAGTGAATGGAACTCATACCAGGTATTTTCTTCAATCCTTGGTTTCTCATACTTCCTCTTAACCCATCTACAACGTCACTCCTTCCTTCTGCTGCATACATGTTGGATACAAGTATTTGGTATCCCATGTTGTCTGGACTCATCTGAACGAGCTCTCTTTTAACCCGTTCAGCTATCTCCAGCTTTCCATGGACACTACACGAGCCTAGAAGCGAACCAAGGACAACTTCATTCGGAGGCACTGGCATTTTCCTCACCAAAGTCTCTGCTTCTTCAATACGACCAGTTCGCCCCAAAAGATCAACCATGCATGCATAATGGTCAACCTTGGGTTCCAAACCATAGAACCGGAGGCTGTGGAAAAATCGCCACCCTTCTCCTACCATCCCCGAGTGGCTGCAAGCACTTAAGACAGCAGTGAAAGTTAACTCATCTGGCTTCACCTCCCTTACCATCTCTGGGAACATGTCAATCACCATTCTACCTTTCCCGTGCATTGCTAACCCGCTAAACATTGCGTTCCACGTGACCACATTCCTCTTACGCATCAACCTGAAGACTTTAATGGAAGAATCAATGTTTCCGCATTTGGCATACATATCAACCAATGCGGTTCCCACCATGACAGGATCATAACTCTCTTCCTCTTCCATTATCATTGCCTTCTTCAACGCATACACATGAACCCATCTTCCAATCACCAGGTTTCCGGATTGTGCACAAGCCGATAGCATCGAGCAAAGGGAAACGAAATTCAAATCATGCCCACACTTAAACACCATTTCCGCCAGAAGCTCCAATGCTTCACCTGTAAACCCAGCTCCCAAATACCCAGCAACCATAACCGTCCAAGCAACAGCATTTCTCTCAGGCATTTTGTCGAACACCTCTCTTCCTCTCTCCAACCCCTCCCATTTCACAACCGTGTCCATAACCACCGTCCATGAAACAACGCTCTTCTCCTCTAACACATCGAATATGCGTTTGACTTCGCCCACGAAACCACATTTCCCATACATGTCCATTAAGGCATTACAAACCTTTACACTAGTCAAAAGTCCCATCTTTAAAGCAAACCCATGTCCTTGAACACCGAACCCCAGATCTTCTAACTTAGAACACACGCCAAACAAGCATACTACAGAAACGTCATCAATCTCTACTCTTTTCCTTGTCATATCCACGAAGAGCTTCATCGAATCAACTAAGAATCCGTACCGGGAAAAAGATGATAACAAAGTGGTCCAATCCACATTGTCTTTCTCTAATAGAGGAATTTCGTCGAACAGTTTACGGGCAGTAGTCATATCACCAGATGCTGCGTAAAACTGAAAGAGCTTGTTGCTAAGGTACGACCTCGGGACTTTCGTCAATCCTGAAGTGGTCAAAACGGCGTGTAGTTCCTTGCCGGGACCGAGAAACGAGCGGTGCGCGCACTGTCGGAGAAGGAAACGAACGTTTTGGTAGGATATGCATTTCATAAAGATTATGATCAAATGCTCCTACTTTTTTTTGTTTCTCTATTCCTATAATTGATAGAATCTTCTAGCTATTGCGTTGGATCTTTGCGCTCGACGGTTTGAACTTCTCGTCTTGTGTTGAATTTTCCCGGGGAAAAAAAAAAATCTTCCTTTCATCGAAATCGGATGGACTATAAAGTTTCCATCTGATATCAGTATATCACTATATCCACATTTGGGCAATAGATTAACGTCTAAATTGTCGCTGACAAAGACATACAATGAAAACTGAAAATTTGTGTATTTGGAATAGAAAGAAAAAAGCAAAATAGATTGCCCAGAATCTTCATTATATCTATCTACAAGTCTCAACGTCCCCACCAATCAACATCATCATTTCATATTTTTTTAGGGGTCCATATGAAAATTTTTACCCTCCAAACAACATTTTACAACATTTGTTATTTCGTTTCATATTTCAAACATATATAATTCAATCCATTTGGTAATAGATTTGACAGCTTTATGAAAGGGACATGCGGTAGTTGGATTTGATAATACAATACGAGATATGACAGATAAACCCACATGGAACAGATAAGCCAAAATACAGAACGAACATTTGAGATAAAAATAAAATATCTGTTTTTATAATTTAAACACAATCCGGATACACTATTTTTTTCTCAACAATCCACACAACCAGTGCCGTGTAGGCCTGCGCAAAAAACCCGGATCCGAATATCTGAATCGGAACCGAACCGAAATGGATGACCGAATCCGAACCAAAATTTTTAAAAATATCCGATGGATCTTAAACTCTTATACCCGAAGAACCGGAATCGAACTAGTACCGAACCGAGAACCGATTGGATACCTGAATTATCCAAAGTATAATTATATATCCTTCTAAATATTAGTTTTTTTTTGGATATTTTTGATATTTGGTATATATTTCTGGTTTTACAGATATATTTTCTTTATTTTTGGGACTTTTGGGTATATTTTTAAGTTTTGATATATATATTTTTGAATTTTTGTTATTAAAAAGGTGTGAGTTGAATTAAAAATTTGAGGCAAAAGATCCTGATCCGATTATCCAAACCGGAACCGAACTGAAATAAAGGTATCGAACCCGAACCGAAATTTATAAAAATATCCGATGGATCCTAACTTCCTCTACCCGAAATATCCGGAATCGATTGGTTCCGAACCAAAACCGAACCGAATATCCGAATCCCCAGGCCTAGTGCCGTGCTTAGAGTGTTAGGGGCCTAAGGCAAATGAAAAGAAAAAATTTTCATTTTACTATAATTATTCTAAAAAAATAGAAATTTTAAATAAGATTTAAATATTATTTTATAAGATATTAGAGATTACTAATATTTTTTTCTTAATTTATAATAAATTTTCAACCATAAAAAAATAACACAAAAAATACATATCAACCAATATACTAAACAAGAATAAAAAAAGTTAGAGGCCCTAAAACTTGCTTATTAAGGCAAATGCCTTATTTTTTCTTCATTAAGCACGGTTCTGCACACAACTCATTCACTTGCATCAAAACCAAAAAAGAAAGAGAGATTTTTTCGAATCTTGAAGAAAATTTCAGTAATTAATTTCTCAAATAAATCAAATACAACTTTTTTCAACAATTGATTCGGAGACACAAACAAAACAAAAGATTAGAACCAACAATCCAACATTACAAAGATAAAGATCTCAACTGATTTCACTTACTAAATTAAAAGCTTTCCCTGAAAAGAATAAGAGGTTTTTCAAATCGAGATTGGATCCAACTAAAGTCTCTGAGATCGGTCACTACCATTTACCACATCATTAAGAACGCATCCCACATTGTCGAAACAGAGAAAAGAGCAGCCGGAATCATGAACTGAGCGAGACCTGTGACCATGGAAACTGATCCAACGTTCTTGACAGGCGCAGATTTCGGTGGAGGAGGAAGTTTCTCGACTTTAACAGCGAGCTTCATGCCGCCGTAACAGCCACCCTTTCCGTCAAGTAGATAGTAATGCTTGGTCACATTGAGAGTAACGACGTCTCTCCCAGCTCCACGTGTCCAGTTTCGGATAGGATGGTCGGAGATACAGCTTTCATAGTCGGTCTTGTTTACTTCAAGAATGTTGTGTTGGTTTCTGTCGAACACGAAATCTGACGAGAGACCACAAAAACATATTCTTGATTAGAATAACCAAGATCATACTTTTGGATTTGGGCTATAATGACAATGGCTTATTCAAGATCTTGGTACGGAGTCACTAATATCAGGACTGACCCATGATTCAAAATTTGAGCTATACTGAAAATGTCTGACTAAAGATTTAAACTTTAACCAGTGTGACAAAGTATGATTACTATTTATCAGACAATGAACAGAGAGAGAAAATGACATGGACTTCACGGTGTCTCACTCAGACAACCTTTCAACAGCGTGTTTCTAATCAGATCTGGACTAATTAGGAAACATTTACGAACAAAACCCAACAAAAATGTGTTTTAATAGACACAGCACTGATGGTCCTTTCAGCGAATTGAAGGGCATTTGCAGAAAACCGGAAAGCGAAGAACTTTGAAATAAAAGGTTGAAAAGTTTGAATCTATTACCAGACAGTTAAAGCGAAACACATTACAAATCAGATCTAACATAGACAGAGCGAGAGTATAAACATGTAGAGAAGGGAAGCGAGAGAGCATACAGAGCCAGTCTCCGAGGTAGAAATGCTTTCCCTGAGCCCAGATGGTATAGTTAATGTTGGGATTCCAAAACTTGTTGTCGCCGACTGTATACTTCTTCGCCGTCACTTCCGGCACCGGCGCCGCCACTACAAAAGCCAGTATCACCGCCGCAATTAACACCGTGAATCTCGCCATTTTTCTCTCTATCGACACACTCTCTCTCTCTCTCTTTCTAGACTTATTAGTTGCGCAATTTGTGATTTAGAGGTGGACTAGTGGGTTTTCATAGCCAAATTTTTTTCTTTCCCTTTTTCAACTGCTGTTGCTGTATAATGGAAAAAAATATATAAATATACTATTTAAGCAAATATAATAACCATTCACTCATTTAAATATTAATAATAATTTTAAAAATATTCAACCGCGTTTGCTTTTATTCTGCGGAAGACTTGCTGCGTTAACTACTTTTGGTGCGGCACAAACGCGTCTTTATTCAACGAAGTTGCGAATTTTCTAAATATTTGTATTTCTTGCTGTTTCATTTCTGAATATTTGTATTTCTTGCTGTTTCATCTAGATTTTGACCTCCAAAAAACAATGTTACATGAGCTATTATAAATTTATAATTTTGCTTAACTTATAAAAATTATTATCTGACATAAATAATTAAATATATATTAGAATTCACAGATTATGGAGATTTTTTAAAAAAGAAAAAGAATCCAGTCAAGGTTGAGCTGACAAAAAGCATGCTTAGTTATAAATCCCAGACATATCCAGAACATCACGCTGTATGCTTTATTTTTATTATTATATTCGTCTAAGTTATTATTGTAATACTTTATTTCACATTATCAGACAGATTATACGCTTTCTGCATGTGATCATATGGTTAACGTTCCAGCACACTTTTGTTTCTCGGCCCCTCATTGGTTGCTCGATTTTCCAAATCATAATTTATGCTATTTGAATTTTTCCTATATAATACCAAATAAACAATTTTTTTTTTTGTACGGCATCTTGAAATGGGCTTTTAAATTCTGTATCGCTTACATATCCTAGGATGTTATTCAACTAGATAAGCCGAGAAAAGCAGTATCGGCCTATCAGGCTGTTTTGGTTAGCGAAGAACCAGAAAACGAATTATATCTGATTTCTTAAACCGGATTGGTTAAGAGAGGGTAAAAATTATAAACCGTTTGGGACGCGGAGCTAGCTAACCACCGATTCGCCAAACATATTTAATGAGCCAAAAACAATAATGGTGCGCATCAGTAGGGCCTAAGCCCAAAACTCACCAAAACTAGCTAGTGATTTTGGGCCCAATTGAAAAAAACCGCGCATGGGTTTCATTTTTCTTTTTTCTTGAAGAGAGAAAAAACGTTGCGAATCGGTGAACATTATCTGAGCTTGGGATTCTCAGAGAGACATTCAGTGGTGGTGGAATCAGTGAAGCATCGATCGACTGTCTCTCTGCTCTGTGATTCTCTTCTCCATTTTTGGTGTTCTTTGAAGCTTAATCTCGAGAGCGAGCTCTAAATCTCAAGCTACGACTCTGCCACCAAACACATGAACTCCTGCAAAACCTTATTCCGTGGTTCCTTCTCTTCCTCTCCATTCGCTCCTCTTCGAAACCCTAATTCGTCTATCCCCTTTGTCTCGCTTCGCGCTTTTTCTTCTCTTTCCGTTCTGCATCCAAATCCATGTACACACTCTCACTCTCTCTCTCCCATCTATGTAGTGCATTGTTTTCGTCTGTATAAGGTTTTGAACATTCTTCTGTTCGTCGAACATTTGGATTTCGATTTTCGTTAATTGAATTTGGTGTTTCTTCCCCAGTAAATTATCGAGACTTGATGATTCGAGATTTAATAATATGGTCTTCGTTTTCTTTTAGTCGTTTGATTTCAATTAGAAACAAGTTGATATTGATGCGATTTCCCACCTAACAGGCATCGGAACAGCTCGGTGCACTGTCCATGGAGCTGCGGCTCTTTCACTGGAGAGCTTCACGGAGAATTCGCCCAGGGAACTTCCTGTGAGTGTGAAGGAATTGTTGACAACCAGTCGTGATGACACGTCAAGCATGATGAAGATGGAGCGGAGATGCTCCTTAAGCCAAGGTGAGGGTGATCATAGAGGATCATGGTTTCCTTACGAGGACAGGTTCAAGTGCGGTGACGTGCACCTTAGCAGCCGTGAGGTTCTGGAGGCGGTGAGCCCTCACATGATGGAGGAGAGGTCAGATAGGTTCAGGCGTGTGGTGGAGAACAGAAGCTTCTCGGTGTGTCTTGTGGTTGAAGGTCTCTCTGATATTGGAAACATCTCTGCTGCTTTCCGCTCTGCGGATGCGTTAGGGATTCAGTCCGTGCACGTTGTTTCAATTGACAGCTCCAAAAGGTGCTTTTGAGGTTGGGATTTTTATGAGTGATTCTTTGAATTTTATGTGCAGTGACCTCAAGTCCTAAGCTGGCGATCCAAGTCTGTAGAATTATTGATACAAGATTGATCATAAGTTTGGCAGTTATGTTTCTTGGTTCATAGGATGGAATAGTGAGGATTCTTTACATTTTCTTCATGAGCTGGAACCTACACGGTGCAATAGAGTACAAGGTTAAGTCGTAAATTAGCGATTGAAATCTAACAAGTTCCAAGTCCTCTTGAGTACAAGAATGAGCATAAGTCTGGCATTTCTTTTTAGTGGTTCATACGATTGAATGGGGATTCTTACATTTCCTTGAACTGTGTAGTGACACGAGAGTCATAGGCGAGAGATCTGAAGAAAATATTGATGATTAGTTGCCGACTAAAATGTTTGATTGCATTGTGCGAATTATTTGCCTGTCTCTGTGTGTGAATGTGTATAATTATGTATGTGTAGGTATAGGAACAATCGCCATGTGAGTATGGGAGCTGAGAAGTGGCTGGACATTGAGCTTTGGGACACACCTAAGGAGTGTTTCCAAGTATTGAAGTCTCGCGGTTACAGGATCGCCACAACTCATTTGGGAATGGACACGGTAAACTCCCAAAGATTCGTTTTGGTCTTTTTCTCTCATCACCTAGGTAAAGACAAGTGTAGTGATGACACCTTTTTCGATGGTAATATTATCTCATAGGTTTCCATTTACGATATGGACTGGTCATGTCCAACAGCGATAGTTGTTGGAAACGAGGGCAGGTGATATCTATCATCATCTCTCAGTTTCAAAGCTCGCGGTTTCTTAATCTTTCTTATATGGATTTCTTCTTTTATCTTGGGAAATCTGCAGTGGAATAAGTGAAGAAGCGTTGAAGTTATCAGATCTGCATTGTAGTATTCCAATGAATGGAATGGTTGATTCCTTCAATGTCTCAGTGGCTGCAGGGATTCTGATGCACCACGCAGTCTGTGACCGAAGCACTCGTCTGGTACAAAACAAATTGACACAGCTGCAGATTCTTTTAAGTTAGCTTTCATGTTTTTATGTTTTAGTAACCCTTTATTTTTTTTTGTGTTTTCGAACAGGGAAGTCATGGAGATCTGTCGGAAGAAGAGAAAGAGATATTGATGGCTGAGTTTTCACTTCGTCACAGTAGAAGCTCACTTTGCATTGCTTCCGAGTTCGCTAAACGTAAACATCAACAACACTCTACTTCCTTCTAATTTCCAAACTTGTTCTGTTCTTCGTTTTCTATCTGTTTTGCGTCTTATGGGCTTTGGTTTGCATGTAATTTAAGGTTTTAATGGGCCATTACTGGGTATTAAGATCTACCTTTTTGTTCCAAATGTAACACTAGTTCTGTTGGTACAGGTTTTACCTCCATTTTTATTGAATTAAAAATTCAATACATTCTTCGGTTATTAATTTAGTTTACTTATTTCTATCAAAAACGGTAAGTTTTTACATGACATCAAATCAATGGCATGGAAACAATCCCTAAATTAAAACATGCTTAATTCAGCAACATAAGTCACAATTCTAATAGAAAAGAAAGCCTAATAGTGCATCCCGAAACGAAAAAAAAACAAAGAAAGCCTAACAAAGTAAAAAAAAAAAAGTGGTTCTGTTATTATTTTGGTATTTTTTTAGAATACATAATTAATTAATTAATCAATTAACATATCACTGCTTGTAGTCTGTATCCTGTCCTTGTTGCTGCTATCTTCTCCACTTGCCCGTTTCTTAGACTGATGCGACCTCACAAACTCATCGATTCTCGCCTTCAACTCGATGTCCGGTATCAACATATCCGATGTCAAATGTGCCCGGTTAAACGGATCGTGCTGCAGCAGATGGAAGAAGATCAGATCAAAGCCAACGTCTTCAAATAGAGAGAGAGAAGAGAGAGAGATACATAATCGAATGATCAGTGTGTTAAATTTGCTTACATTGTCACTAAGAAGATGACGCTGAATGATGGCACGATCAACTGTGGTTTTTGAGCTTGGAAGTATCACTGGATCTCTCATTAGTGTGTACTGATAAAATTATCAAGAAACAAAAAGAACAGAAATTAGATTATGTTATTCCAAAAAAGATTAAGTTTTCTGTCAAATTAAACAGAAAATACCTGAATTGGGTCGAGGAACTCCTCTGGTATTTCACCAAGTGCAGCTTCAGCATCCATAGCTTCGGAAGCAGCAGCTTTGGCTTTTGTGCCCAACTCCATAAACTCTTGAATGGTTCTTCCATCTTCGCCTATTCTCCTAAGCACATCTGCTCCTGCGTTGAATAGCTGCAAAAACCAGCACTTATCTTGTTCAGTAGAGATACAGATAATTATTTTGATGAAAGAGAATTCAGTTTAGGAGGAGGATTTGACCTGTTCGTTATACGATCGTCCATCACTGGATATGGCACCGGGGAATATGTTTTCTGAGTCTCCTCTTGCGAGATTAACATATATACGAACAATCTTCACAGTTCACCAAAGAAATTCGATAATGTTGAGTCAGTTTTTTTTTTTATTCCACACCATTAGGTGAGGAGGCCGAGCAAAAATAGTAATTACTAACCTGTTTAAGCAACTGTCTCGGACGGAATTCGTACTTCTCGGGATCTTTCAAGCTTAAAGACTTACGTTGTGGACCCACGAGTTGTAGCAAGAAGTAATTAAGCATATTCGCAACCCTCTCAACCTGACAAACAAACAAACTATTCAGTAGAAGTTTGAGTAATCAAATTGAGCAGGTGATCGTTTCTGGTATAGAGTCAGATTTACCATCTCAGGGAGTAGAAAAGGGGCTGTGATCTCCTCAGATGTAAATGCAAGCATAGTCACATCTTCATTAGCCAGCTTCATGTCGATTCTAACAATCTGCAGAGCAAAATAAAATTCTTTGAGGCATCGTGAACCAAGTTGGAAATCACATATAAGAATTGTACCCCAACTTACATTCTCCTGAGAATGGAAGAGTCTCGTTCTCTCCTGTCTCTCTTGAGCTGGTCTCCGCTCCCACTCTGCAGTATTCGACATCTCAGCCTCGATTTGTTTAATCTCGAGAATTTTGTTAAGGCTTTCATCCAGAAGGTAGATGCTATCATTGACTAAGAAGTTTAGGAAGTTCAAGTATACGCCCTTCTCTTCCTCTTTTGCAATCTGTAATCCATCAAAATTGGTAACATTATGACATTGGCACTTGATGGTTGAAGTTAGAAGCCATGGTAAGGTCACTAAGAATTTACCCGTCTCCACGCGTTTCGGTGACTAGGCACCTGCCACAGATACTCTAGAAGCTCGGCGATGTTGTGGCGAATGTTGAACTTGTCGTAGAACTGCATTTGGATCACACTATTTCAGTAACATTAAAAGCAAGAGTGAATGGCCATTAAGGCTTACTCCAGGAATATTGTAGCCACAAAACAAAATCTCTAGCAATCACCTGAGTGTGAGAACCCGTGAACTCAATGTCAACATATAATTTCAGTAAATTCCTGACAAGATACTCGAGCGATAACTGATGACCTTCAAAGAGAGTAGATGTAGCAGAAGAACCACTACAAACAAACATTGACTTGAGATTAGAGGACCGAGTCAATGCAAAACTTGTTGCATTAGCAACACAAATTGAGGTTATTACAGCTTTCACTCATGGGAAGAAAAATACCTTGAACGGGGCATCCAGCAGTTGAGAACTTCAACCATCTTTGCTCTGAGATATGGGTTTCTAACATATTCTGGACTTGCCATGAACATAATTATGAAGTTCATAAAGTCGTCCTTAAAGAAAGAGGAACAACCATCATCAACACAGGTACAGAAATCGAATTTTTACTGAAGATGAGATAATAGTAAGCATACCAGCAGCACCCCATCCAAAGCTTTGGGGATCCTTGAAGAAAATATCAGTAACTCCATTGCATCTTCAACAAAATGCTCAGGCATACAGGAGAATTCCATGGGGCAAATTGACGGTAAAGGCATCTTAAAGCCACCAACAAGTCCAACTAACCAAACAACCACTAGTCGATAGAAAGAGAGAGCTCGCTGAATAAAATCTCCATCCTTCAAAACAGTATAGAGATAAATCAGCTATTACTATCAAGTCCTTGGTCCAGAGAAAAAGCGAAAGATGTTTGCAGATCAGAGAATATGATTACAGACCCTTAATATTTGAGCCTCGTGACAAAGCTTTTCCTGAGAATACATCTCTAATTCTTTTTCCATTCTGGATATGTCAAGTTCTAACTGTGGAGAAGGTGCTTGATCTCTCATGGCTTTTAATGTTGCAAGATTGTCTTCACCTCTCGAGATGTCCTACGTCATGCGGGAAAAAAACAAGTAAAGAACAATACAGTAACAATCTTCTACAAATCCAGGCATCAACGATTCATTAAAAATCAAGAACTGTATAAGTTCATATATTTGCTGCAGTTCCTTCTTGGTATCACTGACAAACACTTTGTCCAGACAATATATCAGAAACCAAGTTTAACTAAGAGCTATCTGCAAGATAATTTATCATATCATTTCCAGTTTTTCCAAAATTCCTTAATATTTTCAGGTCGGGAAAAAATAATGATGATTACCTGAGCAAGATGTTTAAAGTCAGAGAGTGCTTTTAGGAGACCCAGATTGAGGACCCTTGCAGTCATAAAGAAGCATTCACAAATGAAAGTGTATTTAGTTGTTGATTTTGCATTTTGGCCAGAAACATTACTACTTGAACTTGTGGCTTCTTTGGATTGTAACAAGCGACTTTCATTCCCAATTCCAGCGTCATTTGCTTTTGCCGTATTATCCTTGTCAATCCACTCAGAAACTTCTTCGGATGATGCATGGAGAGCAGTCAAGTCGCTGGTGTAGATCATAAAATAATATTTTACTCATCACGAATATGTAAATTTCAGTGAGGAGATACACGTAGAAGTATCTTAAGGCCCATACCTTAATTTTAAGCGATTACCACAGAATGCATATTTTGGATCAATCTTATCCCTTTTAGTTAAATGCGGGTCTAAAAATGGCTCACAGAGCCGGAGCATGACTGCACTGAGGTTAACAAACATGCCTGAGCTAGCACAAGAGACTCGATCAACCTGTCATACAAGATATGCATTTTACAGAATGCCGCATTGAGCAGAAAAGACAAATAACAAGGCATGAATAAAGATCCGAAGCAAATATCAATCTTAATAAAGGATGATCACCTGTATATGGGCTCTCGACGCATTTGCATTGATCACCTCAGCAAGAAACTGTAGAACACACTCACGTGTATATGTACTTTTAAGTAAAATCATCAGTACATCATGCAGCCCACTGTACAAAATATTCATAAAGTTTTTGATTGTGGATAAGGATGATAATAAATCTGCAGGACGACGTTCTGATGCTCCAGAGAAACACTGCTGCCTGACATTCACAAAAACAATAAAGACATGTTTACCGTTGCAGTAAAAGGGAAAGATTATTATCTGAAGTAATATCAGGAGAACACTTACGTTTGCACAATTTACCCTTTTTATCAAAAGTCTCTACTTTGAGTAAAGCTAAACAACATATCCTATTGTCCTAGCTAAACAAACCGCAAAGAAGTTGGGACTCACCCAACATCAGGCTGACTCTTGAAGAGAGTATTATCTGGCAGTGCACTAATATGGAAGAAAGGGCCGAGAATGCTCGTCAACTCCATTGCTCTGCCGTTCATATAAGCGCCACGTGGAACCCACCACTCGTGACTAACCAGTGATTTAGCTCCTACTGGTAAGCTAACAAGATACTTGAGTGCCCTCAATGGTGGCTGGAAATCTCCAAGCACAGATACGTTTATAACCGTAGACCTCAAGTCCTCGTATAGCTCCTTGAGAATCGGGTCCAAGCTATCAAAGTCTGAGTCTTTGAAGAACTCATCCAGAAACCCTGGAGGAGACTGAACCCCACTGCTACTACCTCCAAACATATCCAATGAACCCGAACCAACCTCGGCGAAGATCAGTGGCAGTACGGGAGACACATTCCTCTTCTTAAGCTTGTCATCCAGTCCACCGCTAGGTTTATCCGAGTTCCCAAACAGGTCTGGATTCGCCAAGTGAATCCTAGAGTAAGAAACCGCGAGCTTCTTCGCCTGTCTAGTGACAATCTCCATCTCCGATCTCAGGCTCTTGTCCTTCATGGACTGGATTTTCTTCGATTCGTCGTAGGCGCGACGGTAGCAACCGATGAGATACGGGAAAGGCGATTCCGCGGCGGAGAAGTTGCCGGAGAGACGATCTATGAGGACTCTCTCCATCAAATCACGGGAGAGCAAGAGTTCTTTGCCTTCACTGAGAATCTCGGCGGCAGTCATTTCCAAGTAAACAACTCGAGGATCCGAATCAGTGGTGGATTCGGCTAGGGTTACATAGAA